AAAAAAAAAAAAAAAAAAAAAAAAAAAAAAAAAAAAAAAAAAAAAAAAAAAAGAAGTAGAAACCCAGCATTAAACCATCAGCTAAAACCCTTCCCATTCCCTCATTTTTAAGGAAAGAAACAAAATCCTATACTTCTTATAGTACAGTATTGCGTACAAGCTTCACGCGCTAGAAAGCTTCTTAGAAGAGTAAGAGTCGGTTCGGTTAACTTTTGCGAGTTGAGGATAGTTATTTGTGAATGGTTTTTAATGTTGGCTGGGAAAGGTATTAGATAGGAATTGTAGAGTTTGCGGATAGAGCTGCTATGCTACTTACTGCTCTTACCCACCTGGACAAGCGCTGGTAAGGGGTCTATATACTTAGTTAAAGAAGGAGGAAGGAGGAAGGAGGAAACTAAGTACCTACCTAGGCAGCCGTCTCCACCGCACTTTCCACAACGCCCTCATAGCGCCAGCGCCTAGCAGACCCAGCAGAACCAGCAGGCACGCGGCACGCAGGAAGACTATCCCCCACCGTCTGGTCCTCACCTGTCCTTCCTTCACTTTTCCTTCACTTTTCCACACTTTTCCACAAACTCCCCACACCACACCAAGAATTCACAAATCTCACACAAAGCCCAAAAACGTCCGTTTTATTTATCCGTCTACTACCTAGCTAGCTACCTACTTACCTGCCTACCCACCACGTAATCGTACAACCGTCTCCCCTTCCCCTGCTCCTTCTCTTCCGCCTCTTCCTCCTCTTCACACCCGAACCCAACGCAACCCAACCCCCCAGCCCAACCGCAACGCAACTACACGGAACCAGACAGGAACCACGAAAACGACAACCACGGAAACAACCACGATAACAACCACGATAACAACGACAACAATCAGGTAGCCAGCTGTGCGAAAGAGAGGGAAAGGAAAGAACAAAGAAGCGGGGTGACACCTACGGAGCAGATGCACGTGCCGTTAAGGAAAGAACGAGAGGGGAAAGGGGAGAGACAGAGAGATGGATGGAAATGGAATAATAGCGCATGAAAAGAGGAAAGAAGCTACCTAGAGCCAGAGCTAGAGCCAGAGCTAGAGCCAGAGCCAGAGCCAGACGAGAGCAACGCAGAGCAGAGCAACGTACCCCCGCAAAAAACAGCCACTTCCCTTCGCTTCCCTGCCCCAATCTGCTTCACTCTCAACCTCTATCTCAGTCTCAATCCCTGCCAACGTCCACACCCACGACCACGCAAATAAACCCCCCCCCAAGCCAAGCCAAGCCAGGTCAAGCCCAAACGATACCAAACCAACCAATTAATCCAAAAAAAGAAAAAGTCCCATTGCCACCCCAACGCCCCAAAACGCCATCGCCCAACGTCAATGCCTGGTCCGTCTTGTATGGCTGTCTGACTGACTGACTGACTGTCCGTCCCAAAGACGCGTTCCCGGCATTCGTCCAAAACCCACGCGTGCAGCGCACTCTAGCCCACAAGATCAAAACAACAACACACGCGCGCGCGACGCTCTACCCAGTCCAACTCACTCTTCCTCACTAATCCTCACTCCTCACCCCAAACTCAAGCCGCGACAACCCCCTCGGGCACAACAGCCTGGCTCGCAATCTCGCCACCAGCGCCCTGCTCCGCCCAATCGCCCCAAAGCCCCCTCTTCGCACGCATACGGATCGGCGCGCCCAGCGCCCCCGTCGCCTGCTCCACCTTGACCGCGTCTTTGGTAGCCAGGACCAAGCACTCGAAGAAGAGCTTGGTTGCGTCGCGACGGCTCGTGCTGCGCTCGGGCAGCATGTCCTGGAAGAGGACGGAGCGCTCACGGCGCTGGCCCGGCGACGCCTCTGCTTCCGGCCCGAACTTCTCGCGCAGGAGGTGCACCGCGTGCCGCGTCTGCACCGACACCGGGCCCGTCTCTTCCGGGTGCAGCAGCGGGGCGGTGGTTTCGTCGAATTCGGCGCCCGGGAGCGGGCTCGCGGCTTGCGCTTCGTCGTCCTCGATGGCCTGGATCTCGGGGATCGTTTCGTCGCCTGCGGCCGGCACTTCGCCTAGGTGCTCCTCCTCGGCCGGCCGCAGCAGCGACGTGTCGCCGCCGGCTGCGCCTGCGCCAAAGTCGAGCGTCGTGTCGTTGCCGACGTTGAGCTGTGGGACTTCGGTGCTGGGCTGCGCCTCTTCTTCCTCCTCTTCTTCGGCGCCCGTGTCGCGCTTGCGCTTGAGGTCGCCCGAGCGGCGCACCACTTCGAGGGAGAGGATGCCGCGAAGCTCGGGGGCCCAGCCTTGGCTACGGCCCTCGCCCAGGATACTGGAAACGAAGCCGCCGCTCTTCTGCATGTTCATGAGTGCGAGGAGCATAGGGTCGCGGGGCAGGAAGGTGGCGGGCTTGGTGATTTTCGAGCGGTCGTCCTGCTGCGCGCGGATCTGGCTGGAGGCCAGCTCAGTGGCCGCATCAGCCTGCAGCACTTTGCGGCGCTTGGCGCGCTGGGCCTGCTGCGCGAATTCCTCTTCCGGCTCGGCGATGGTGGTCTCTTGGTCGAAGTGGAAAGTGTCCTCGAGCTCGCGCACAACGCTAGAGCGCGCGGAGGAGAGGGGCGACACGGTCTCGCGCTCGAGACGCTCTTCTTCGAGCAAGGTTGGGGTGGCAGCGCGCGGCGTCTCTTCGCCATCCTGGTGGAAAGGCTCATCCATTCCGCCCATCGGGATGTCGTCCTCGGGAAGCGGCTCAGCGGTAGGCAGGATGGAGTCGTCGGGACCCTCGCGGAAGTCCAGCTCGAGGCCATCGTCCTCGAGGAGTTTGGGGCTCTCTGCCATCTCCTCCTCAATCGGCCTCGGGGGAGGCGCATCACGGCCGATTTCGATGCTTTGGTCCATGGTAACATCCGGTCCTTCACTAATGTCGAGGTAAAGGTCATCGTCACCGAGCTGAAGGGTTTCCTGGGCGGCGCGATCCTGAGTATCAAGCAAATACTGGCTTGGCGGCTCCAAGAGGGTAGGGTCGCGCCGACCAGTCTCAATCTCGGGTTCCTGTGATAGGAGCAGAGAAGGATCGGGCATTGGGGCCAGCAAGTCGAGCTCGGTCAGTACATCAGGAAGGGTCAGCGAGGCGGGGTTCACGGCCTGGGCCTGGTTGACGGGCAGATCGACGTTGCCAGGACGGAAGGCCTTGTATGATGTCAGATTCGATGCGACGAGATGGAGGCGCAAAGACGTACCAGCTTGATCTTCATGAGCGCCTCGTTGCAGTCGTCGAGCAGATAACGCGCCTTTCGGCTGTAAATCCTGACGACACCAAGCAGCAGCTGACCGCTCAGACGCAGGGCCATTGGCGCCTGGCCCTGGTCGACAATGGCGTTGACGCTGGTCTCGATGTTGGACTGGAGAATGTTGCTCTTGGAGAGCTTGCGCTCGAGGTTGGCGGCGAGCCAGACGCGAGCCAGCGGCCCGGTCTTGGAGAGGAGGGTCTCGGAATAGAACATTATTAGGGATCGAAAGATAAAAGTTGATGGTGGATCGAGAGCGACGCGGCGGGAGTCGGAGTCGCGCGACGCGTGGGTTTAGGATTTTGCGACGCGCCGGGCGGGCACAGCGGTCGGGCGCGTGCAGTAGCACAACGCGCGAAAAAAGAGTATCGGGTTGATCGGGGGAGCGGAGGGGTTGGCGGTAGCAATGGGCGCGGGGTGAGTCTGGCGACGATGGTGGTGGTGAGGGGGAGTGCAAGTGCACTGTGGCTGGGGGACTCGGTTTCTCGTCACGCCAAGACCAGTGAGACAAGGCGATGAACACAGCTCGATGAAAGTCGCTGGCTGGCGTGTGCGGTAAAAGGACAAGCGGCTGAAGGTCTGTTCGGTCGTAGACCGCCACACTTGTCGGTCGCTGGCCGGCAGTGTTCCAGCGATGATCTAGACACTTAACCATCTATGTAGTATGTAGAGAGGTACACTGCCACTCGCTCCCTTCCACCGCAACCAACCTACACCACCACACACCTTTTTCTCGCCCACGACTGTCCTGTCCTCGACGCCTGCCTCCCATGTCATAGGCTTCGAAATACTCAAACTGCCCCTCCCGAGTCTCTCGCTGCCCCGCCACCCTTGGTCCGTAGCTCGCCCTTCGGCCATGAAAACATGTCAAGAGGCGCTTCTCCCGGTCTTCCAATCTACAATGCCGACTCTTCGTCGTTGCGCCCCGCCTCGCCCGCTCTGAACCTGTCTCCCGCAAATTCGCGCCCTCCGTCCAGGCGGGCGCGCAGCAGCGCAGCTGGATCGGTACTGCTCCCATCCCTGTGGAAGCCCCTAATGGCCTTGCGCTCCGCATGCTAACCCGCCGCCCGTCTTTGTGTGCAGAACATCACCTCAGCCTACTCGATCCTGTCGCCCGAAGAAACCGCAACCCAGCTTTCCACCTCCCTGAAATCTGGCCTAACGCCCTCCGAGGCGTTGGCGCGCATCCACGACCATGGCACCAACGAGCTGCCCCACGAGGAGCCCGAGCCGCTGTGGCTCCGCTTCCTCAAGCAGTTCCAGGAAACCCTGATATTGCTCTTGCTCGGCTCGGCGGGGGTTTCTTTCATCATGGGCAACTACGAGGACGCTGTCAGCATCACGGCCGCCGTCACCATAGTCGTCACTGTCGGCTTCGTCCAGGAATACCGTTCGGAGAAGTCGCTGGAAGCCCTGAATCAGCTGGTGCCGCACTCGGCGCATGTGCTTCGCGGCACCTCGCTCAGCATTCCGAAGCGGAGCCCATCACCGGCGTTCAACAAGGAAAATGGCAGCGCTGGAGCATCGACAGACAGTTTGGATACGGTCGCAGCCCTGGAGGCCGCAGAGGGAGCGTCGAGTACAATCTCGGCTACTCAGCTCGTGCCGGGCGACCTGGTGCTCTTTCACACCGGCGATCGTATCCCCGCCGACATTCGCATCACCCACGCTGCAGACCTCTCCATAGACGAGTCCAACCTGACTGGCGAAAATGAGCCGGTTTCTAAGAGCCCTGATACGCTTGACCGCGAGGCCATGAGGAAGCCCCTCGATGCGTCTCCGCGGACCCCGTTTTATGCATCCCCGGCTGCGGGCACCGTTGGCGCAGACATTCGGTTAAACGATCAGACCAACGTCGCCTTCATGGGTACGCTGGTTCGCTCCGGATATGGCCAGGGCATTGTCATTGCTACCGGGCCCGACACTGAGTTTGGTGCCATTTCTGCCTCTTTGCAAGAAATCGAGAGCCCGCGGACGCCACTGCAGCTCTCCATGGACCGCTTGGGCAAGGATCTCAGCTACATGTCATTCTGTGTTATTGGTTTCATCATGCTGGTCGGCCTTTGGCGAGGATGGCAGTTCTTGGAGATGTTCCAGATCGGAGTGTCTCTCGCAGTCGCCGCCATCCCCGAGGGTCTTCCAATCATTGTGACAGTCACTCTGGCTCTCGGTGTCTTACGGATGTCAAAGAGAAATGCCATCGTGAGGAGACTACCTAGCGTGGAGACGCTGGGTTCGGTCAACGTGGTGTGTACTGACAAAACAGGTAAGAAGCATAGAATAGCTGTTAAGATCGTCCCCAAGGGGGCGAAGCGCACGTGAATAGTCGCACTAACAATGAACGCAGGCACGCTTACTACAAACCACATGACGGTCACCAAGCTCTGGCACTTTGATGACAAAGAGCCTATGGACGTCCACCGTAAACAGGGGTCGGCCGCCCTCGACCCGGCGACGCGCACCGTCCTGCGCATCGGCAACATAGTCAACCATGGCCGCCTCATCAGCCCCGCTGCCGCCTCTAATGCCACTGCTGCCGTCTTGTCGTCCACCATGGGCGGTGACGATGCCTCTGGCGCTAAGAGCCGCTGGGTCGGTCAGCCTACTGATGTCGCACTTCTCGACCTCCTAGATGAATTTAGTGAAGATGATGTCCGCGAGCGCATCGGCCATCGCCGCAATGAGACACCCTTTAGCTCCGAGCGTAAGTGGATGGGCTGTGTAGTGCAAGGGAACCCCAACGCCGGCTCCAACTCTCAAGACATGGCGTACATCAAGGGCGCCTTGGAGAAGGTGCTGGCACGTTGTGACATGTACATCACGGCCCAGGGCCGTGAGGTACCCTTGGACGAGGCGCGGCGCCGCGAGGCCGTTGCCGCAGCAGAGAGCATGGCCCAAGACGGGCTGCGCGTGCTGGGCTTCGCAAGCGGGCCGGTCAAGGAGTCGAAGAAGGGCAGCCTGCATGCACCGCTGCGAGGCCGTAGTGGCAACTCCACGCCTTCGCCCGAGTCTGAGGATCTGTACCAGGGCCTGACTTTCGCCGGCCTTGTCGGCATGAACGACCCCCCGCGTAAGGGCGTCGACCGCAGCATCCGTCGCCTGATGGCGGGCGGCGTCAAGGTCATCATGATCACGGGCGATGCCGAGACCACGGCCGTCGCCATCGGCAAGAAGCTAGGCATGCCCATCAACACGTCGTCCTCGGCGATTGGGCCATCTGTGCTCCGCGGCGACGAGCTGGACGCCATGAGCGAAGAGGAACTCAGCCGCGCCATCGCGACGACGACCGTCTTCGCGCGCACGAGCCCCGAGCACAAGATGAAGATTGTGCGGGCGCTGCAGGCGCGCGGCGACGTGGTAGCGATGACAGGTGACGGAGTGAACGACGCGCCGGCGCTGAAGAAGGCAGATATCGGCATCAGCATGGGACGGCTAGGCACGGACGTGGCCAAGGAGGCCGCAGACATGATCCTCACCGACGACGACTTTAGCACGATTCTGAGCGCCATCGAGGAGGGCAAGGGCATCTTCTACAACATCCAGAACTTCCTGACGTTCCAGCTGTCGACGAGCGCCGCGGCGCTGAGCCTGGTGCTGCTGAGCACCTTCTGCGGCTTCAAGAACCCGCTGAACGCCATGCAGATTCTGTGGATCAGTAAGTGTTTCTACCACCGCACTCCGCCTTTATAGATAGCTAACCGCGCCCCTCCTCTTTGTAGACATCCTCATGGACGGTCCACCAGCCCAATCTCTCGGCGTCGAGCCCGTCGACCCAGCCGTCATGTCGCGGCCCCCACGCAGCAAAACCGCGCGCGTACTCACGCAACCCCTCCTGCAGCGCGTGCTCACACAAGCGGGCGTAATCATGCTCGGGACGCTGTACATCTACATCCGGGAGATGCAAGACGGCACCGTCACAGCGCGCGACACAACGATGACGTTCACAGCCTTCGTCATCTTCGACATGTTCAACGCGCTCACGTGCCGCAGCGAGGGCAAGTCCGTGCTGCGCGGCGAGATCAGCGTCTTCGGGAACCGCATGTTCAATTACGCCGTTGCGGGCAGTTTGGTCGGCCAGGCTGCCGTCGTCTATCTCCCGGGCCTGCAGGGCGTGTTCCAGACTGAGGCGCTGGGGCTCACGGACTTGGTCGGCTTGGCTCTGGTTGCGAGTTCGGTGTTTTGGGTTGATGAGGGAAGGAAGTGGTGGCGGAGGAGGGTGCAGCAGGGGGGAAGGGGAATGGGCGTGAGGGGCTATAGCGCTGCGGTGTAGTTGTGCTGTTGGTGTTGTTGTTTGGGCATAGGGATGGCTTTGGGTGCGCGTGGCGTGCGGTGGCTTGTTTGTAGGCATGGACGTGATAGAGAAGGAAGGGTGGGGGGGGTTTTTCGCTTGGCAGACAGGTAGGTAAGTAAGTACGTACGTACGTAGGCAAGACGATCTGGCGGAGTGGATGCATACGCATGCTTTAACCCATTTTAACTTTTTTTTATTTCTCACTTTATATCTCTTTTCATTCCCGTTTCAGTTCCGTTTTTCTTCCTATTTTTTATATCTTGGTTTGGTTGACGATATTCGTTCATGTGGATATGGATATGGATATGGATATGGATGTGTTTGTGGGTGTGTGGTAATGGGTATAGGTATAGAGAGGTGGTGTGTGCTGTTTTTCTTCTTCGTTCTTTATTCTCTTTTCTCTTTCGTCTGCGTGAGTGGTGGGCGGTGGTTGGTTGGTGCTGTAGAAGATGGTTCTTGATTTTTGTCATGGATGTTGGTGGTGGTGAAGTTGGGGTGAGGACGTATGTATGTATGCATGGCTGGGGCTTGGGGTGTATGAGCGAGCGCGTGGGATGCATGGTTCTGGTGTGAATGGATGGGGTGGGGTAGAGGCGAGGAGAGGAGAAAAGAGGGGAATGCACCTACTTACGGCGTAGAGCGGTTGGGTCGGAAATGTGTATCATTAAAGAGCATGCTTGCAAGCTTATAGGGAGTGCTATCCCACGCAGTGAGTATGTATGTACATATGTATGTATATGTGTACAGGCGTTTTGAACCTCGTGTCTGATTGTGTGTGTATGGAGCAAAATCCACCTACCCAACCAACCACCCGCCTGCTTTTTCGACGAAACTCCCAAGCGCACCTCTCCTGTGACTCGCCTCGTACGTAGTATACCTGCCTCTACCTAGGTATGTTGCCGTCTCCAACCAACGCCCTCGAAAAACAACGCTAGACTGTATTCGACTAGCGCCATTACGTCCAGCCTCGAACGGCTGCGCTTCCGCGCATGCGGGTGCCACAACTCACCGGACAAGCAAGCTGAAGCTCAATCAAGCTCAATGCAACCAACCGCGTTCTACAGTGCAGTAGCCACAACGCAACGCAACGAGACGGAAATAAAATGCTGTATTAGCACATCTATAAGAAAGCTGCAGTAGTTGACTCTCTAAATGCTAGACAGAAATAGCCATCCACCTGCACAAACATATTCAGATGTCACATGTGCTCAACTACTCCTACTGCCACTACATCACGCTTCAAACACCAATATAAAGAAAGCAGTGACACACACAGACACAGAGTATTCGAACAATTTTTGCCATAGCCATTACAACAACAACTCACGTAAAAACCCCAAGGCCCTCTCAGCTTATTCGCCAACCAGCCAACTAGCTACATACTTCCTTCATAGTCTAGCTAGGCAGGCCAGAGACGAAGGAGCTTGAACAACCTGGCTAGAAACAACAAGCACGCAATGCGTAAGAGTGCAAAGCAGATCCACTGTCTTACTGACTGACTGACCGACCGACCTCCTCCATCCGCCCTCCAACCCACGAACCTGACTGAGATTTCGCTTTTCCCTCTTCTTGTCCATCATCCCCGGGTCGGGACTACTACTACATGCCACACTATACCGGCCCTTGCTACAACAGTGCTTGCCCACCAACCACCTCTAGGCACCTCTTCCTACCCTACAAGCACAACCGCAGCCCACTCGCCGGCGCGCCAATCTGGCTGACCTCGCAGACCGTACACACCGAGCCCTTGAACTTGGCGTGGAACTTGGCGGCGCAGTACGGACACGCGCTGGCGGGGCTGCCCTGGTAGATGGGCGTGAAGCTTTTGGCGCACACGTCGAACTCGGCAAACGCGTCGTAGTCGACGTCGTCGACCGCGTCCGACGGGTTGCGCTCGCACACGGCCTTGATCTTGCGCGCGCTCTCCTTGAACTTGGCGTTCGCCGCGCCCCGGTCCAGCAGCGCGTTCGCAAACGACAGCGCCGCGCTGTGCTGCTTGTTCTTGTGCGCAAAGTTCATTGCTGCGAAGAGTGCCAGCGCCTTGTGCGGGCCTTCAAGCTCCGGCACCGTGAAGTACGCGCTGAGCTCGAGGGCGCGCTTCTTGTCCTCGGGTGACAGGGCCGAGATGTCGGTGGCGTTGTTGGTGAGGCGGCGGCGCTCGAGCTCGATGCTCATCGCCAGCACGTATTGTGATGCCGTGTTGATCAGCTTCTTGGCCTGTGGACTTTGTTAGTTCTGAGCATTTCAGTGTCATTGCAATAGACAACTCACCTCGGCGACCTCGGCCTGAGTGGTCACGGCGTTGACCATAATCAGGTGCAGGATCTTCTTGAACGTCACGACACCGTCGTCCAGCTTGTTGGTGCGCATTTGCGCCTTACCCGCCGCAAGCTCCGTCGCCGTAACGGACTCCAGGTCACGCGGGATGAGCGGCAACACCTTCCGCGAGTCGGTCTCGTCCACCGTCCTGCGCACGTAGTTGACCAGCGGAGGCATGCCCACGTTGGCGGGCAGGAACGTCCGCGACGCCTGGTAGATCTCCTCAAAGCGCCACTCGAGCGGCCCGAAGTTGACGGCACCGACCTGGCGGTTGAGCAGTTGCATTGCGCTTTCAAACGAGCCACCAGCAACGTGGTCGGCCGCAATCGGCGAATTCCTCGTCCACATGTCGGCCTCGCTGCTGCCAGCACCAGCATCCGCACTCTCGACGTTGACAAAGTCCTCCTCGGCCTCGATATCATCATCGCCGCCCATGTCCCAGCCAGCCGCGTCCTCATCCTCGTCGGCTTCCTCGAACTCGCCGTTGCGATCCTCCGCTTCGGGCTCGCCCAGCAGGTCCTCTTCTCCATAGCCGTTCGCTGCCGGTGCCAGCTCATCCGGACTCAACTCTTCACCCATCAAGGCCTTCTCAAAAACGGAAGTACCGGTGCTCTTGACCGGCCAGTTGGCAAGGTAGGTGGGAACGACAGGCTTAGGTGGGGCGAGGGGCTCGCCCATTGCGGGAAGGGTGATTTGATCCTCGGTAAGACCGCTGGCCTCGAGCAACGCTTGGCATTGCTCCTCCAGGCCATGCGATTTCGCCAGCATGTATGCAAGGGGATATTGATCTATCTCCTGGAACATCTCGATTCTGCTCTCAACATCACCGAGGTAGATGGCGTTCTGGAATCGGGATGTCATGTCGCCACGGTGCTCAGCAATCTTAGCCATGCGCGTAAGCTTCTCACGGTCGCCCGTCGTAAGGTAAAGGAAGGAGAGCTTGTCGAAAGTCCGCAACTTCTGGTAAGTCATCTCGACGATCTTGTGGTTACCTTGAGCCAAGGCCTCGGCGCTCAGGCGCTGCCAAAGCTTGGGACGATCAAGCTGCTTGGCCATCTCGACGGCCACATCAAGGTTGCCGCACTCAATTGCGAGCTCGAAGCGAGTCTGCGGGTCCTGCACGAACTGAAGCGCAATCTCCGGGTATCCCTTCTTCTGCAGGTACGAAATAATGCTCTGGCCAACCAAGCTGGATGTCTTGATGATGTTAAGCATCTCATCGTAGTTGCGCTTAATAAGAGCAAGCTTGAAGCGGTACTCAGTAGGATCGATCTGGATAATCTTGGGCTTCGCCGCACGGTCGAGGCAGTAGACGTTCCGGCCCTTAACCCTCTGCAAGTAGACGGTCTGCTCCAAGGTGCGCACAATACCGTTGTCGCCGTTCATCAGCGTGTACTTGATGTGGTTCAAGGTGGAGTAAAGAAGGACACCAGCGTCGTCCCAAGTAGCGCTCTTAATCCGGATGGTCTCGTGCAGGGTGCTGACCTGCTCCAGACTCTTGTTGACAATAGTGACGTTGTGCTTGCTAAGCAGGGCAGCGTGCAAGCCATCGGTCGACCAGACGACGTACTTGACGCCGTTGACGGCAAGCTCGGCAAGGTTCTTCTTCTGTTGAATATCGTAGAGCACAACGTTGGTAGCGGTGATCAAGAGAAGGCATCCAGTGCCACCGAAGTAAATGTCTACCGTGCCGTGAGGAGGCTTGATAGTCTTAGTCGTGGAGTTGGCGAGATCCTTGATGTCGATCTGTTGGTTAGCCTGGTTGAAGACGGCGAAGCGGTTGCGGGCAACGAAGACCGCAGAGTTTCCAGATCCACGCTTCGTGTCGGTCGGTTCAACGGCTCCGGTAGCATCACGCGGCAAGCTAATTAGCTCGTAGCAGCCGCCATCGGCGGGAGAAGTAACGAGAATTGCGCGCTCAGCAGGGTTGTACGAGAGCGTCCTCGGCGGGACCCACGGGCTGCCGAGCTTCTTAAGAGACAGCATCGAAGGCGATTCAACATTCTTCGCAAAGTCGTACGACCGAACATGCTTCTCCTTGGTAATGTAGAACAGGTTGTTCTGGTAAACCGCCGAGGCGGGCCTCTCCCGCTCAAGCTTGAAGACCATAACACCATTGTCGTGGCCAGCAGCGAACAGGTTGATCTCCGGGTGCGCAGCGATAACCCAGAAACGGTCATTCTCCCTCTTAAACGACTGAACCGAAGTGCGCTTGTTCAGGTCCCAAACGCGGATAGACTTATCCTCGCCGACGGAAAGGATGAGGTCCTGGTGGGGGTGGAACAAACACGCAGAGACGTTCTGGAAGTGGCCTCTGCAGGTGTCAACCTCCCACGCCTTAGTCTCGCTCATTCTCCAGAGCTTGACAAGCCTATCGTCGCCGGCAGAAACGATCAATGGCAGCGTAGGGTGGAACGCAACCCAGTTGACGCCACGGTCGTGGCCCTCCAACACAAACTTGACCACCGCATCCGTGTTTCCAAACATATCCGCCTGGTTGGCATTGGCGCGTGCGATCTGGTCTTCGAACGTCATCGAGGTCGGCGCAGAGTGCTTCTTGCGGAGGCCGGAAATATCCCAGACCCTGACGGACTGGTCGAGCGAGGCGGAGACGACGAGATCATCCTTGGGGTGGAACTGCGCGCACATGGTATAATGGTTGTGACCGGTCATCGTGCAGACTATCAACGTCAGCTTTCAAGCCCGCCTTGCAATGGCTTTCCGTAACGTACTTAGGGACCTGTTCTGCCAATTCCATATCCGAATTGTCTGGTCATCGGAGCTCGACAATATCCAAGGCAGCTCGTGATGGAAGAACACGGTGCGCACATAATCCAAGTGGCCGTTCAGCGTGAACAGGCATCTCCGGGTCTGATACGACCAGACCTTGATCTTATAATCGTCTCCTCCTGAGACGAAGAGAGGCTGCGTCTTGTGGAAATCGATGCCGCGGACAGGACCATCGTGCTCCTCGAAGCGGTCGATCAGCGTACCCATGCGGTAGTCCCATAGCTGGATGGTAGACGAATGGAGGGAGACGAGGATCCATGGCCTGCTTGCCGTCAGTGAAGGACCGCGTCATTCGAGGCCGACACGGTGGCTAACCTCTTGGGGTGGAAGGCAATGCCCTTTGCCCGGGAGGACTTGGACTCGAACTGTGGTCGCATTAGCTAGAGGGCCTCAGATCCGCGGGGCCAGTGGAGACATGCCTTGGTGAGCATATTCGGAGACTGCATCTTGGGTATTCAGGGAGAAGCCGCAGCTTCACGGTGGCAGGAAGAGCTCGCGCAATGCCACAGCAATGGCGGAGGGTAGAATTAGGAGGGTAAAGGAATTGGAGGAAAGGAGAAACGCAAAATTCGTATGCAGTCGTGAGCTCTTGAAGACCGTTCAGCACCCACCCGGCATGAGCATGAGCAGCGCTCCGTCGCGGTGTCGCGGACTACGACGGTGAAGTGGCCTGTAATCTATCTTAGTCAGACATGTAATGTAGTACCTGCCAAGACCGCCGCCACACGTGCCCGTCCGCTCGCGCTTTTCCCGACGCGCGCCGTTCATGGATGTCCATTCGACAAGTCGTGGCGCCGAGTCATTTGCGCCATCATCATTTCCTATCGTCAGCACGCTACGCCGCGCGCGTTTGGCTTCACGATTGCCCTCCGCACGTGATGCAAGCGGTAGGTTGGCGACGTCAACGCGGGCGATCCTCTCGGTGGAGCTTCAACCGTGGAAAAGTTCGCGATAGCTCCGGGCCACTCTGATCGTCATACGTTCTCTTTCGTGGTCATGGCTCCTCGAATCCTCCGCCATGCAAGCGCAGGCGCAGATGCAGACGCATATGGACTGCAGGTAGCCACTCCGGCCTGTCACACACGCTCTCTTCGCCCGCCATCCTGCCAACGCACATCCGTTACGCCTACCGACCCGCCGACCCTACCAAGGCAGTCATAATCTCGCCCGCGACAAGGCGCCACATCAGTCTCCCATAGTACCTGGAGCATAGGTACCCCGCCGCCAGCAAGAGATCCCTGGCTGCTTCCGCCGACTACCATTCGCCATTGAGCAGCACATCGATCGCTCCTCCCCTCCGCATCGCTTCCCGGGGACAGGTACCTCCCCAGCTGCGCTGAGAACCCTTCGTCGCTGCAGGCACTGACTTGGATAGGCATTGCCGACCTCCCCGCCTTGACACCCGTCGTCGGACTTCTCAGAGTACCTTCGGAAAATGATACTGCTCATAAAGTCCGCTCAGCATAAGCCGTTATTCGCACCCCTACGTCCTATCTTTGTACCTTAAGGTCTATTTGTCGAAGGAATACACGTTATATATTCAAAGGCCGACCGGGAAGCATTGAGACCGACGCCAGAGAGCTCAGCACGAGAAATGGAAGGTCCGAAATTCCCTCCCGTCTTCGATCCTCCGGTCAACGGACCCAGCAGCCCACCTGTAACGCCCGGCACACTACCAAACCCGCAATTCATACATGCCTCAGGCCAATCTGCGCCAAACTGGAATGCATTTCTAAACCGGGCGCAGTCGCCTCCGCTCGAACACATACAACCTACTGGACAAGGTCATCACTTCTTTTACACCCGACCGCAGTGGATTGATCCGGAATCACGGCCGTCGACTGCCTCCGGAATAGCTTTTGCTACACGCGATGAGGGCTCTGTAGTCGGGACAGAATCGGTAAGCGAAGGCCCGCCGCCATATGAAGACAGGCCCATCACGGCACTAGAAGATGCCGACTTTGAATTGGAAGAAGTTGAGGAAAATGACAGCTGGCTTGGCAGCGGAGCAGAAGTGGTTCGACCGGATGACGTTGAAGAGCCTAATGCACAGGGCTCGGGAAACCATGATGACGATGCCGGAGTTGCGACACAATTCCAAGACTTGAATTGTTACGACGACACTGTCGGCAGTGATGAAGAGAGGAAACGTCGATATCTCCAGAAGAAGAAGCGCTGGAGCCAAGGCCTATTCAAGCGAACGCACAGCCAAAGCATAGGCAGTGATACAGACGACATGGATGACACAGAAGGGATGGACGCGCAAAGCGTTGGCTCTAGTACGCGTCGTCTGAGGCGCAGGGTCAGAGGCCCTGGTGACCGGTCTTCACTGATTTTCGAAGACCTTGGGAGCACCCACATCAACGAAGAAAAAGAGCCGGGGGAGGCTCACAGTGGCATGCCGAACGGCAGTGAACCACCCTCACTCCCATCGGATCAGGAGGGGCTAGGCGCACTGCCTTTTTGGGTGTTGCAAGACCCTATGGAAATTGATTCAGGATCTAGCCATCCGTCGTCGGTGTCGTAGTATAATGGTCTGGATTTTGTTCTCTGCAGCTTTCAGCCAGGCTCAGACGCATTGAAGTGGTTAGCACATGCCGCTCGTTGGGTGAAAGAGTTGACGAGAAAGTAGACATTATTACAAATTAACAGACGCTTTTTGGTGAAGCTATTTTCGGCTTACCTTCAGCAGCCACTTGATGGGGCACAGTGTCAGGTGCTTGACTATTTTCGGTAGTGCTTACCTTCTCTCTGTCAGCTGGCTTGCTTGTGGCGGATTACCTACGATCCTTCGAGAACCCGAGACACCTCCGACATCGTCGTCCGTTAATGTTGGTGGCCCAGCATGGCGTACTGCATGCCATTCGTCTGTTTCAACATGACTGTTCTCAGCCTGCGGTCAACGCCATGTTTTTCTGCTGCGGACGTGGATGTAGTCATCCTCAACAAGGCCGTTAACCACCGCCCGAATGACCAAACCTTGCACAAGCATCGGATTGCCACGAGGATCTCCACCTTTCTCCGACAGCTACGTTCCGAGACTCCAATAACCATTGCGAATATGGATAAGCTTATGATTTGAGTATGAGGCTATGTTGAGCCCTAGCATTTTGGCTGTGCTTGTCTGCGCATGTTCCAACTGAACATGGCTTCTCCACCGCCTCCATGTGCTAAAGCTTGTTCAATGGATGCGTGGAAGACTGGAATGATAAAATATATAAGTATGCTGTTTCCGCTGCTCAAAGCTCCTTCATCAACACACTACAACCCACAAGCACATTCAGTAACGATTTTATTTCTTCTTTTCTATTCTTATTTTTCTCATTTATCTTCATTACCTCTTATTTCGGAAATTTCCTTCAGTAATAAAGCAAACCACAATGTCTCCCGCATTTGTCAAGATCATCATTGCTGCTCTTGCAGCCGGAGTCACTGCGCTCCCACAGAGCATGAACACCACCTCTACAACCTCAGGTGCTGCTCCTACCGCCACCGATGGCAACGCTGCTCTGATTGAGCAGCTCAAGGATGCCCCCAAAGCTATTGACCGCTTCAAGAAACTTCTTACCAATAATGGCGAGACGATCCTATCCGAAGATGAGCTTCGCAATACAGTCGTTTTTGACTTCAATGGTGCCCAGCCAGCTGCTGGAGCTAAGGGTACGTCTAAAATCACACACAGCCTCAACTCAAAGCCTCCGAAACTAAGCAAGATACAGGCGGTGCGCTAAAATCCGCTCAAATCGACACCTTCCCCATCCTGACCGATCTGGGCATCAGCACAACGATGGGTTTCCTCTCCGCCTGTGGCCTGAACACCCCACACATCCATCCACGGGCCTCAGAATTCCTGACCGTCGTCGAGGGCGAGCTCGACTTCGGCTTCATCGTCGAAAACAATCTCGTCAAGAGCGGCAGCACCGAGGCGCGCGGTCACCTCAGCAAGTTCAATGGTGCCGTGTTCCCTATGGGCTCGATCCACTACCAGGTCAACCCGACGTGCCAGCCCGCGGTCTTCGTCGCTTCGCTCAACTCTGAGGACCCTGGCACCAGCCAGATCGCGCAGAACTTCTTTGGCCTGGATCCTGATGTCGTGAATGCGACGTTGGGGTTCCCGAAGCAGCTTGATGGGAAGGATATCGAGAGCTTCAAGAACCAGATTCCGGTGAATGTCGCGCTGGGAATTGAGCAGTGCTTGGAGAGGTGCAGTATTAAGAAGAGCTAGACGTGTTGGAGGTTCGTTGCTTTCTGAGAGGCATGTGCCGGCTCTCTAAGCATAGCGGTGGTGTTGTGTTTGTGTAGAATGTGAGATGAAGTTGTTGTCTGTTGTTGCGTTGCTGCATTGCTGGTATTATGTCATTAGCAATTATTTTTGGCATGTCTTAATTGTTTTTCGTTTATTTAGCAAGCTCCTTCTGTACTGTCCCTATCAATTATTTTAGCACAAGAACAATATTTGTTATATCAAATACTATATATGTGGTATGTGATTCGAGCACACACTCGCTCCTTAAGGCTCTGTGCTTAAAGCCATAATAGGAAACCGTTTAGAACTCTATAGCGTATTCTATATAGAAAAAATAAAAAAAATATATAGATAAATATAAAAAAACATCTTGTGTGCAATAAACTCCGGCTATTTTTGTCCCTATACACAGATTCTTCTATAATATCAGTACCTATATTACTGCATGCACATAAGTACGTCCGTATCTATATAATAAATTAAAGCTCAATTACTAGTTGGGGATAGTGCTGTCGGAGTTAAGCGGGGCTTGGCGGGAGCTTTCAGCTACCTGTCATCACCGATAATTGTTGCACCACGGTACCCAAAAGCTGAGATAGCCTGAGATTAGTCGCTGAGAACCCTTATAGACCTCTTTTGATGTTGATCACTGCGGTCGCAAGATAGAGCGCAGTCACAAAATAATAATCTCGATCGAACTTGTCCATTGAGCGCGAAATGCGTTGGCTTTAAAGCTTGCTACCCTTCCATTGTCCCCACCGCACCATAGCATCAGCAACCTTCACAGGACTCGGCTGATACAGCTGTACCGCACCCAAGATGAGGGTACACCCATGGCTGCTCAGTAGCCATACGGCTCTGCTATTGAGCACTTTCAGTCCTCTCCGCGTCGGAGCTAGCCCTCCGATCAACGTAGCTCTGAGAGCTTCATTCAATGCACCTCCATACCTTGTCGAGCTACTGTAAGCTTCACGAACCCTTTTAGAATGGCAAGAATCTAACTCTTGACAGAGAGACTGCCGCGCAAGAGAATGCGACAGCCTACTATCCCTTGCTTGACCGCATCGCCGATGGATACTTTGATGGCCAGGCTACCGAGAAAGAGCTATACGACGCCTTCTTACAGCTGCTACAGGACGATGCACACATCACCGATGCCGATTCCCTATCCTCATTCCAGTTCGCACTCTCGATACATTCAGCCGCTCCACGGATCGAAGCGCACTACCAGTTTTACAACACCTCGGTCGAGCCTTCATTGAAGGCAGCTCAGGGTGATGAATGCGAGGCATGGGTACTACTCGAGGAGAAGCAATACTGCCGACCGGAGCTGGACAAGAGCCATGGCACTGTCGCAGGAGCAAGGTACGTTATACTGCGTATCAATTTGGGGACAATAGCCTAACGCTATGCACACAGAACCGAACTCTTGCCCTTTGATCGCATTTTGGGCGATGCTGAGAGACAGATCCCCTTTATCCTGTACGCCGACATCACGTCCCCAAGCTTCCGCGCTTTTCATAAAACCGTAAGCAAGAGCGCAAAGGAAGGAAAAGCATCCTACAAGCTTCGCCACAAGCCCTCGAAGACGGCGCATAAGGGTCCGTTGGACGTCAGCGGATATGGTGTGGAACTGGCTCTGAAGCGTACGGACTACATTGTTATCGATGACCGCCAGGCAGATGAGGCGGGCAGGGAAACCGGCGCAGAGCCTTTGCAGAGTAGCCTCCAAGATCAAGAGGTGGCCGATTTGAAACCGCTGTCCGAATCTGAGTTGAAGGGCCTGGGATTGAAAGCTGCCAGTTTCGTCATGAACAGTGAGAACCCTCTGGACACTCTGGTGAAGCTGTCGCAGGACTTCCCGAAGCACTCGTCCGCCATCAGCGCACACAATGTGACGAAAGAATTCCTTGAGGAACACAAGGGAAACCGCGCGGCTATCCTCCCACCAGGGTTTAACATCCTGTGGATCAACGGTGTTCAGATTATGCCCCGCGACATGGACGCTTTTGCCATGCTCGAGCATCTGAGGAAAGAGCGTGGAATCATTAACAGCGTGCGGAATCTCGGATTTTCATCTCCGGAAGCCATTTCTGTTTTGTCTCATAAAGCTATTTCGGAGGCGTCCGACAAGGAAGAGCCACAGCGCTATGACTTTAGAGACGAAATCGAGGGCGGTAAGGTCATCATATGGCTGAACGACATCGAAAAAGACAAAAGATACGCTCAGTGGCCTAAGACCCTTCAAGGCGTAAGTTCATGCATGAGCTCCCCAGTATAAGGTATAATTTGCTAACGCGATTTAAGCTTCTCCAACCCACTTATCCCGGCGTCATTCCTCAAGTCCGCAAAGATATTATGAACACTATCATGCCGATTGATTTGTCTGAGCCGAAGGACGTAGCATTGGTTATTGGCACACTGCAGAGTATGGTCAAGCGCAAGCTTGCTGTGCATTGGGGACTGGTTCCAGTCATGACATCCCAAGCAGCGGTCGAACAAGCGAAGGTCGTTTATCATCTCTTAGACACTTATGGTTTGAGTGTCGTCATGAACTACCTGCAAGCCTCGTTGGAAAACCGACAACTCTCCTCTCCTCATCAGGCGGTCTTTGACATGGTCATCAAGGGCGCCAAGTTGCGCCGTGACCGCGTTGCTCGGGACCTGGAGGAAATTCTTATGGACGAAGAGGTACAGAAGCATGTTGAAGCAGCGAACAGCTACCTTACAAGGCTCGGTGCGGATGCTAGTTCGACGCCGCCCATGTTCGTTAATGGTGTCGCGCTTGCTCGTGGTGACGACTGGCTTCAGAGCTTGAGCATGCGAGTATCTGCCGATTTGCAAATGATCCAAAAGGCCGTCTATGAAGGCAGTCTTGATGACGACGTCTGGGTCCCTTCAGTTTTCTTAAACGATGCGTCACCCAGACGCAATCCCTTTGTCATTCCTGAGGATGAAAAGGAGATTAGGTTCTTGAACATTGCTCAGGTTCATTCGGAGCATGGCGCATTGATTGATGGCCTTCCGAAGCTCCCGGCCGAAGAGGACTCCAAATGGTTCCAGTGGGCTCAGCTTGTTGTCCTTGCAGACCTGAACAACGCAGCTGGCTCTAAATTGGCAAAGGAGGCCTTTGAATTCCGTCGCGAACATGGGGACGTGGAAGTCGTCATCGTTCACACCGGAAAGTCAATTCCAGACGCCACTTGGGCTCGCGACATTGACGATGCAAGCGGCTTCTTTGCCAAGCTCGTAAACGGGAAGCACATTGGTTCTGATGACTTTTTGTCCAACGAAGAAGGCCAGGCAGAAGCTACCAAGTACTGGCAGTCCGTTCACCCACTAATTCCTGCGCTTGGATGCAAGGACAGCACAGAGTGCCTTCTGTTGAACGGTCGGACTATCGGACCTCTTCCCAAGTCTAGAGTCTTCAGCCGGGAGGATTTCGAGGCTCTGCTTTCCTATGAGCGGAAGAAGCGCATCGAACCGGCCGCCCGTGCGGTAATGGACTTGGAGATGTCCTCAAAGCTCGAGTCACCTGCTGCCATCGCACGTTTCAACTCCCTTGTGGCACTGTCGACCGTGTCAGATATCCCTGAAGGTATCTTTGATGCGCCGCCTACCATGCGGAGACAGCTCTACAAACTCTGGAACTCGACCTATACTAGCATCACTACTGGTGATGTTGACACTGCAACTATCCAAATCGTAGCTTCCATCGATCCGGCTTCGGAGGTTGCTCAAAGATGGATTCCGATGCTTAAGGTTTTGTCCCAACTGAACGGTGTTCATACGCGTCTCTTCCTCAACCCCAAGGAACGCCTGGATGAACTTCCCGTTAAGCGTTTCTACCGTTATGTGTTGGACTCTAAGCCATCTTTTGGCGAGGACGGTTCATCAAAAACGTCGCAAGCGCATTTCACTGGTATTCCATCTGAGGCATTGTTGACTGTCGGCATGGACGTGCGACCCTCATGGCTGGTAGCTCCAAAGGACTGTATCCACGATCTTGACAACATCAAGCTTAGTACTTTCAAGGGTGTCACTGAGATTGATGCCCTCTATGAGTTGGAAAGCGTTCTCATCGAAGGACACTCACGCGATACAACTATTAGCGCCTATCCTCGTGGCACACAACTCGACCTCAAGACCGGGTCGAACCCTCGTTATGCCGACACAATCATCATGGCCAACATCGGCTACTTCCAATTCAAGGCAAACCCTGGTCTCTACAGCATCGAGCTCCAACCAGGCCGCAGCCAGGACATCTACAACTTCGACAGCGCAGGGACTCAGGGATGGAACCCATCTCCTGGTGACGAGACGAAAGAAATCGCACTCATCAGCTTCCAAGGTTTAACGCTATACCCGCGGCTGTCACGGAAGCCTGGCATGGAAGAGGAAGACGTGCTTAGCCCTACAACCTCAGGCGCCGCAGATCTTGCTGCCAAGGGTGCTAAGTTTGCTGACGATCTGCTGGCGAAGATGGGCATCAAAGGAGCAAAGACTGGTAAAATTCTCTCCCAGGGCATGAAGCTCGGCTCGTCTCTGCTTTCACTCCTTGGCCTATCTACTGATACCAAAGCAGCGAAACACGCGGACATAAACATTTTCTCCGTCGCCAGTGGTCACCTTTACGAGCGCATGCTAAATATCATGATGCTATCTGTCATGAAGCACACGGAGCACACTGTCAAGTTTTGGTTTATTGAGCAATTCCTCTCGCCATCTTTCAAGTCTTTCCTCCCCACACTCGCCGAAGAGTATGGTTTCCAGTACGAAATGGTCACATACAAGTGGCCTCACTGGCTGCGAGGCCAAAAGGAGAAGCAGCGCGAGATCTGGGGCTACAAGATCCTCTTCCTTGACGTGCTGTTCCCACTGGATCTGGACAAGGTCATCTTCGTCGACGCAGACCAAATCGTCCGCACCGACATGTACGAGCTCGTGCAGCACGACCTGCAAGGCGCGCCCTACGGCTTCACGCCCATGTGCGACAGCCGGACCGAAATGGAAGGCTTCCGGTTCTGGAAGCAAGGCTACTGGAAGAACTTCCTGCGCGGGCTGCCCTACCACATCAGCGCGCTGTACGTCGTCGACCTGCAGCGGTTCCGCGAGCTGGCGGCGGGCGACCGCCTGCGCCAGCAGTACCACCAGCTGTCGGCGGACCCGAACAGCTTGAGCAACCTCGACCAGGACCTGCCCAATAACATGCAGATGCAACTGCCCATCCACAGCTTGCCGCAGGAGTGGCTGTGGTGCGAGACGTGGTGCAGCGACGAGAGCCTCCGCGACGCAAAGACTATCGATCTCTGCAACAATCCGCAGACGAAGGAGCCGAAGCTGGATCGTGCGAGGAGGCAGGTCCCTGAGTGGACGGTGTATGATGAGGAGATTGCGGCGGTGGCGAGGAAGACGAGAGGGAAGGACGATGCGGAGGCGAGGGCTCCGGTGGGCGAGCGGGATAGGGAAATCTTGGAGGAGGAGGTCAGGGGTGCTGAGGGTGAGGAAGAGACCGAGAGAGTGCGTGATGAGCTTTAGCGCGGGACTGATGGGTGGTTGTTTGTGAGATTAACGATGTAGATGATGTAGAGTATGCATACATTAGGTAGAGTATTCTGATGATTATCCATGCTGTTGGCGCACGACTTATATACCACGATTGCAATTAAAATAAGCACATACGACCATAGGTCGAGGAGAATTGGGCATCCCGTCCGCTCTGCCATACACAAGCCTCGAACCGGCTGATTAGTAGTTAGGTGGGTGACCACTAGCGAATCCCAGCTGCCGTATGTTTTTGCTTTTGTTTTGCAGATCGTCCGTCTTTTTCATTTTTGCGTATAAGTGAAACGGACGGTGTGACAAGTGTTGGTGTTGGGAGGAGTGGAGGAAGAGGGGAGTAGGCGGGCGGCATGCTTTCTAGGATAGCAAAAACATGCATCGGCTCAAATTCAACTAGTAGTTTGCAGGAAAAACGAGAAGGCTCGCAAACCGCTTTTTTCTATCCGTAGTGAGATGTATGATAGATATTAGCTATACACGACCTCTCTAGAACCCTCTTCAATACTATATCACAGCCCACCAAGCACCACAAGCAAGCCCAACATACCAAACCACCGCTCATCCAACTCATTAATAGCACTCACTCGCCCACCAAATCCTAGTTCTATCATAACCAACTCACACACAAAACTCACTACCAAGAGCACCAAGAGCACCAAAAAATTTGAATCAACAATAAATTTTACTGCATCTGCATATACGCATAATATATGACTACATGTCTTCAACTCTAAAAACTTTCAAAAAAAAAAAAAAAAAAGAGGCAGTAGGTAGTAGCACAGTCCAGCCAAAAAATAACTGCCCACACAACCTCCCCTCCAAAAATATCACCCCATCACATACATACACACATCCACAACAACCCATCCATGCATCAACGCGCACCAAACCACCTTTTAAAAATCGCGCTCAAAAAGACCAAGAATCGAATCAAATCAAGACAAAACACTCAAGGGGTCAACAACGCGGAAGCCCTTAAGCGGTGGGGGTGGCGCCGACGTAGATGGTCGAGGTGATGGCCTGCGTCACGACGATGGTGGTCGTGGTGACGAAGCCCTCGCCAGCGACAGCGGCCTTGGTGGTAGCGGCGCTGCTGACAGCGGCAACGGAGGTGACGGCCTCCTGCTCGACGGCGGAGCTGGACTCGACGCTGGCGGCGGCGACGGAGGAGGCAGCAACCGAGGAAGCGGCAACCGAGGAAGCGGCAACGCTGGAGGCAGCGGGGGTAGAGGCAGAGCCGGAGCTGGCCGAGGCGGTCGAGATCTTCGTGTCCTTGGCAATGATCTTCTTGGCGGCGTGCTCGGAAACAACCATGACAATGGCCTGGGTGTTACCGGTGGGCAGGTCGGGGTGGATCGAGGCGTCAACGACGAACAGGTTGTCGGTGCCGAAGACCTTGCAGTCAGTGTCAACGACGGCGCTGCTCTTGTCGGCACCCATCTTGGCGGTACCGACGAAGTGGTCACCGGTAACGTGGGTGGCAATCAGGCTGTCGGCGGTGACCTCCTCGCCGGTGGTGGACTCGATGGAGAGGGAAGAGTCCTTCTTGATGTAGGCGATCAGGTCGGTCATGAAGGACTTGATGGCAGCCTTGTCGCCATCAGTGTTCATCCAGGGCTCAGTGCTGAAGGTGGTGGTGCCGTCTGCGGTGATGCCGAGAACACCGGTGGAGGTCAGACCGTGGGTGAGGTAGACCTTGATCTTGATGCCGTTGCTGCCGGTGGCGGCAGTGGTACCCTGGATGTAGCGGGTGACACCGTCGGTGCCCTTAACGTTGGTCCAGAAGTTCAGGCGCTGCATACCCTCGGAAAGAGGACCGGCACCCTGGGCGAAGAGAGAGATCTCGTTCTTGGTGGGGCTGGTGGGGTCATACTCGGTGAAGTTGGCGTTGGCAGCCGTGACGCTGACGGTGAAGATGGGGTGGTCCTTGAGGCCCTTGCCGACGGGGAGCTCGATCCAGTCAGCCTGCTCGGGGACGGTGACACCGGAAGAGCCGCTCTTGACGGTCTTGATCTGGTCGGCGGGACCGATACCAGAGTTGAACAGGATGCGGGGAGTGGACAGGGCACCGCCGGCGAGGACGACCTTGCCGTCAGCGTTGACATTGATGATCTGAGTGGAGCCGTCCTCGAGCTGAACCTCGACACCGGTGACGGCAGAGCCACTGCGGACGAGCTTCAGGACCTTGGCGCCAGTCTGGAACTTGAAGTTGTCCATGGCCTGAGCAAGAGGAAGGTAAGTCTTGACAGGGCCGGCACGGAGACCGTTCTGGATGTTCCAGGGCGGGTGAGCGAAGACCTTGGTCTTCTCGTTGGGCTTCTCGATGGCGCTGACCTCGTTCCAGCCGTTGCTGGTGAAGAGCTTGGACAGAATGGAGAAGACACCCTGGTTGTAGTAGCGGCCGTCAGAAGAAGGCTTGTCGGTACCGGGGTTACGCTCGTAGAAAGACTCAGCAGACTCGGAGATGTCGCTCCACTGCCAGCCCTGGGGCCAGTTCTCGAAGTCGGCCTCCTGGGGCTTGACGAACATCTCGGCGTTGATGGTGCTAGAGCCACCGACAAGGCAGCCGGCGCTGGAGGCAGTGTCGTCGCAAAGCTCGCTGCCGGAGGTCTTGTAGCCGTAGGCAGGAACATCATAGGCGGTGACACTGTTGTTCCAGGAGAGGGTGTCGCTACCGCCGGAAGACTTGGTGGAAGGAGCACCACGCTCAAGGAGAAGAACGGACTTCTTGCTCTCAGCGAAGCGCTCGGCGGCGATGATACCGGCGGCACCACCACCAATGACAATGTAGTCGTAGGTCTCCTTGGCGGTAGTGGGGGCGGCAAGAGGGGTGTTCACGGGGGTGCTGACAGGGGTAGAGGCGCTGCCGCTGCCCGAGGAAGTGCCAGTGGAGCCGGAGCCAGCGGCGGTGGTGGAGGCCAGGGCGGCCCAGGTGTCGTAGTCGGCAGACTCAGCCTTGGCAATGGGCATACCGAAAGCACCAAAGCCAGTGCTGTGGTAGAGGAGCTTGGCATCCGTGGAGGCGGGGCTCGTGGGGGCGTCGTCGGAAACGGCCCAGCCCAGGACGGCGGACTCAGCCGAGACCTTGAAGGTGGACGAGTCACCAACGATACAGTCCTTGCACAGGAAAGTGTAGGTGTAGTGGGTCGAGTTGACCGAGACACCCTCGGCAATGGGGTAAAGCTTGGCATCACCGTCGTAGGCAGTGGGGTTGGTGTAGGTCGTCGTCTTGCGGAGGCTGGCAACGACATCGTCGTCGTTGGGCCAGGCGGCAACGAGGAGCGACGACATCATGGACGAGGTCAGGGAGATACCGGCCCAACCGGAGCCAGGGGCGATGATCTGACCGATGAAGTCCTTGCCGGGCGTCTCGGGCAGAGCCATACCGAACTTGAAGCCGGAGGCCGAGTCGGTGTACTGCTGGAAGCTGATGCCGGTGGTGCTGTCGGTGTAGGCCGTCGTGGTCAGGGCCGCGGAGGCGGCGCCGGCCAGAGCGGCGATGGAGGCGACGGAACGCATTTTGGTGAAATAGGCAATGACTGGGGTGAGAGAAAGTAGTGGTGGGATCTAGTAGCAATTGGCACCGGGCCAAGAAAGAACGAGTGCAATGGAAGGCTGAAAGAATGAAGCCTCCAAAGCAGAAAGAATGACTGCGCAAAGGGAAAGAAGGAAAGTGGGCGCTGGACTGGCAGCTGTGCGTGAAGAAGGAAAGACTGGAAGAGAGTGCGCTTAGCGGGTATCTATATACAAGCAGCCCACAGCATGATAGAGGAAATCTCCGTTGGAGCCGCTAGCTACCCGCTCCACTACTGCCGGCACGCTCATCTCGCCATGTGAAACGAAACAGCGCCTGGCGGGGAGGATTCCCTTCCTCACCATTCGGCCGGAGTCCAGACACCAGGGGCACGGAATAAGCCCGTCGGCAGTGGTGGACTAACGAGGCGCGGGCGGGGCAGAGATCTGGGCGGGCGGCTTTGGCGTTTCGCATAAAGATGCACAGAAGAAGAGTGAGGTGAAGCGAAGGGGCGCGTCGGCCATGGTGCGACCGAATAGATGAACTCCGGGCCCGAGCGTCCCACGGAACTCGGTGCCCGCAACTGCTCTCCAATCCATCCAGTCTCCATCACCCCATCAATCATCATTATTACCCTTATCTCCTTCTTCACACGCTTCCCATGGCAAGGTGCGTGCTGCTTTACGCCATCTTCCCTGGCGTCTGCGTGCGTGCCGGAAGCTTGTTTCGCCAGCCCTGCCAGCTGCGCCGTCTGGACGCCCTCCCGCCCCATGCACTCCATGTCTCCACACGGACCTGCTAACTTATACCGACAACTGGAGTGCCTTAATAGACTCGTCGGCTCTCGGCTCTTGTCAGCATAACGGTCGGACTTGTCGGCATCCCTCAGCCCTCCTAAACTTTCGTCTCTGCTTTCTCCGACCGCGTCATCCCGGCTACACGCTTCTCTGTGTCCCTATCTGCAGACGATATGCCCCTGAGACAGTCGCCGTCGCGTGCGTCCTGTCTCACTCTCTCATCTCCCGAGTCCATCTGCACGTCGACCCTAGCGATTCGGCGGCTGTCGTTTGCTTCGCGATGCGGCGGTGACTGTCGTCCTTCCTGAACAAGAAGGTATCTGACTGCATCCTCGTCGATCGACGGATCCTCTCAGCGTTACCACCCCTGCGGCTCGATCCTCGTCCCTGTCTTGCGCAACGATAGCCCGGCGACTCAATGCATCCTTCCAGAACCCACGTATTCGAGCAAACTTTCGGCGGATGCGACCGACGAATGCTCATGCCGGGGTTGTCATCACTTCGCAGAATCGCTTGGCTGGAGTTTACTTACGGACGTTGGCACAGTCGACGAGGGCGGATCTGCAACAGCGGAGATGAGACCCCTCATTCTCGCTTTGTCTTTCCGCACCAGCGATAGCTCGCGCCCAAAATAATTCCGGCCGATCTGATTCGTGGAATCTTCTGGACGGTTTTGGACTCGTCTGCGAAAACGCAATTCCAGGGAACGCCCATTTTGTTGTCGCGCTGCTGCCTTCAGTCGACGATGTTGTGCTGCCCGTTGGAAGGAAGGAAGGTGTAGCCTGGGGCCGAACGACCGGCGGTTCTGTGGCTGCCGCCGTCAGCCCGTGGCGCGAAACCGTTGGAATCCCACGCGACAGCCCAAAACTCTGTCACGACAAAGTTTCGCGGAGTTTCACACCTGACACCACGGTGGTGTTGCACCATCCGTCGAGTGCGACTTCTCGGTCTTCAGAACGTGCAGGGGGAGCATGCCCGATCGTCACGACCTGCATGCAGCTGCAGGGAGCGCAAGGCCAGCTGCACATTCCTACCCCGGACTTTCCTGTCTCCTACTCCAGCAGGCAGGTCGCTAGAATCGACGTTCGCGGTAGGAGAAACGCAAATCGCGAACGTTGTCTCGACTCCGACTCTCGACTCGTCCAGACGCGCGCGCTACCAACATCCGCGAAAACTGAAATCCGTCGCTGCGCCGTCTCTCCAGCTCCTTCCCCTGCAGATCAGCGAGCGACGGCACACCACCACCACCACTGCAGGCAAAACACCATCCGCCCGCTTGCAGCGCCGCATCACGCAAGCACTAACGCACGCTTCCGCTCGCCGAACCTTCCGGCCTACGCGCGTAGCCCAGCCCGTCTGCTTGGCAAACGCCGCAACGGCGCGCCCTCGGCCTGAGGGATGCGTCCGCGTCGCCCTCGCGCCAACGGCGTGCTTTGCGAAGTACGTAGTGCGAAGCACGTAGTTCGAGTAGAGATTTCTACTATAGAGGACGCCGCAGGACGAAATGCCGCCGCGGGCTTCGTGCCGGCGTTAACGTGCCTGCCTGCGGCTTGTATTTGAATATAGTAGCGCAAAACAAGCATGCATGATCGCCGACAGGTAAGTAGACACGTAGAGTAGTCCGGCGCGATCTCCCTAGGAGTACCAAGCCTTTGCTAGAGTACGCGTGCGTATTTGTAGTGGGGAGCCAAGACATGCTTGCACCACGTTCGCTCGCTGTACGTACAGCACGCGGCAGACGCCCCGCTTGCCTGTGCGTCGTATATCGAGCATCGTATATCGAGCATCATGCATCGTGCACCATCTATCTTTATCTTTATCTTTATAGTATCACCGCGTCAGCATCAGCGTCAGTGTGCCGCCGATACGACGGTCGCCTATTGCTAGCTAGGCTTTAGCAGCGAGCGCGCATCGTATCCGGAGATACGGTGGGTGGGTGCCTAGGTTGCTTTGACCTCTTGCCGGGACGGGCAGGAGTAGGTGCCTGCTGCTGGATATGTGGGCTGGGTCGGTGGGTTGGATTGGGTTGGTGGGTCGTTTGCGGTTGCTGCTTTGGGTGTGGGGGAATATTGGTGGGTGGGATGGTGGTTAATTGGATTGATTGGGTGAGTAGGGTGTTTGGGGTTTTGGGAGGTGGAGGGTTTGGGGATACCGCATTGATGGGCTGGCAGTTGCTTGTTGACGGTGCATACTTAGTGGGTAGAGTGTCCTTTGGGAGTGCCTTATGTGACAATGCGGAGTTGCGCGATATAAACAGCGGCGAGTACGGCATGGACTCTTGAGAAGAAGAGGCATTTATCACGTACGCAGTGCTTGAGCCCTTGATGAGCAAGCATAGAGGGAAGACGAGCTCACTTACTATAAGGTGAAGCTTTTTAGCAGAGACACGCCTGCATGGGCTTCTGTGCTGTTGGGTTCGGATGCACTGTCGATGCTCACGCTGATGAACTGACGAGGTACTAGTAAGTGCAGTATAAAAACACAGATCTGAACACTCCAGCTTCGCGACACGTCCAACGCGTCCTGCAAGAATCCAGTTATTGCCATTCCATGTAGTTTTGGGGGAAAAAATAACTCACAACAAGTAACCTGGATGCAACATCGGAAAGCCATTGGGGTTCGAGTATGACGGATGAATCCTCCGCCGACAGTAGCAAGTGAAGGCGCTCGCCGCGAGTATGTCGTGGTAATGGTACGCATCGGCGTCGAATGATGATGGTTATCGGCATTACAGCGAGGTGCTGTGCGGAGCGGGATGTGATGAGGGGCTTGTGGACGCCGCATCTTGCTAGGTGCTTGCGGCGGATTAATACTTGTGTCCACCAGAAGGGGTGTCTCAGAAGAGTCTTGCTGATTGTGGGCTTCTGGTGTGCTGTGTGATGGTGACTGCGTGAGGGGTGTGCTGGTTGCGGGAATTATCAATTATATCTTGGGTTTTGATTACGTACGGTTTAGTTGGTGTCGTTGTGGCTTATAATGTGGAGGGGTGGGGATGGGTTTGGTATTTTTTGTTTCTGGGTAATAAGTTGTGGGGACGTGTCCGGGGGAGTGCGGTTAGAAGGTGTTGAGTAAGGTGCTGTGGTTTTGATGGTAGGGTAGGTGTGACTGTGGTTGGTTAATAAATTTGTTACTTATTAGGATATGGGATTCGGCGATAGGATGTGATGACGGTAGTTAGGGCAAAGGACTTTAAGAGAGTTGTGGAACTTATATATACCTAGATTTGTTCGTATTTCTTCTATGGAATTATCAGGATAATTCTATGTAAAGTCAACATATGAAAACAGACCCGATAACTCCGACACCGAGGAGTACGTGCTAATGGCTTCCGTAAATAGATGTCCAGAAGCGGCCGACTGCCTAACAAAGCAGGATCTTCATCGCCACATGCGAAAGAGACAACAGAAGAAAAAGACGCTGGAAGTTCCATGTGGGGTTTTTCCACGAATGGGTCTGCTTCACGAAACCCAATTTATCAGGAAAAAGTACATTGGTATGTTGCACATCTCATCGCACGGAGATGCTGATTATTAGTATCATTCAGCGTCGGTGCTGGTCATCATTATACACTCAGAATTTTCACTGCGAGGTAGAGTAAGCACACAAGACTTTTCAGTGTTGTGCTCCGCCGGTGAAAATAGAATATACCTGAAGCCATGAATTGTGACCTCAGCTTCGTCGTCTAAACCCATCCATTTTGGGCATACTAGAGATGTCCGTGGTATGTATTTAGTGAAAAGTAAAGCATTAGTTTCTTCAGCTATTGGGGGATTATATATGCGGTTTTCATATTCGGGATTGAGACCAGTACAGGTAATAGCTCCAGAGCATTTAACATTCGAGTTTAAAGGCCTAGCATCGTGGTATTCTATGCTCGGAAATAGGAGGCCCAATATATAAAGATGCTATAATATTCATAGAATATAAAAAAAGGCAGCTTACTTCGTTAGTCCGAATTTATTAGTTTATTTTGTAGAATCCTCACCTCTGCGATACATAGTAAAACTAAAAATAATAGTAGGATATAGGATCCTTTTTATACTTGCGACTTCTAGGTTCTGGACCTCGCTGTCAAACATTATAGTTCCTCTCAGCCGTTAGTACTCTTAGCCCAACGGAAGTGACGTGTATGACATGATATCCAAACAGTAAAACAATGATCATTTGGTCTAGACTGTTGAACAGTGGTAACGCTCACACACAAGGCTCCCAAATTCCATGTGAGCTGTTCATTCCATGCAGTCAGAAGCACGTGAGCCTTGAGCGAAGTTACCAGTCGTCTGCGCCTCGAGCTGTAGCCGTGAAAGCCGGCCCCATTCTCCCTGCAACCTCTGCCAGATCTCAGCATCGGCAAACTCGCTCCTGGACATGGGAAACCGGAAACCGCATAGCCGTAGCGGGCAATGATCGGCGCAACACCACAACTGCGCCATCATTCTCAGCTCATGCCCATGCAGGCCCAGCAGCATCCGCGGTCTCGACTGCGCTCTCTGGCGGCCCTCTGCGTCAGCGTGCGCGGCGTTTACTGGGGCTGCCGCCGGAGGGTGAGGGAAGCTGCATAGGTGGTTGCTTCGAGGCAGCGAGCGAGCGCGTCATCGCCTCGTTCCGAGTACCTGGGTGGCCGCGTGCGGAAGGCCGGGTTTGGCGCGCCAAATACTCAGGTACCTGCAAGTATTCGCCGAAGATTTTTATATGCTTTTCCTGATCGCCGCGGCTGCTGCACCTCTTAATCTTACTCTCTCCATCAACACACACCACACACGAAAACATGGCCACACCAGCCCCCGCAGCAGCAGACAGCCGCGCCCTCCCGCCACGACACAGCGCCTCGCAAACCTCGCAAACATCACAAACCACACTGGCCAGCACCCCGCACACCCAAGAACCAGACAGCCGTACGCCCACAATCCAGCACGAAGAAGCCTCTCTCCAAACCGTGCGCAAACACCTCGGGCTGCACCCCCGCGCCGCAGCAACAGGGCCCTACCGCGGCGCCCCCGCCTGGGTCAAGCTGCGCCTCGTGCTGCGCGAGCCGCTGCTCGAGTTCTGGGGCGTCTTCATCATGTGTTTTTTCGGGCTGAGCGGGACGGCGCAAGCGGTGCTGAGCGCGGGGGACCGGGGGGCGCCGGGCGGGGACGGGTTCGGGGGGTTTTATAACGTGCAGTGGGGGTGGGGGATTGGGGTCATGTTGGGCGTAAGTGGCTGCTGCTGTCTTAGTGCCTGTCGCGAGTGTCTTGGTGTGGTTTGGAAACGTTTGTGTGTGTGTTGATGACGCTTACCTTACCTATGGCTGTGATATAGATCTACGTCGCTGGTGACTCCGGCGCCTACCTCAACCCCGCCCTCACGCTTATGAACTGCGTCTTCCGCCAGCTGCCCTGGAAGCGCTTCCCCGCGTACGTGCTCGCGCAGTTCCTGGGGGGTTTCGTGGCCGCCGCCGTCGTCTACGCGAACTATATCCCTGCGATCGACCACTACGAGGGCAAGGGCCGGCGCACTGTGCCTCCTGCCACGAACGCTACCGCTGGCATCTTTGCTACGTATCCCACTACGTTTACGCCGAGAGCGAGCCAGTTCTTTCATGAGTTTAGTTCGACGGCCGTTATGGCGTTCGTCGTGCTGGCGTTTAAGGACGAGAATGGCGCCGATTTGGTGAGTGTGTCGTGTAGGTGTGGGTGTTGATGGAGCTAGCAATGGGCAGTGCGGGCGAGTCTGAGCTGCAAGTCTGCGGACACGGACTCTGGAGACAGTGGGTGTCTGCCTGCCCGTGTTAGCGACAACCCACCACCATCAACCTCAGCAGCGCACACGGTACAGCCCACTAACACGCCCAACAGAAAGGCGGGACCTTCTTCCCCCTAGCCCTCTTCTTCCTCGTCTACGGCCTCTCCTCCGGCTTCGGCTGGCAAACAGGGTGCGCATACACTCTCTTCCCCATACTCAACCACCCACCACACACACCCACACGCACAAACAAGCGCGCGCAAGCCAAGCCAAACTAACCCCCCTCCCACGCCCCAGCGCCGCCGTCAACTTCTCCCGCGACTTCGGTCCCCGCCTCCTCACCTACTGCGTCGGCTACGGCGCCGACGTGTGGCGCTCCAACGAATATTACTTCTGGGTAATGCTCTTCCGTACATCCCAAGCCCTTTCTCGCATCAACCGCACTAACCACCCACCCACCTCTAGATCCCTATAATAGCGCCCTTCATAGGCGCCCTAGCCGGCGGCCTCGCATACGACATGTTCGTGTACAATGGCGACAGCCCCGTCAACTCGCCGAATCTGGGAATGGGGTATTTGACGAGGTGGGTGAGGCCGAGTGTGAGGAGGCGGGATAGGGATTGTGGTGGTGGTGGTGGTGGTGGTGAGGAGGTGGTGTAGGTTTGGTTAGGTGATTTATGGGTATATGGATGGATGGATGGGTGGACGGATGGATGGAAATGGCGTTTGGTGGTCTGCGATTGAGAGACGGGTTTATGAGGTGCAGCGGACGAAAGCACAGAGTTTTTGGACTAATCGAAGTGGACTTACCTGCCCTACACACAGAGTACAGGATATAGACGCATCGACGTGAGATTCGCAATCCGTGCTCCGGCTTCTCAGTCGGAATCCGCTGCCTCCCCAGCACAGAAACGTGAACTTTTCGCAGCAGCCTTATTTCCTACTCCATGCCGATGCGCCTACACCCCATACCCACCCACCAAGCCTCACCAACAATCTCACCTACCCCCACTCCTCTCTTATACTAGTTCCCCGCAACCTGCCTTCTTCAGCCCACACCCACCAAATTTAAGTCCTCGACATCGGGTTCCAGTTCCCTTAAACAGCGGGTCCACCTGCCCCCGTCATCGCGCTGCCCCACGCCATCTTCCCCGCGACTTTCCTTTTGTGGTCCTGTGGGGCAGTATTCTGAGCTGCGTGCTTGGCGTGGCGTCGGGATAAGGTTTCCGCGTCTGTGCTTGAGGAGGGCGGAGCGGAGCGTGGATGGGTGTGGCCGGGGTTTTCTGGTAGAGGTGGGTAGCGTCGTCTGGTGTTTTGCGCTCTCTGCTTGTTCTGTATGTCTCGCTTGGTGGGTGTTGTTGGTGTCGTCTTTTCGTCTGCTTTGCTGGTGTCTGGCATAGAGTTATTCAGGCGCGATTGCCGCTGCCGCGACTCAACTGCCTTACCAAGCCCGTCGTGCTGATGATGTAATGGAAGGCAGTGGAAGCCGCGGCAAGGCCTGCCTCATCGGCGTTCGAGAGATCAGAAGACGCAACTCAATGCCTAACACCACCTATACTACCAGCAGATAACATCAAAGAAAAACGGGAACGCAGCGCGGACGCACACGGAGGGCACGTCCAAGCCAAGCAGGCAGCGGACGCTCTCGGCACGAGCCGAAGTAATGCGCCAACCGTGGCGTGACGAAGCACCCACCTCTCCATTCTCGCGGGCCTTCTCGAAGGCGCGCAGAAATTTTCTCGAAGGACGCCCGCTCGGCAGACTTCCCTGTCTGCCAGTGCCAGCAACGAACCTGGGAACTGGGGAAGAAGGACCGGTGGCCGCCGCCGCGCTGTTGCCCCCACTTGCTTCGGGGCACGTTCGGTGCAGCGTTTGCGTTTGCGTTTGCGTGGAGAGAGCGACAGCCGAAGCTAGAAAGCGAGCGAGTGGAGAGACGGCAGTGGAGATGACGACACTCGACATGCCTGCAGCGGGCAGCGGGAGCGGGAGCGCGGGAGGTAGCGAGCGAGCAGGCAAGCGGGGGCGGTAGCGTGATACGTCTCGTGATGGAGAGTGAAGTTTTGGTTGGTGGGCAAGCGCGGGAGCCCGTGCGCGAGTTGGCGACGATGGGCGCGGGTTCCGTTTTCCTTCCCCGGCTTCCATACTCCCCATCAGCCCTTTAGCCTGAATGGCTTTTGGCCTTGGCCGTGGTCGTGACGCCAGCCCCTCTTGCGCCTGCTCATGTTGCCTGCGTGGATCGTTGCGGTCCCGGGCGGATCATCGCGCCTTGCGTGTTGCGTGCAGCTGGTGGGCCGCCGTCGCCGTTGCCGTTGCCCTGGGTCTTGGGCCTTGGGCTAGCGCGGCGCTTTTTGGGACGTCGGTCGTCGATTGCCTCTGCTCTGTTGTCAGGTTGTAAACGCTACGTCTGCTGCTGATCGTCGCCTTGACGTGTAGGGGCGGTTTGTGGACGAGCTGTTTCTGTTGGTTTACTGTTGTTTTTTTGTTGATGACTTCCCATCCTGACGCGAGCAGTCGAACGTCCTTGCAAGAAGAAACATGGTGGCACGGGTCATCGTTCGTAAGAGCTTGGAGTTGTGGGGTGGTCTGGGGTCGCGCGGAGTGTGGAGGTGGAGTCTGGGGAACGGCGATGCACGAGGCGGCTGCTACTCTCGCGAACCTTCACCCATCGGGTCATCATCGCAGCGACAGGCGCGACAACAACCATGCTGTCTATAATCGCAAACCCCGGAAACATGCAGTTTGACGCTTGTTGCTTTATTTTTAGGCGCGAAAAGTGGCTGGGAACCCTGCTCTTTGGCCCCCAACCTTTGACGCGACCGCGTACAAACAGTCCTACTACCGCGCGCGAGGTGCGTGCCGTTTCCTAACGACACTCACTATGAGCGACACTGCATACGCCAGAATTGAGTTGCAACCGTTGGCGTCGGTGCAGCAATCGGAAGGATACGAGAACAGAAAACCGACAGGCACGGATGGAACGCGTGCTTCTTCCCTGTCAGGACGTCATCAGGGCAGCTCTTTCACTGCAAATCCTGTCATCTTCAGAAGCGTATCACAGACTCGGACAGTTCTTCGCGATGCCTATGCGAAGTCAATGCCGTTCCTTCGCGAGTCGTACACCGAGTCGAAACCGTTCGTCCGTCAGGCTACGTACCATGTCAAATCCACAGTCACGCAAAGATGGTTCATCCGACATATCGTGGGGTTACTCACTCTTCTACTTTTCGGACTCTTACCCTGCATCTTGTACTTTCGGATACTCGAAAATCCTTTTTCGGTACAAGAGGCAACATGTGACGGTTACAGGCCAAAATCAGACAATGACAATGGGATCCAAGGTCTCTTCACCATCGACCGAGTCTCAGGTGCATTTCCCTTTTGGTTGGCCAAGCTCTTGGATACCATATGGGACTTGGCAGTTGGACGAGGGTTTCAGTTCGTGTCGTCATGCGTGGCCTACGTTGTCTTCACCAGCGCAGTGCTCCGGACAATAGAGGTATCGCCTATCCCGTATAGGACGTTCATCTCCCTGTCTCAAGACGGACCAACGGTATCGAGCATCGTTTCGCTTCTCGCAGACATCACTCGCTATGCTCGAACTCGGACGACCCTGCTTTTCGTCTGGGTTACCTTGTCTACCCTTTACGTAGTAGCCATGCCGACCCTGTTCTCTACCATGACTGGATATATCAGCACCTCCAGGGCGTTCACGCAGATTCCTTCATCTACCGGCTCCGGCCTTCAGTACATTCCAAGGGATGATTTTTTCTTGGGATTAGTGATTCATGACCTGCCAGGGATTGCGAATAATACGTGCTTCCCTACCGAGGAAGTTGACACTCCGGTACACCAAATGTTTGAGCAATCCAGCCAATGTATGTCCGCTTGCCCCCCACACTTTCAAACAAGGGACGAATACTGACCTGACATAAAGGTAATACTACTTCATGCGCAGGCTATGTCAATCGTCGTCAATGTAAGGCCAAGACCTTGGAGAGTGACGGCTATAATGATTACCTCCCATGTATGCAGTGCCCTTTTCGATTGCGCACGACCGTTGACTAACAGGCGCGTAGGGGTTTATTTCAGCAATGAAACCTACCTATTGTATGGTGATTACTACAACTGTAAGCTCTACTTCTCCTGCCCTTTCTTAATATCAACCACTTACCTTGCACAGGCAACGCCACGTTGAATATGACTGTAGCTGGAAAAACTTTGGCGTGGAAGGACGGCCGGCACCATATCGGCGACCATGCGGGTTGGTGCTACGATGGTAAACCGTACGGCGATCGATACATGTACGAGAAAACTCAGTGTATGCCCGACACCAAAGGCGCCCGGTACCACTGGGGCTTCTCAGCAACGCTAACGTCGGTGGTCGTCATCGTGCACGCAGTGTGGGCGCTGACGATGTATGCGGTCTGGCTCGAGGCGGAAGTCCATGGCCGCCTGTTGCGCGAAGGGTACAACTTGACGCAGCTGCGTGGAATCTTTGTGGTTGCGGCCGCTGCGCAGGACACGACGGGGATGGAGGTCGCGGAACTGAAGACGCTCTCGACGAGTAAAGTGGAGAAAGAACTGTTTGACAAGGGTGCGAGGGTCGAGTTTAAGCAGCTTGAGAAGGAACTGCCGTATGCGCACGTAACGGCGTTTGAGGCAACATGATGATTATGATGATGAACGACAGGAACGCGAACGGCAGCCGCGCGTGCGAGCGACTAGACAATCATATATTCAGTATTACATGCATGACGAGTCGGCACAGCGGACGAGGCTGTTTCACGACGGGCATCACCAACGTCGGCATCCGAGGCGAAGGCGTGATCGAGCGACGGTCCTCATTCGCCGTCGCATGTGATGTGGGTGCTCGCAGTTCTTGTCCGGGGACGATCCACGGAGGCCGTGGGTCCGGAGGAGACTGTTATGCGTGGAGCTGATGGAGCCGAGAAAGAAGTTTGCAAGTGATGGACCAGCAAGACGCCGGGGTAGGCAGGCCGCCCGCTGGACACGCAGTCGTAAGACGTTGCCTGGCCAGTCCAAGGCCCACCCGCCTAGACGTCGATCGAGGAGGGCCGCGCACGATGAGAGTCAGAGAGGTCGGATCGTGCACCTGCAGGGCCGAACATTCACCACGCACTCACAGCAGCACAAGAAATTTCTGTCAACAGCGACGCCACCAAGCCACTGCCGTCGTGGTTGGGTTTTCGGAGCTGCATCCGTCGGACGACTGCAAGGGCAGGGTGACGCACCGCGCCAACCATTTTCCCGTTGCGGGCAGCACTAAGCATTTAAGCTTGTCTGGCTTGACGTCAGTGCTAACGACTTGACCGTGCCAAGGCCGGTCAAGTCGCTTGGCCCCCCGACGTCTCGTCCACCGCCTTAACCCTCCCCCTCGTCGTTTTTATCTCCCCGGGCTCCAGTATGAAATCACACGGCCCACTCTTTCACCAGCTAGTCGCCTCTCCGCGAGTGACGGTGGACCATCTCCCGCAAGCCAACACTAACACCGCCAATCCCTCCATGCCTGGCCTCCGGACGTCACGCCGTGCAGCTCGCAAGTCGCAACTCTTTTTTTTCGCTGCTCCGCGCAACTGCGAAAAAAAATGGTCCCTGATATCATCATCGTACTCCTCCACCAGGGTCTGAAAAATGCGGAAGAGTGGGCCTGCCCACGCACCTCTTGTGCCACGGGGAGGCTATAAGGGGACTGTTCTCTCCTCTTCTCCCTCCACCAGCAGCTGCTCCTCGTGATTCTCTCCCCAGACTCCCGTCACGACCACAGCCAGCATGGGCTTCTCAGGCTTCTCACACACCGGCTTCCTCGGAGGGAAGATCGGAGGCAAAGCACTCCAGATAGGCGTCTGTATCACTGCGTCGTCTGGTTTCCTGCTCTTCGGGTAAGCACACGGCGCTTTCAACGTCCAAGGCTTTGCGACGCTGACTTTGCACTCTCCAGTTATGACCAAGGTATCATGTCTGGCATTATTACGGAACCTATGTTTGTCGACTACTTCCCTCAAATGGACTCGGACTTCAAGGACGGTGCCATCCAGGCTCTCGTCGTCGCTATCTACGAAATCGGCTGCCTTCTCGGATCTTTCATCATCATTGGCTGGGGTGACAAGCTTGGTCGCCGCATGTCTGTCCTCATCGGTACTCTCATCATGCTTGTCGGCACTGCTATCCAGGCTGCTTCGGTCACAATGGGCATGCTCATTGTGGGACGAATCGTAACTGGTGTAGGCAACGGCATGAACACTTCGAGTATTCCCGTCTGGCAGTCCGAAATGGCACCGCCCAAGATTCGTGGTTTCCTCGTACTGTTCGAGGGTGCTCTGATCACTGGCGGTATCATGATTTCGTATTGGTAAGTTGTTGATCAGCACGGCACGTGCTTTATTGGAACGCAAATCAACTGACCGATCATCAGGATCAACTATGGCTTCTGGTTCGTGACGCAGTACGGCTCCTTCCAGTGGCGCTTCCCCATCGCGTTCCAGGCCGTATTCGGTTTCTTCCTGATCCTTGGTGTTTTGGCCTACCCCGAGTCGCCTCGCTGGCTGCTCAAGCACGGCAAGAGGGAGGCCGCGCTGGAAATCATGTCACACCTGCGCGACACCTCGATGGACGACCAAGGAATCCAGAAGGAGGTCCACGACATGGAGAAGATCAACGCCATCACCGGCGGCAAGAAGCTCACCGTTAAGGAGTTCTTCAGCCAGGGCCCGGAAATGAACCGCTGGAGAGGTCTGATTGCCTTCACTTCCCAGGCTTTCCAGCAGATCGGTGGTCTGAACCTGGTTACCTAGTATGTTTTCCCCCGTATTTCCCCAAGCTGCAAGACCCGTATGCTGACCACCACCAAAGCTACGCGACCACGGTTTTCGAAGACTCGCTCGGCTTTGACCCTGAGCTCTCCCGCCTTATGACCGGCTGCCTGGGTACCGAGTTCTTCATTGCGGCGCTCGTCGCCCTGTTCGTCGTCGACCGTCTCGGCCGTCGCAAGCTGATGCTTGGCGGTGCCGTCGGCATGGCCGTCTCGCTGCTCGTTATCGGTGCCTGCTTGTCTGCCGGCACCAAGCCTCCTGCGTATGCCGCGACTGTCTTCATCTTCGTGTACAACTCGTTCTTCGCAGTCGGTTGGCTGGGTGTCACCTGGCTGTACCCCGCCGAAATCACGCCCATCCGTATCCGTGCCGAAGCCAACGGTCTGTCGACGTCCGCCAACTGGATCTTCAACTACGCGGTCGTGCAGCTGGCGCCGATTATGATCAACAAGATTGCTTGGGAGACTTACTTTGTCTTCATGTGCTTTAACTGGGCTTTCATCCCGGTTGTGTACTGGACCTTCGTCGAGACCAACGGTAAGTTTACTCCGACAAATAGGCATGTACCATAGAGCAACCACTAACGCGCAACACACAGGCCACCCTCTTGAAAAGATGGATGCCATCTTCGCCGAGGCGTACGAGAAGGGCGAGAACCCCGTCAGCACCGAACGCCGTGTGCGCAAGGGCGAGGTTCTCGACATCGAGAAGACGATGGAGGAGGCCGAGCGCGTTGCCGAAGCCCGCGGCGAGGCGCAGCCGCACTCGGACTCGGACGAGGACAAGTACGGCGCAACGCGGAAGGAGCAGGAAGGTTAAGTCCTGACCTGTGATCTTGTGTGCACGCTTGCCAGCGTCTCTCCCATCAGCCGTTGGCCAAGGAGCAGCATATGATACCCCCGCCATTGTTCAACAGTGTGGTTGGCGGGCTGTAACAACATCACATCGACATATGTCATGAAGGACGGGGAGAGAACGACATCGCGCTGCGACGAAAGCGGTGGCGCGGATGTTATTTTAATGGATGATAGGGCCAAGAGATGGAAATACTGTCTTATTTGGTGGGAATTTAATGATACCATGACAGAAGGGTTTGATGATGATGATGAGGGAGGGGTTGGGGGAGCGTTGGAGCGATGGATGCTCTTTTGGTTGTATGACTACCCATGTACTTTGATGATACCATGATATGTAGAAGTTTGTCTACCTAGCTATATAGTTAGGCTATGAATTTGGGTTTGGAAAAATTGGTTGCGCTATGATTGCTGTTGGTGATGGGAACGAGTGAATAACTCACTGGGAGGCAGGCAGTATGACTCCACAATGCAGAATGTAGAATGCAGAACGCAGAACGCAGGGCGCGAGACGCAAGCATCCCACCCACGCAGACGGACTCGGCAGTTGCTGCCCTCCGTCTCCGGGCTTCCACTCCCCCTGACCACCACATCAGCTCAGCGCTTCACTTGCCCGCTCACCCATTGACCATTCCCGTCCAGTAGACTACGTCCATCTAGTCCCTACCAACATGGAGGCGACTTACCGTAGGAGTACCTAGGCATCACCGCCCGGAAGCCGCGGCACCCGCGCCCGCCCGCACCCGGCAGCCGGGCAGCCGGGCAGTAGTCCCAGCCGTGCCGCGCGGTGCCGTGCGGTGCCGTGGAGGAGTGGAGGAGTGGAGGAGTGGAGGAGTGGAGCATCGGCTCCGGCACTGACACCAGTAAGGTAGGACTTGGTGCTGACAACAGCAAAGGCCCAAAGAAAGGCAATGCAAAGGCAAGGCAATGCGGTGAGCGCCGCGCTGACGCGATTGGACTTGGTCCTGGCAGGGCAGGGCAAAGGCCGCAGAGCCTACCTCCCCCCCCCCCTAGCTATCAACGGTATCAACGGTATCGGCATCGGCAGCGTGGGTATCTCTCCTTATCGCGCTCGCGCGCTTGTTGGCTCGCACACGCTTCGCACGCTCGCCATGCACGCTGCAGGGGAGGCGGGGGAAGGAAGCAGCGTGCGTTTTGCACCCAGCGCCCAGCGCCCAGCACCGACCCCCCAACACACACACACACACGGAAGGGACGAGAGTGGGAGCGTGTGTGTGTGCGCAGGGCCATTGCCATGGCCTTTCGCCCCCGGATGCGCGAACACGTAGCACGCACAGCACGCTCCCGCTGCTGCGCGCCCCTTGGACCCAGCTCGCGCTCGCGCTCTTCCCCGTCCAAGTGCCCTTGCTTACTCCGTAGTTACTGCCACTGCTGCTCTCTCATCAGCGCTGTCCATGCAACACGGGCTATCGTACTTATCGATTGATTGGCATGCCATGGCATGGGCGGCGCTGCGTCTGCCCTCTGCTCTGCTCTCCTCTGCTCTGCTCACGTGCCCGGTCGTAATCGCAATCGGCGGCTTCGCCACCGTAGGAGTAGGTAGGCCTCCATGCGATTGACCGGCCGTGTCGCCCACTACTACAGCATCACCACCGCCAGTCCAAAATAGAAACGCCGCGTGCCTCGTGCCTGGCTGGCCGTCTGGCTGTAGGGACCAAGGGGCAAGCAAGCAACAGCACTGTCAACTGATGGACGAGGTACCGAGACCAACGACCAGACCACACACGCCCAACCTCCTATCCCTTGCGCCCTCGCCTTGTGTCCAGCCGGTCCGACCAAGCTCTTGGAGTCGCAACTCACGACTCACGACTCGTCCCCGTCCCCCGTCGCCACCCCATCCACCCACCCTCTAGTCAGCACCAGCCCACACCACGATCCGCACCGTGCACACACACACGCGCGTCTGTCTGCACGCACGCGCTCCGCTCCGCCCCGCTCCGCCACCCGTACCCGCAAGCCATGGCGCCCGCCGCCCAACCAGACAAGCGCAGCGTCCAGCTACCTAGGCGGCTACGTGTGTCGAGGTCCAGGGACTGCTTCCTTCTCACGAGTAGGCCCCGTCATGGCAGGACGTAGACAGAGCGCGTGGCGTGATGCCGAGCTTACGTGTTGCGGGCTCGCGCGGGTGAGGGGAGGAAGCATGCAGCCGTGGCAGCCCGCCAAGGATGCGGTAACCAGGTACCTAGCGCTTGCATATTGTATGTGCGCCTGTCAATCCTCACGAGAGGGTTTAGTTAATAGCGTCGGCGCGCGGGCTCGGTAACCATGTGCATTTAGCAGTGGTGTGTCGTGCCCTTGTACAATTGCTCTTTAGTGGTTTAGGCGGCGAGAAAACTAGAGGGGCTTCGGGGCCTTGAGACATGGACTTGTGGGGTTAACGACGCGTTCGGAGCGAGGTTGCGCAAGTGCGCAATTATGTGCAAGAATCTAGGCTCTCTATTATTGCTGCCAACAATATGGGGTATCGGACTAGCTATGCCAACGGGGGACGCGAACGCAGCCCAACCACAATCTTAGCGACGGACTACCTACCGCATCAGCAACGACATTAATGGCTGATGTACTGGAACACGGCGCTAACGGCCTTCTCCGCCGTTTCTTGCCTGAGCAACAAATCCTGGATCTTCGCCATCGGGCCTTCGTCGCCATCGTTGACAAAGTGGTTCCAGCTGCTCGTGTCACCGTACAGCATCGCTGGCGCCTTGATGTGCTGCCTGCCGTCGGACCTGCAACGCTTGCACTTGAACGTGTCGTGCGTGTCGCTGGTGGTGTTAGGCTGGTACTGGAAGAGCTCTCGCAGCGAGTCGATGGAAAAGTGGCGCTCGACATCCTCAGCCGAGTCGACGACACATGATGAGAGCGCCGACTTGTGTGACTGGCGCTGAAAGATCTTCTCCTCGATGGTACCTGTCGCGATGAAGCGATATACAAAGCAATCCTTCTTTTGGCCATCGCGCCACACACGAGCTAGGGCTTGTTGATCAGCCGCGGGATTCCAGTCAGGATCGAAGAGGACGAGGCGGTTGGCGCCGATCAGGTTCAGCCCACAACCACCGGCCTTACTACTGAGCAAGAAGACAAACTCGCCGCCCTCAGGGTCATTGAACTTGTCAACGAGCTTCTGCCGCTTGTTGACGTTCATTGTCCCATCAAGGCGAAGGCACCCATAGCCTCTTGAGCGACAGAGCTTGTCGAAAACATCCAGCGTCTGAGTGTAGTTGCTGATCAAGACGATCTTATCATTCGTATCCTGGCGAATACGAGCAAGCATACGATCCAGGACCATCATCTTGCCAGAGTACCAAGATTTAACATCTCGGTCACGGCCCCGAGCATCTTTTGGAACGAAGTCATCTGGGAAGCAGCTTTCCGAGCCTGGCAAGTCCGATGGAAGGTCGAGAAGGTCAGGGTGATTGCAGAGTTTCTTGAGAATATTAATGGCCTTGAGAGGCTGGCTTCCTTTGCCGCGGAGAAGCTGGCGGATCTCCGGCGACTGAATGAAGAGGTTGTAAAGGTCCTTTTGGAAGGGTGCAAGGTTGCAGAAGACGACGTGCTCGTATTTGACTGGCAGGTACTTTGAGAGGATGTCGTTCGTTCGGCGAATGATGAATTTGTTGACAAGTGTAAGCAGCTCCGAAAGACGTTCATCACCCAGCTTCCGGTCCTTGTCAGTACCGTTTGCGTCACGGCCTCGCAGGATTGGAAGTTCGAAGCGTTTCCTGAACTCGTTCTTGGTTCCGAGATAATTAGGATTGGCAAAGTTGAGCAATGCAAAGTATTCGGATAAGTCGTTTTGGATAGGAGTGCCAGAAAGAATGACGCGCTTCTGGACGTTGAGATTGTTAAGAGCCGTAAATGTCTGGCTTTCATCATTCTTCAAACGATGTCCCTCATCGCAAAGCAAGAGTCCGATCGGCGTATTCTTAAGTTCTTCTACGTTGAGTCGAAGTGTTTCGTAAGACACAATGAGTACAGGACGGACCACGGCACGCCCGCTTGCTATTGACCATTGCCGAAGCTGCTGAGTTAGTTCTTCTTTCGAGGCTTTGCCATCAATAGCGAACGGGGTGATTGCATCTTTGCCAAGCCACTTGACGAGTTCGTTGGCCCAGTTCCTAACCAAACTGGAGGGACACGCAATGACGCATTTCTGGATTGTCGATTTGCCGGCCTCTGGCGATTGTTTGATCAAAGTCCACATCAAGGCGATGCATTGAAGCGTCTTGCCTAGACCCATTTCGTCTGCCATGATGCAACCATTGGCTTTGGGATCAACAAGACCTGTAGTACAACGGTAAAGGAATCTTACACCCTCTACCTGATGTGGCCTGAGAACCTTTGCAAGCCTAGGATCGATGACTACCGGAACTTTCGGCCGTTCATCGACCTTCTTCTTCAGTCCAAGTATGTCCGCCAAGCTCTTGTGAACAAGCGGAGCATCTAGCTTCGGCGGTTCAGGTTCGTCAGTTTTTTTCTCTCCCTCTTCCAACGGAGTGACGGGCTTGTCGTCGACAGTCGGATCATAAAGCACAATGGCGAATTCTCCAGCGGGGTCGTGCAATGGCTTGGCCACAAATACTGCACCTTGCCGCATACCGAGCAGGGGAGCCGGCCTAGCCGCATTGTATGCACCCGTGTCCTTGTTTTTCAACGGAACTGAGAAGCGTTGCCGAAATGTCGACTCCTTGTCCTTGACCTTGAACACCGGGAATTTGTTGACATCCCTGGTGGCGAGCGCCAGACGGTCTTCGTTTGTGTACGGTTTGTCACCGTCCACCACATCACCATCAGCTCCGGAGTAATCAACCTTCCTCCTTTTCCTTGCCGGCTTATCCGAGGCACGTGTAGGTGTCGCTGAGCCTGGACACTTGAATGGCTTTACGAGGCGATCGAGTGATTGCGGCGTGCCGCCATACAGGGTGGAAACGCTTTTCTTCGAGACGGGCGTTACATTCTCCTTGTCCTCCGTCAGAGTAAGGCTTTTGGACCGATACCTGCGCTTTGTCAGTCCGGCTCAAAGAATGTAGCTCGACATTATGGCATACATCTGAAGATGCCGACACAACAACGGAGGGGATTGGCCGTGAAGAACGTTTGTGTCACACACAAGGCCACTGGAGAAGACAATAATGCAGCAGAAAAGGAGAAAAACTGACGGCAGTGGCGAAGAATGGACGAACGAGTGTTGTTGCGATGGCGAGGTTGGGGCGTGGAGTTTCGGCTCGACGCGTCGCGACTTAGGCTCCAATCGCCACAAGCGCCTGATCACGTGCGCCAAGAATTCGGCTAGTCTTGAACGGCTCCTCACCGACGTCAGCGGGCTGTTTCAACTTCACTTTTTTTCATCTTTACTTCGTACTTCATATGTGAGTTCTTCAGCTTGACACTTTGCTGGAAGGCTAGGGCAAAGTAGGTCCAGCTGTTGCCGTAAGAGACATTCGGTTCCGCAAATCGCCGCTCATGTGTTACGCTCATAATACTTCGGTAGTAAAGTCCCTGAGATCTCGACAGTAAATAATTTGCCCGCTCTTTTTGACTGGTTAATCCACCATTGACTGCCTGCAAATCGGGTCAACTTTATCTACCGAGTACCCCCTTAGGCGCAGATGAGTACGCAAAACCTGACTGGATATAGCGATAAACGCAGCACGCTTTTCTAGCCGTCTGAAATTACCGGCTGACTTAAGCATTGGAGCCTGACTTGACTATATGGTGGCGATGCGGATGGACGAGGTAGACGCTGCCAAATGATGTGGGGTAAAATAATAGCAATGGGGCGGAGTATCGGTGAAGGCAGAAGGGTGATGGGGCGTATATGTGGGGCAAAATAGGCAAGACGTCGATGCCTAGGAAAAAGGGTATTTCTATACATAGCCGCAACTCCATCTTACAACGTCAGCATTTGGAATCAAAAGATATACTCAGCGGTGCCTTTAACACCGAAAACTCGAATACGCCTTTCGTTCGACCACCACTCGACACGATGCACATATTCGAACTTCCCCCCGAGCTCTTCATGAGCATCATGGAGCAAACGGTGGTCACGCTAGAATTGCGCCGGGCGCTAAGGGCGCGGCTTGTTTGCAGTATGAATCACTCACTGTTTGGATAAGGCTGTCATCATTACTAACAAAATCCTAGAAACCTTTGATCGAGGGCTCACTGGTGCTATCTTCACGACAGCAGCCATAGAAAAACATCGTGACAGCTATGGTTGGGTCGGAAAACCAATTCCCGCAAAATGGCTTGTGAAATTACTGGAGATTCGGGCTCTGGAAAGGCCCAGGAAACACAATCGGCTCCTTGACACAGTTCATGAGACGGTTAGTAGAATTATGCATCAGTGTGGAAAAGAGGATGAGGAAATGAGGTTCGCCTGCCTGTCGTCTGTCTGTCAGGCTGTTGCAAGCTGGTATCATTTTACCGGCTGGCTTATCGATGCCATCTCTGAAGATGAGCCGTATCACCATAATGAAACTGTCATGATGCGGGGTTGCCTAGCAGCAGCAGCCTGGATGGGAAACAGCCAACTCGTTGAAGCATTCAGCGGGGTAGACGACATAAACGACGATAGCAGTGACCTCCCATCCGCGCTTTGGGCTGCGGCTCGGCAAGGCAACATGGAAATATTCCAGCAACTTTTGCACAAAGGTGCGAGAGGCACCATTTCCTCGAATGGTGCGGCTTGTTTGATTGGTTCAACACCCTTCCAATCAGCATGCTGGGGAGGTAATAAGGAACTGGTCCGTCTCCTCATGGAAACGAATCCTAATATTGAGCCGGCCGACATTGAAAAGGGCCTTCGGTGCGCTGCTTCCGGAAACCATGTGGAGCTGGTTCAATTCTTGTTGGAGCGTTTCGAGTTCAGGGAGGAGGCCAAAAGCGTAGCTTTGCATGGCGCTTGCTTCTATGGAGCTGAAGACACCACTCGTCTAATGCTTGACAGAGGTACCAGCACAAAGTATCTCAACTATGCGTTTAAGTATCTCCAACCCCTTGCAACTGCTTCAAAGCACGGACATTTGGCAATCGTTCGTCTGCTAGTGTCAAGGGGCGTTGACCTCAATTTCAGTACCGGCGCACGGCATCCGGATGCAGTGCTCCTTGCTGCCAGCAGAGGATACATTCGTATTGTTGAAGTGCTGCTCGACGCCGGAGCTCAAATCACGACCTCCATCGACGACGATACACTGGCACGTGTAGCAGAGAGAGGCCACGAGGACATGGTTAAATTCTTACTGGACCGCGGATATCCTATCGGCAAAGGCAACAAATATGACAAAAAGGAGGGAGGTGAAGGCAGATTCGTACTGGGCTCTGCTTGTGAGCAAGGGCAAACGTCAATTGTGAGATTGCTTGCCGAGTACGGCGTCGATATTCACAGTCCTAATTGCTACCGTATTGAGGAGTTACCGATAATTACAGCGAAGAGGAATGGTCATGACAACGTCGTAGATACACTACTTGAGCTTGGTGTGCAAAAGCCAAAGGAATTAGACAGCATCCAAGGGAAGAAGAGCCCGTTTTTGTTGTAGCGATAGACTAGTCTTTCATATATCATGTTCCTTTGCCTTCAATGATATTCTCAACAGCAAGTTCAACATTACTCCCGCACTGTATACCTACACATATAAAAACTTGCACTATTCACCAACCATGCAAAACTAACTAAACCTTTTATCTTTCTCACTTCCCATTGCCGCCCTCAGGTCTAGTATAGCCGTGCAAAAAGCAAAAACATACGGCAGCTGGGATTCGCTAGTGGTCACCCACCTAACTACTAATCAGCCGGTTCGAGGCTTGTGTATGGCAGAGCGGACGGGATGCCCAATTCTCCTCGACCTATGGTCGTATGTGCTTAATATGGCTGTTACTATAGTATATATAGTGTCAATGTTGTTGCCGAGTTCCCATCTACATGAAATTCTCTAATTATTGTTCTGAGACTCCCGTCTAACAAGTTTGTTTGGTGAGAGTTCTGTTGATTGAAGGTTTCTCTGAGGGTCCTGTATATACACGTCTTTCTTCAGCCAAATGACGCCGCCACGTATTGATGGCTCCGCAAAACTCAACTCCGACCAGGGTGACTGCAGTTGCGCCACACAACCAACCCGCCGCGTCCTGGTCGCACCTTTCCATCAAGCTACTTATTAACCAGCTCATCCATTGTATCACACCGAGAATGCCTTTTCGTGAGAAGTTGAAGCGAATTTGGCGTCGGAAGAAACGTCCCGTGCCATCCACGAAATCCACAGCTCCACAGTCCGATGAACGACAGGGAACACCAGTCAACTCGCGCCCATCTAACTCGAGTCTGCCGGCCAACCCGAGCCCGCCAGTCAACTCGAGTCCATCAACCAGTGTCCAACAGGCGCCTCAAACACTATCTCTACAAGCTTCCAATACTCCACCACAAACTAAAGCCAGTAATGACGGAGCACTCGTCGCGAAACCGGCTAGTGAACCTTCAAAAGCACCGAAGTCTGCTTTCGACAGAGCAGTCCAGCAACTCGACCCCGAGGCGCGTGCAGCCTTCAAAGATGCCAAAACTCCAGAGAAAATCCTACAACAGGCTCGAGATCTTGGAGAGAGCCACAAAGAATCCACGGAAAAGCTGTCGAAGGGCCTTGAAATCGTCACGCTCTCCATCAACCGTTTCCAATTTCTCGCCTCTGCAGATCCGTCATCAGTCGCTCCTCTTGTGATGGGTGGAGTAAAATGCATTATGGACATCGCAACAAACTACATTTCGTATTTCGACCGTCTCGTTGGCATTATCGTCGATTTCTGGACTATTTGAAGCCTCTAAGGCTATTCACTAAAACAAAGCTGAACTTGGAAGAAGATATCCTTGTCGACGTGTACATCGATGTTTTGGAGTTTTGCCAGAAAATCCGATCCATGTTCACGGAAAGTGATGGTAGTAATACAAAAGGCCCAGGATTCTGGCAGAAACTCAAGTTGAGCTTCTCGGGACAAATCGATTCCGAAACCAAACTAATCCAAGAGCGTCTGAAGAAGCATCGCGACCTTGTCCTAGAAACGGCTATAGCAAAAATCTTGAGCGGACTAGAAGGTATGTTTTCCAACATCAGTCTCTGCCACGGTGAGTGCAACTATTAACCAATTACAGAACAAGGCAAAGCGGACATGCTTAGATGGGTCTCCTCTGCAAACCACGAGAAAGAGTACAACGACAACCTGAGAAGAAAACACGAAGGAACAGCAAACTGGCTACTCGACGATCCGAGATTTCAGACTTGGCACAAAGCCCCAAACGGACACGCTTTGTGGTGTTTTGGAGGTCCCGGAATGGGGAAAACTGTCATTGCTTCTAACGTAATCAACTACATCAAAGTTCAGTCCTCCCTCGATGACAATGTCGGAATTGCTTTTCTCTTCTGTCAGTATGACGATATGAAGAAGTTCGATCTTCCTCAAGTCATTCGAGCAATTTTCAAGCAACTTTGTTGAAAGCCACACATTTTTCCCGAACCTCTCAAGGCGTTCATAGCGAAAAACCAGAGCCAAGGGCGACAGCCTGATGAAGTCTCCCTCAGGGATGTTCTCTGGGGAACTTTCAAGACCTTTCACCAGATCTATATTGTCGTTGACGGTATAGATGAATGTCCCTTTTATCCTATAGACAGACGAGATGCATTAGGGCCCCGTGAGCTTTTTTTTTTTTTTTTTTTTTTTTTTGCAGTTCCTGCAGCAGATGGAGCCTTTACAAAGCGTCAAAGTTATTATGATGAGCCGCCCACTAGCTGACATCAAGGAATATCTCAAGGATGTTCCTTCTATTCAAATAGACGCACTCCACGTCTATGAGGATGTGAAGCTATACGTCCGCGAGTCGATTGAGGGAACAACTGCAACCGAAAAAAACGTGCAGATGCTCTCTAGGCCTACTACATTCCCGTTCGGTGATGCAGACTTCAAGGAAGAGCTCATTAGCAGATTGACAGAAATGTCGAAGGGGATGTAAGTTTGCACATTTCATGCACTGTCAAATCCGGTTACAACGGCTGAGCAATCAGCAGCTTTCGACCCTTCAAAGATATCTAAAACTTGTGCACAATTGTAACGTCAGCTAATATGAAAACAGGTTCTTATGGGTGCATTTACAGATCAGATCCCTCTTTGAGTCAAAAGATGAGGTTACCGTCCGAAAGAAGCTGCAACAATTACCTCCGGATCTGCCAGAAACGTACGAAAGGATGCTTTATTAAATCCTTCAAAACAGGGATCCGGACTCGAGAGCAATCGGTCTTATGTCTCTTGCTTTTGTCATGCATAGCGAACGGCCCCTCAACTTGAAAGAGCTTCGGGCTGCACTTGCTTACCAGGACGGATTCTCGCACATCAGTGACTGGACTGAAAAAAGATTTCTGGAAGTCTGCTTTGAGTTTCTTGAAATTGGTTGTGACAGCAGCGATTATGGGAAAGTCCGTTTTCTCCACTTCTCGGCACAGGAGTTCCTCCGTGGCATCTCGAACCAAACGTGGACAAGCAAGGGCACGGCTATTCCAGAACTCATATTCGAGAACGCCAATAGCCTACTGGCAATTTCATGTTTACAGTTCTTGTGCTGTAGCGAGTTTAAGCAGACCGTGGAAAGTTTACGGCTTTCCAATCGGGAATATCGCTTGACATCGGCAAGAAGGGAGTTTCTTGCTAACAAATATCCGCTTTATTGTTACGCAGCTAATTCCTTTACATCGCATGTCTAGAACAGTAAACCGGAGGGCAAAGGAGAAACCGTAACCAGCCTCTTGAAAATGGTTCGAGAGGTTTAACCAGCCAAGGGAGGATTATCTCCGCTATTATCGATGCTATAGAGTCCCCCAAAAAACGGAATATCTACCGTATTCCAGTTCAAGGCTTTCATGGGCGAGGCAATGGAACCACGCTGCTATACACTACAGATCTACGACATATCCCCGAAATCATTGAGAATGGCGAGATCAAAGCACTGGAAGTTGTCAATGAGACACTGTTTGCTGTCTGTTTGATCAGGGATTTTGAATTGATTTCAAAAGTTCTGGGAGTCGACCAAAGGGCCGACCGAGCGAGCCTCGTCCTCAAGGAAGTCTTACCACATGGTGATGATGAGCTCATCAGATACCTTATCAGGCAAGGCGGCCATGTAACACCAGACATGAATGAATGCAGTTGCATATCAGGATACCTCAGAGGATATTCAAAGTGCCAACCTGAGACGCTTGAAATACTTCTTCAACACGGTGCGGATCTGATTCGGGACCCTGCCGTATTTTATAAAGCTGTCAAGAATGGAAGCCTGGAGAATATCGAGTTTTCATCCGTCATGGAGCGGACATGAACGGAGGACGCAAGAGACCACTTGCGTTGGTCTTCAAGCGTCCTAAAAACCTCGGTTATTCTACCGAAATTGCTGAGCTTCTTATGGCCCATGGCGCGAAGACGGACCCTCGGGACGGATACCCAACTCCTCTTATGAGAAATCTACTTGGCCAGTCTGATTTCAAAAGTGATGGTATGGATACTACGGAATTTTTACTTCGAAAAGGAGCAGATGTCAATCCTTGTCATCCGATACATGGGACTGCGCTGCATTGTGCCGCACAGATATCAGACTTTAAAGTCGTACAATTGCTTTTAGACCACGGAGAGGATATGAAGGTTATGCCCGATAATCAAGCTACCGTCCTACACTTCGCTGTCCACCCATCTCATGGCTGGATCCAAAGAGATGATGACTGCTTCCGCACAGTTAAGCTTCTTCTTGACCGAAGTGCAGATGTAAAAGCCCTGACGTCAACGAACGACTCAGTTCTCCACACAGCCATGATTGGGAACCAAAAATTTAACACCTATCTGGTACGGTTGCTTCTTAAATCTGGTGTGGATATTAATGCCATTTCAGACAACCATGAACCCGCTCTTCACCTTGCAACAATACCGTTCGACGATTCCTGTCGACCATGTCCTACCGAGGTCGTTGACATGATCAAGTTGCTTATTGACTATGGAGCCGATACGGACCGCTTAGGAGGCAATTACGGGACAGCGCTCCAGGCAGCAGTCACAGCAGAGACTGATACGAGTCACTACCCACGAGAACGGGACTTTATGATAGCAGAAGCATTTCTCCAGCTCGGTGCCAAGGTGGACACAGTTGCTGGCCAATTCGGGACAGCACTTCAAGCTGCTGCTTACGACGGCAACTTAAAGACTACAGAGCTGCTACTTGACCATGGCGCGAATATCAACCTAAAAGGAGGAAAATACTGCACGCCATTACAAGCTTCAGTAGCGCCTCGCGAAGCCCGATCTTCTAGTTTGGAACTCGTACAATTACTAATCAGCCGTGGCGCCGACCCAAACATTGTTGGCGGAAAATACGGCACGGCTTTGCAAGCAGCTGTGCTCCAAGGGTCCCCAAAGTTCGCAAAAATCCTTCTACGTACAACGCGGATCCTAATATTACCGGGGGTGAACATGGTTCACCGCTACATGCAACTGCACTCCAGAAATCACCCGAATTTATGAAGCTTCTGTTGGGACATGGCGCAAAGGTCAACATTGTGGCTGGTCCATATGGCACTGCTCTCCAAGCTGCTGCATAGCCAAGTTGCTTCGTCGATTCTCTGTACGGCATTCGGGTTATGTCTGGGTCATTACCAGACGCAAAATGCTCCATGGAGCTCGTAAAACTATTGCTTGATGGAGGTGCAGACGTAAGCATCCCTGGCGGCATATATGGAACACCACTCCAAGCCGCAGCCTTTCGGTCTCGTTCAATTGAACTCGTAGAGCTTCTCATGAAATACGGTGCTGAAGTCAATTCCAAAGGGGGAACTTATGGCACCGCACTGCAATCCGCTGCTTTCAGGTGCAAAGACATCAACGTAGTCAGGCTTCTTGTGGACAGAGGCGCTGAGGCTAAGGTTGCCACCGGAAAGTATTTTACTGCTCTCCAAGCTGCGGCTTTCCGATGTACAGACTTGGCAGTGCTCGAGTTGCTTCAGAGCCACGGCGCCGACGTCCATGCCGTCGGTGGGAAGTATGGAACTGCTCTCAAAGCGGCCACAATGTGGTTCGAAGACAAGAATAAAACAACCTTTGCGGCGACAAAGCTTCTGATTGGCAGCGGTGCAGATGTCAACATCAAATCTGGAAAGTTTGGTAAAGCTCTTCAAGCTTCACTTGAGGTCGGCACTTCCCTTTACTTAAACATTGACCTAAGTATTCCTAAGCTTCTTTTAGAGTCAGAAGCAAACGTTAACGAGGAGGGCGGCAAGTATGGCACGGCCTTACGTGCGCGTATCGCCGATCCGTATCCGTGGAGGCAGCTTGAAGCCGAAAGGCTACTGCTACGATATGGTGCTGATCCCCACCCCGGTGCTGAGCGAGACTTCGATGAAGTTCACTCGGCTAGTAATTCTGATGAGGATAATTGGATGTAAGGGTGTTCAATCCGCCTAGGAGAATTTATTTACATTCATGTCTTGGATATGTTTACTCTGTTAGAATCAATATAGTATTTTTCACCAACGTCCAAACACCTTTGGCTAACAATTACTATAAGACCAGCTTCGGTTTAACTCTCGGTTTGCACTAGTAATCAGAAAAGAAATAAGTATTAAAACTATAAAATTGTTTAACAGTTGTACTCGAGACTTTCAAGGCTCACCTCCGCTTCCACACTATACCCGTCAATTACCCACTCTTCCGCATCTACCTCATTTCTCGCCGTCTCACACCACTCCACATGTTCCGCAACCCTTGGATAAACATCTTCACACGCCCGCTTCCCCATCCAGCAATCAAGATGCCCATACTCCTGCACCAAATGTCGCTGATACAGCTCCGGTCCAAAAAAGCTGCGCAACAAGTCATAATCAAATGCTGTGCCCATCGGGTCGTACACTGCGTTCTCCGCACCCGCAAGCAATATCACCGGCAGTCCTCTCAAACGCTCTAGCCCCTCTGGTGTAACGAGGCTGTGACCCTCACTATCAAGCACAGCGTTCGCTCGTCCGCACGCCATGACGTGCTCGATCAGTCTGGTGTGCATCCCGCCCAGCAGGGCCGGTAGCGCGCGGTGTGTGGCCCTGTTCAGGTTCGCGTGGTTCCAGCACCGAGAGTATGCCAGCGTGAAGCGATGGCAGGCAGGGGAGTTACAGAGTTCGTTGCGCGCGCCGACAGGGTAGAAACGGAGGAGCTGGTCGAGGAGACGTTGGAAAGGTGGAGAGGCAGGCGTGCTCGGGATGGGGAACCAGGGGCCAGCGAGGAGGGCATACGCGCGGGCAAGGATATTTGTGCGGCTTTTGAGCATGTTGGCTTTGCTGAAGATAGGGGTTAGGAATACTTGGCTGCATGTGAGGCCTTGGATCCAGTCGGGTGGTATTGTGCCGTCGAGAAGACCCATTGCTGTTGCTATTGCGCCTTGACAGTGGCAGATAATGTAGATCCTTTCTTTGTGCTGCTGACGGACGTAGTGTATGGCGGCAAGGATGTCGAGACGTGCATCGAACTCGGTGCCGCCACTTATGGCGGCGGGTGTGCGCCCGAAACGCGGTGTCACTACGTAGCAAGCGTGGCCTCGGGCGGTGAAGTACTCGATGGTGTTGAGAGGGATGGTTGGCAATGCAAAGGCATGGTGGTCGACTGACGAGCCGGGTATGAAGAGCAGTGGACGCTTGCTGATAGCCTCCTCTTTTGATATTGTGGGTGCCCACAAACGTATTGGCACCTCCACGCCGTCCTGAGCTGTCAGGATCTCGGTTTCCACTGGCGGCTCCTTCGGTAGGTATCCACTCTTGTCTGGATATGAGTAGTCCAGTGTGTCCAGTGGGCCAAGAAAGTAGTCGGCTATGTTTTTCGTGAAGTATGTTAGAAATTGCGAGATTGATAAGACGCTTTCAAGGAAGCCTCCGCTTGTCGAGCTAAAGCTTCTTATTTCAGAGGCGAATTTGCGCTTCGAGATGTGCAGAATGCCTCTCCCGGTAATGGATCCGTCTTCCTCAGTTATAGTAGTATAGAGCGTTGTGGTAGCCCTCCAAGTGTCGGAGATGGAGAAAGCCATGTTCGCGTCTATCGTCTTGTAGCCGTTCAGTGAATAGTTTTTGCCTTCAGTGCTCAGAAGCGGGAGTTTGTAAACCAAATTCGTAGCGTCTGATGTGCTCTGATCTTCGGAGAAAAACTGTATTTTCCCTCGAAGAACCAAGAGAGGATCTCTCGACAGAGCCCCGCAAGAGAATGTACCAGTGGCGATGGATGCATAACCAGTACATCTTGACACTGCTCCATGTCAGCATTTTCAGCCCCACTGGAAAAATCCAACTTACAATCCTCCACATTATAAGCGTCGACGCTCAGGTACAGCCTGGCAGTAGTTGATGATCCTTTTGCAACACTCTCCGCGACAACAAAATCGTCGATATCATCCCCGAGATAAATGTGCCCATTCATAACCTCTGTAAACCGGACACCGCTGGCACCTCCGGCTTTTCTGATCACTTCTTTAGCTTCAGCAATATCTGGAGCCAAGAGCGATGGCTTCTTTGGTTTTCCAAACAAGTTAAGATGGCCATTCTTTGTCTCGAAATCGATGTTCCAGTCACGTTTTCGAGTAAGCAGTGCAATAGATCGCTCTGCCAAGGCAGTGATTGTGGCAAACGGGTTCACGCCTGCAAAGATCAGCGATACGCATAGCTAGACACGTTCTCCGTACGTACCGAGAGCAGTGGGGATCACAGATCCGTCCACACAAACGAGACCTTCGTGAACTTCGGTGCTGTTGCCTGCAAACACCTGGCCGAGGTGGTTTGTAGCACCACCTTTTCCGGTTCCGTCATAGCTCATTATGGCTCCACCAAGTGGGTGAACTGTGATGCCATCATGCTGGCCGGATTCTGTTGTTGATCAGCTGTCAGTCACTTTGATGGATCTGAAGTACAGACCAGCGGGAAACGGCGAATTGATCAGTGTTCCACCGATGGCGTTGGTAGCTTTCTGTAAGACCTCATGGAGGTCCTTAACGTGCTCTTCTCTGCTCACGCCCAGAAACTGCAGAGATGGCTTGTCATTTTCAAGCGTGACCATGGCCTCATTGCTGTCGTGGGACATAATGAGATAGGTTTGTGTGCGATTGACTGAGCCTCCATTCGCATACGGTCCGAAGATTCTCGATTTAGCCTGATACAACAAATGCCGCAATCGGTCCATTATGCTGTATTTTTTAGGATTTCGCTTGTTGGGCAGGGCCTCCAGCGTTGTCTGAAGTGCGGGGGCAAGCGCTGTGGGGACGCAGCCCTCTTCGATGACATAGCCATCAATCACGTTCGGAGAAGCTTCCGGGCCTCTGTTGTCGATGATTCCAGTGATTGTTGGACCAGACGGGCTGTCTGCAGGGGCATTTTCGCTCCCGATGCCGTTGACAATCTCATTTGTGTTGTACCCTTCTTGCCGATTAACATACACTGATGTATATCTGAGCCACCAGACTCACTTACCGAAACTCAGTATATCGCCATTACCAGAAAGCTTTAGCCCTATGTTTCGCGATGTCTTTAGGCCGTGTTTCTGAGATCTTAACAAAATCTCTGTTGTTCCCAAAGCACCAGCTCCGAGGAAACAAAACTCCTTCTGTCGATGTCGTTAACCCCAGCGTGTCATCCTGCTGGAAAATAAAATTACACTCACTGCTCGGACCCACATCAGGTCACTGTAAAAGTAATCCTTGAACGCCTGTCTCTTGTCTCCGTGCCAAGCGAAAAACACAATATACCCATTGCCATCTCGATCGCGGTGAATGTAGCGGACCTCACACTCACAAAAGATTTCTGCGCCCCAGTTCCAAGCGTCAGGGATGTAGTTCATGAGCACCGAGTTCTTCGATCCGTCATTAACTCCAGTGCAGTCCTGGCCTGAGCCTGTCGATGCTTTCATCTCCACGCCGGCATTGTTCACACCGTCATGGAAGAAGGTCGTCTGTGGAACTCGGTAGAAGTTTTGTCCTTGGTTGAGAGCTTTTGCTTGCTTTTCCAGCACGGACAGCTTCTGGAGCGGGGGATAATCTTCAGGATAGGCCGTAGGTTGCAACATCTCTGCTGCTCGGGAGTAGTCTGAAACGAAGTTAATTCATATACGAACTAAGTGAGTAGTGCTCTCACATGCATCCAGAACACCTGGAATTTTGCGGATTTCAGGCGCCCAGGTGCCCATTGCCAGCGTCCGCTCGTCGCATCTAAGGAAGACGTTGGCATTTATCAATGATGTTCCGCCGAGTCCTAGCCAATAGTATCAGTTCTTATTCCAGCGGACAATCAGATGCCTCTTACCGTTTCCAACAAACGCACTCTGGCCTTCACCGAGCATGAAATGATAAAGCCCGGTAGGTTTGCCGGTATTAACGTCTTTGAGTAAGCCCTTGCCGGCATTTCCAGAGACATGAAACTCAGGGACTACCTCACTGATAGTGCTGGGATACTCCCCCGCTATTTTAAAGTCAGCAGTCAAAGTCAGACAGAAGTTAGCGGAGACGTACGCCACTTCTCTTTCCCCAATTCCAGAATTGCAACACTCTTCCCCGCTCTTGCCATTCTGCTCGCCGCAACGCCCCCACCATATCCTGATCCGACTACAACCACATCGTACTCTGGCCGCATCATAGATACCGGTCTGCTGAGCCGCGGGAATTTTGCCGAGTGTGGCGGCTCGTTATGTGATGCATAGTAACAGCTCATGCTTCGTGACAATGCAATGCTGGGAATAATACCCCAGAGCAGTGCCAATAGCTGATACCGTTCTACCTTTTTTCTAATGTTAACTCGTTGCAACGTTTTCGTTCTTATAGTGGTAGAAATGTGCAAATGAGCATGTAAAATACAGCAGGGTATGCTTTTTGAAAACCTTTGTAACGGCTAAAAGCTGCAGACTAGCTCAACCGTTGTAGCCAGTTTGATAATATGAGTATTGAGGCACCGGATCCTCATATAATCCTCGGGTGTGATGGGTCCAAGATCTTGTCCTTTGTAAGATTATAGTTCGACATATATGTAAAACACTGCCATGAAGGGCTTCATGGATTGTTGTGACACTCGGGCATTAAGGATTTGATCCTTACACCGATAAGACGAATTGATGAAGAGATAGCGTATCCAAGTCGTACAAAGCTGACGGACCTATATTTGTGTTGCCTATACTTGCCAAACAATGACCGGTTGGCGGTTGCCTGCATGTGCAGGGGAGAAATGCAAGAGATAAGAAGTACGGAACGAAAACCTGGTTCTGTTATTCGCTGCCTGTCAAAATAATCGCGAGACATTTCCTTGGTGCTAGGAAGTACTTCCCAATTGCGGTGCATGTAAGAAAATGGTGCGGCATGAACAATAAGCGCAGAGCCATTTCAGCTCCAGCTGCAGACGCCAGAACACTGGGCGGGATCCGCGCGAATAGCGATCCTAGACGGTTGGAGACCATATACCCGTTCGAGCGATGGATATAGCCTTTTTGCCGGAGGCGCGGTGTTCGTCCGAGTCGCCAATACTTAAAGTACGATTAGAGTTTGGCCCCATTGGTGGCGCGTGGCTGATATGCATGTAAGACGGCAGTCTGTTCCATTTCGGAAGACTAAATTGTGACAAATAACGAACATTGGAATTTTTGGTAGGGGGCTTGCCATTTTCATTTGGAGGAGGTTGGAGACCTGAGCAAAAATTCCTGAGCACAATGATTGGTAGTTGTTTTCTCTTCGGGAAATTGCCGCTGACTTCTGGTGCAGAGATGTCCGTTCTCTGTATCCATCCGAGGAAATACTCCGTTCTCGCGTTACTGGTCCTTTTATGCCATAGCGTAGGTAGTCTAACTGGCAATAGGAAAATGCTTGAAATATCTGACCTGAGAATCGAAAAACGAGGGAGCTACGTATAGCCCCTTCTGCGCTAGGCGATCATAAATCCTATAACACCACGCAATTTTTTCTTCGTGCTGACGACTGTCGTTTTTGAAGAAATCAAGTGCTGTCTCGAGCGGAAACGTTATAGAGGCCGGCCCATACAATTTCATGTCGTCCTGCATGAGGTACTCCGCACTTTGGCAAATCTTGGTTGCAATGTTTGTTGCTTCTTTTTCCTGTCGGATGCTTGACGGGGTAAAGATCTCTGGTAAGTCGTTTCCAGGGGCCAATGTAGGGAATGCCGATTCGAGCTTTTTAATTTGCACAAAGCAGATGATTTGGAAGGCCCAGAGGTGCGTAAGGCCGTTCGCCACTGATATGTTGGGAAACCAAAGACGGATACGATGGTTAGGAATCTGTCCAACATGTGAGGCATGCATATCGGATGCTGCCAGCAGAGAACACAAAGGACCAGCGGTTTCCTGCGAGAGCAATAGTTCCCATTCTTCAAAGCGTCTCACGATATCGCAGAAGGCCGACCTTGCATTATAGGCCTTGGAGAAAGAATCGTTAGGCGGCGAAGAGTTCGTCAATATCTCAACTTTTTTGATGATAGGCGGAATTGCGACAGCAATGCTCAGAAGGGACTGCATTGGTACTTGAGGATGGAGGTAGAATGGTATACTCTTCCATTCTTCCTGGTCAAGAAAAGTAGCCTCACAAGAAGAAAAACTTGCGAGAACCTGTAGACCAGTTAGAAGGGACGTAGTCGCTTATGGGTAAAGCACACTTACCAGAAGAGGCCTAAATCCCACGAAAAGTTTATGCGGAACTCCCGAAATAAACATTGCGGGGCCACAAAGCTTAATGAGCTCCCCCACTCCTTTAGCGTGCGCTTTCCAGCCGTTTTCGGACGAGGGCAACATGAGCTGTGTGTACCCTTCCGTAAGCACCGATCTCATCTACTTCGAAAGCATAAAATCTTAACTCGAGATTTCACATACCTCTGCCATCGTCAAACACATTATAGCAGCCGCAAGGTCATCGGGGAAAGAATGATGAGTGGTGCGAAGCCTGTTCGCCGTGAGGTGAATGGCCGAACTATAAGCCTCGAAACACTGAGGAACTGAAATACTTGAACTAGTGCTTCCGCTTGAGAGGGCTAGACCGAAGGCTCGTATAGCCGAGTCGAGGACATTATCTCCCTTGTCAGCCATGCTAGGAAGCACTTCCACCCAGCAGCCGCATATTCGCGGCCGGGATGCCAGGGAGTCAGAAGGAAGGACAATGAGCTCATTCTCCGGCACATATTCTGCCATAACCAGCCTGATAAGGTCTTCCAAAGACGACTTCTTGAGTGAAATTGACGAAAGTGCGAAATCAGTATCTGGACTAATCCGTCCGAAGCGTGCTGCATCCAGCACACTAGTTGATTGGTTTTTCACAGGTCTCCAAGACATCGGTTGCTTTCCTCGCTTGGCAGGGTTAGCGGGCGCTGTGCCGTGAGAGACGAAAATCAAGTCATAGTTGTATCCTGCACATTGCTGTCCGCGAAGCAAACATTGAGTGCAAGCTGGCTGTTTTCCATCGCACTGGCAAACACAGTTAGAAGTGGAACTAAACACGACACAATTTGGCGATTTTACTTACACCCAGCTTTCGGGATCTGCACGTGTGGCATATCGTTCTCTGTCTGACCTTCATTATGAGCTCCGCGATGGGCTGATCAGCGATTGGCTGTAGGTCTTGGTGTCACATAAACTACTAGAGGAACAAGTAAAGAATTAACACCATCACAGCCGAGGCCGAAAACCCCTAAGAAGGTACTGAAGTGATCAAAGATTCATAAGCGACAAGAACGATGAGAAATCCACGAGAGTGTTGGGAGTCAAGGAGTCCCCGCCGTTGAGACCCTTGAACGTGGCGAAGGGCTTGGCGAATAATGCTGCCTAAAGCGGTTAGGTGTCATGCTAACCCTGGACGCCCGGGACGCTTGGACGCGCCAAAGACTTAGCGAACGGCATATCCAAAAGCGGTAAGACAGAAGAGCAGGTATTATCGGAGAATGAAGACATTTGCCGAGAGCGATGTTCGGCGGAGGAGGGATTGTTCAGGGCGGGGTTAAAATGTTGGAAGTCTAAAATGATGTCATTAAGTAAAGACACAGGCAGGTTTTATGACAGCAGAGTCATAGGCGAAGTAGATACAAACTGGCTTTACAGCCTATTGATCCATGTTGACAAAGATGCCATTCATTCAACAACCTTCAAAGAAGGATGGAATGATGGAAGTTTCACGAGATTCACTGCCAACTGAAGAAGACTTTTAAGCATCAAACTTTTGGTGAAGAATGCATCATTAAATGGATAACATCGCCATCAAAGCTAAATAACAAAAGTTCTTTATCAGCACTAAAGTTAATATCAGGTTCCCAGTTGGCCTACAGCTTGCAAGTCACTTCAGTGTTCCGGAATAATCATCTTGAGCTCACAGTCACCGATTACCGCCTCAGTCTTCTTGAACAATGAACATCAAGTGTCGATATCAGTGGGAATAGATTGACCAAACATTTCAATCTACAAATCCAAAAAGCCGGAGCTTTCTCGCACTTCTATAGCTTCCCTAAGCGCTCCTCAGTCCACCCCTAAAACACATTCTTCGGCTTTCCATACTCAAGCCAACAAACCCTATCAGCAACACCTTCCTCCTCAAACACCCTAACCAAATCCTTCCCAAACTGGGTAAAATGGCCCCAAGACTCATAATGCATAGGGACGAGCAAATCGGCGCCAATCTCGCGTACCAACTTGGCGCCCTCCTTCCCGCCCATCGTGATCTGCAGGCTGGTCCCATCCTCCAGAACCGCGTGCGCGCAGCCCAGGTTCAGAATCGCGGCGACAACATGCCACTTGGTGCGCAGCTCCTTGAGCTCCTCGATGTACACCGTGTCGCCCGAGAACCAGAGCGCGTTGGGCAGGCCCTCGGGACTGGTGCCGAAGCTGGCGCTCTCGAGCACGAAGCCCACGACCTCGCCGCCGGGCACGTGCGTGCACGGCGTAGCGGTGACCTTGAACGCCTTCCCGCCGAGATTCAGGGTGACGGCTTCCCAGGCCGCAAGGCCCTGCACGCCGGGCCGCGGAGCCAGGTTCTTCGCGCCCGCGCGCGTGGTCAGCACGGTGCGCGCGTCGAGCAGCTGGCGGCCGACCTCGTCGAGGTTGTCGGGGTGGTCTTCGTGGCTGAGCAGCACCGCGTCGATGGGTGGTAGCGAGGCGAGGCTGAGCGCGGGCTTCTCCGCGTCGTGCAGTGTGTTTGCGCCGTGCCCCCAGGTGGCGCCTTCGCGGCCGAAGAACGGGTCCGTGAGGATGTTGATGCCGTCGATGCTGAGGATCGCGGTGGCCGTGCCGATGTGCGTTATGCTGACGCTGCTTTTGAAGCTGGGGGGTGCCATTTTCTTTGAGAGATTGAGGTTGTGTGACTTGCGTAGCGGAGTTTTGATTTCTGCCTGCTGAGCTGGCTGCTGGTGTTGATGATGTGTTTGAACGTGAAGGAGAACTGCGCATGTATATACTTGTGGCTTTGGCTTCAGCTAACAGTGCCTTGCAGTGTTGATTTGAAAGCATGAACATCCTCGGACCACTTCCGTCAGCGCAGCTACACTGATTTGAAAGCAGAGAGCATTGTCAGTCAGCTACCTGCAGCGAAGTATTAGTCGACAGTCCTGGTCTTGGCGGCTAAAATTACCGTAAAAGGCCTAGCGTGCTATTGCGTGTATACGCAGTGCCGCCGGTGATGCATGACAGCTCCAACGGGACTTCCACGGCTTGCATCGTTCTTCATTAATCACTAGGTGTGTATTTCTGGGTCTCGGATAATGATCGAGAATAACGGAGAAGCTACAAAGAAACCTAAACGCACTCCTCGACGGCATCATGTAAATCCTATACAAAGTTCTCACAACATCCTACGCCAAGTAAAATGAATTTGATTATAGCCTGACATTTGGACCTATTCCACTGGGGTACATTGATGGATATGGTGCTAGAGCGTCAGACTTCAAAAATTTGGCTTCTCCGGGTAGCGCCCCATCAATCCGCTGCCTTTACTTGTAATGAAAACCTGCGGCAACGACAATTGTTTCGTCAACAGCAATCCCCCATACTCGGCACTACCTACAGCATTGATTACCTCCAGCGCCGACATCCCCCAGTCTCAGCAACCAACACCACCCTAACAGGCACAGCTTACCAACCAGCCAAACAGACGCCCAACCAACCCAGCATCCGCCGTCTCTCAGCCGGGCAGCAAAGCGCACCTCGCCGTCCCTCTCGCAAGCTCATTCCGCCCGACGACATCTATAAGCCATCTCTACGATAACAACTCACGATGACGCCGCCTCGTAGTCACAAAAACACCCAACCGTGACCAATTTTCCGCGCACGGTCCCCTTCCTTACTAAATCCGGGAAGAGAACCCGGGGGGCGGCGAACGGCCGGGCCCTAGCTAGCGACGACGATTGTATAAGACTGACTGCCGTCAAGCGACTACTCTCGACCAGACCTGCCACCGCAACTCCAGCAAGAAACATCCTGGTCAATCGTCTCGTGTGCTTGTGCCGTCTGGATAGGCGCAGAACCCACCGGGTAAGAGAAGATGGCGAAAACGCCAACATCAACATCAGACAGCACCACCGCGCCGCCGCCCTCAGCCATCGAGATCGTCGACTGGGACGGCCCCTCCGACCCCACGAACCCATTCAACTGGCCCTTAGGCAAGAAATGGCTCGTGACGTTTCTCGCGCTCCTCGCCAGCTTCAGCACGATGCTCAACGGCACCATGATCACGGTCGCGCACGAGGCCATCAACGCGCGCTTCGGCGTCAGCGACGCCCGCTTCCCGCACTCCTACTGGCCCGTGACGGCGTGGGCGGCGGGCGGGGCGCTGTTCTCGCTGCTCGTGCTGCCCATCATGGAGGACTTTGGGGTGCGGCGCGTCTTCCTGGGGACGTACGGCGTCTTCCTCGCCTTCATCGTGCCGCAGGCCGTCGCGCAGAACTTCGCTACGCTGGTCGTCTCCCGCTTTTTTAGCGGCGGCTGCGTGTCCATTCTCGCGAACACGTCGGCCGGCGTCATCGGCAATGTGTGGGAGGACGAGCGCGGCCGCACCCTCCCCATGACGCTGTACATCACCGTGTACCTCGTCGGCAGCAGCATGGGGCCGGTCATTGGCGCCGCCGTCTTCGCCTCTCTGTCCTGGCGCTGGATCTCGTACGTCCAGCTCATCGTCTACGGCGCGCTGTTCATCGTCTACGCCGCCCTGTTCCCGGAGAGCAGGGGCAGCGCGATCCTCGGCCGGCGGGCACAGAGCCTGCGCAACAGCGGGCGGAACGCGTTCACGGCCGCGGAGGCCGACGCGGTACCGCTCCCGAGGCTCATGCTCGACAGCGCGAAACGCCCCCTGCAAATGCTGGTGACGGAGCCCGTCGTGCTCGCCGCCGCGCTCATGGCCGCGCTCATCATCGGGCTGATCTACCTATTCACGCAGTCGGTCGAGCAAGTCTTCGTCGGGCTCTTCCACATGACCGCCATCGAAGCCGGGTACGTGCAGTCGGCCGTGATAATCGGGGAGTTGGTCGGGGGGCTCGGGGCGCTCGTGTCCGCGCGCTTGTATTTCGCGTCCGCAAAGCGCAACACCGAGATCCCTGGCGTGCCGATCCCCGAAGCGCGGCTGTACCTGGCCGTCGTCGCGGCGTTTGCGGGCATGGCCGGCGGCATGTTCGTGTACGCGTGGACGTCGGTTTCTTCGCTGCCGTGGGTGGCGCCCGCGGTCGGGCTGGCCATGGTCGGCGCCGGGAACGTCGTCGTCATTATTGGCGTCGCCGACTACCTCGTTGACGCGTATGCCAAGTACGCGGGCAGTGCGATTGCGGCTGTCACGCTGGGCGAGAACCTCTCGGCTGCGTTTTTGCCCCTCGCGGCCCAGAGCATGTATACCAACTTGGGGTATCGCTGGGCGAGCAGCTTGCTCGGCTTTATTGCGCTGGCTCTGTCGTTTTCGCCTGTTGTGTTGGTGGTTTGGGGACGCAAGATTAGGGCAAAGAGCCCGTTTATGAAGGAGGCGACTAATGACAAGAAGAAGGAGTCGGAGGTTTCTAAGGTCGGATAGAGAAGAGAATGTGTATAGTGTATATAGATTGTAGATAACGAGACATGTAAAAGCGTGTAAATGCATTAGATTACTCGGGAGCCGAGGATAAGTTGGGCAACGAACAGCGTCTTGACAACCTCCCATCATGAAAACATCAAAAGAACCACTCCACTCTTACCTACGCCCCACCCCTCCCCCTCCTCACGCCCCACCGCTCCCTCTTCGCCTTCAACACCACAAACGCCACCGCGCGATAAACGAGCGTACAAACCGCGAGCCAAACCAAATTCAGTCTCCTATCGCCATCGAGGCCATACAGGCGTAAAACCTGCTCACCGCTCTCAATCGGACAGCCGCCCCCGGGCAGGCGCTGGCCATCCTCGCACGAGAACCTTATCCCTTCCAGCGTCCACGGCGCCAAACTGCCAACGACATACTTGACGGGGCTGAGGAAGTTCATGTCCCGCAGGAACGGGGGCATATCCAGACTCATAATCCCGCCCATGATCTGCGCGACGCTCAAGAACACGCTGGTCACGTTGACGGCGAAGCCCGTGTGCGGCACCAGCGTGTTGAACACGATGCCGAGGCTCTCGCCGCAGCTGACGATGCAGAAGCAGTTCATGGCGACGACGAAAAACACGTCGACGGTTCTGGGCAGCCCGACCGCCAGGTCCGCCAGCACGGCAAACAGCAGCGCCGTCACGGCCTCGAACGGCGCTTCCAGCGTCGTGTACGCCGCGAAAAACGCCTCGACGCCGTACGCGCCGTCGTCGTGCTCGCGGTAGAAGACGTCGCGGTCGGCGGGGTAGGCGGCGACGTTCTGCAGCATGCCGACGAAGTAGATGGGCGCGATTTCTTGGATGAAGCCCAGCCGGTTCTGGATGCTGGCTTGGTTATGCTTGAGCGGCGCGAAGAAGAGCGCGAGAATCAGCCCGAGCCCGACGACTTGCATGATCCGCGCCAGCATTAATGGTGGCTGCCGCCGGATGTTGAGGAGGGCGCGCTGCACGAGCAGCGGGTATGCCGTGCGGAAGGGGGCGGCGACGCGGGCGAGGCTGCCGAGCTCCGCGGGCGCGTGCGTGTGTGCTGCTGCGGCATCGTCGGTCGTGGAGGCGGTGTTGTTGTTGTCATTGTTATGCGAGGACGCGGGCGCAGACGACTGCCCCCACGCCTCAATAAGCGTCTGCACCTTCTCACGACTCGCCGCCTCGCGCGCCGCATGCTGCAAATCGACGGTAATAAGATCGAGGGCAAAATCGGCCGGATTCGTCGAGCGAGGGCACGGAAACCCCAAGCGTTCAAAATAGCCCAACATCTCGCTCCCAGGGCCCGCGTAAACCGGGAACCCGCCGCGCGCAAGCAACAGCACGGTGCCAAAGCACGCAAACAGATCCGAGCGGCTCTGGTGGATCGTGAGAATTAGCGTACGCCCTTCGTCCGCCAGCCCGCGCAGCACGTCGATGATGGAGGCCGCGGTGAAGGCGTCGAGCCCGCTTGTCGGCTCGTCTAGCAGCAGCACCCGCGGCTCTGTCAGGATTTGCACCGCGATGGTGACGCGCCGCTTTTCGCCGCCGCTGATGCCCTTGACGAGCTCGTTGCCGATGAGCGTGTCGGCGCAGTCTTTGAGCCCCATTTTCAGGAGGATGGATTCTGCGCGCGCGTGCTTTTCGGCCGTGCTCATCCAGGAGGGGAGGCGGAGGCCTGCTGCGAAGCTGGTGGGGCGGGGGCGTTAGTGCTGTTGTCTTGTTGTGGATATAGGACTGAGGTAAGGGAAGGGAGGGGAGGGGGTGGGTGTTTGTGGAGTGAAGAAAGACTCACCGCAGCGTCTCCCGCACCGTCAAAGACGAGAGCAGTGCGTCATCGTCCTGCGTCACATACGAGACAACAGACTCGACGACGCGATCCGAGGGCAACTTATCATTAACCAGCATCGCGCCGTGGGCATGATAGCGCGTCAACCAATCGTTTCTCAACCGTCTGCCCATAGCGTTCAGCAGCGTCGTCTTCCCCGACCCCGACGGCCCCATAACGACATTCAGCACGCCGGGCTCAAACCGTGCCTTCAGGGGCCTCAGGACCTGCAACCTCCTCCCCTCGCCCCCATACCACGAGCGCTTCTGGACATCGAGCGCAAAGTCCTCGAGCCGGATGCCCACGGCGCGGACCTCGTCCTTCGCGCGGGGGGAGATGACTTCCTTGCCCGCGGAGGCGTCGCTGTCGTCGTCGGCGCGCGCGCGCGAGATCTGGAGCTCGGTTTTCCAGAACCGCAGGATCAGGCCGGCGCCCAGGTAGAAGGCTAGTGCGAAGGCGAGCAGGATGATGATGGGGCGCCAGATCCAGCCGTGCGTGGGGAAGCCGAGCGATGCGATGATGTAGGCGCCTTGGTACTGCGCGCAGGCGGGGGAGGAGGGGTCGGCGTCCGGGCAGGCGTAGACGTGGTTGTGGAATTCGTTGGAGATGAGCGCGCCGAAGGCGTAGTACTGCGCTGGTTAGTGTTGCATTCTTGTTTGTGTGACAGAAGATATAGGTGCGGAGAGGAAGAGAGAGAGAGGGTAAAGAGAAAACCCACCACATAAGCAATCCACTTCGTCCACCGCACATACACCGGGATCGAGTTACTCTGGATAAAGTACCCACACGCCATACTCTGCAGCGTATACGCCATATTGGCGACCAGACTCGCGCCGGCAAAGTTCCTACTCACAGCGACACAGGTCATGGCGAAGCAGACAGCAATATACTGTTCGAGCAGCATAACGGCGAAAAACGTCAAGAACTGCGCGCCATCCGCCCTGAACCCGGCCATGAAGTAAAAGATCAGCGAAAATAGCAGCGGCACCGGCACGTCCTCGACCAGCACCCTCGCCAAGCGGCGGGACAGCAAGAACGCAGGCACGCCGACGACGCCCTCGCTGCGCTCGCGGTCGAACACGCTGATGTCGATTGTGAGCCGGTAGACCTCGTACAGCAGGATCAGGTAGCCTTGCAGTGCCGAGGCATTGTATAACGCGCCTTGCCGTGACCGGATCCCGGCTTGGTCCGAACCGAGTTGGTAGAAAATGTAGCCGGTGATGATGCCCATGCTGGTGGCTTCGACCAGGCTGCCCGCCATGCCCATCGGGTCGCGGAGGGTGGTGGTCCAGGTGCGGGCGGTCAGGACGGCGGTTTGGCGTGCGAAGGCCGCGTGGTGGTGTTTTGTGCTTGTGCTTTTGGGTGGGGTGGTGGTGGTCGCGGGGTCTTGGACGCATGTTGAGACATCGTTGGTGTCGGTGAATAGAGTGGATTCTTTGCTCCGCCAAGCGGCTTTGATGCGCTCGACGCGGGCGGAAGACGCTGCCTCTGCTTCTGCGGTTCGGATGTCGATCGCCACAATGTCGATGAGGTGTTCGGCGGGGTTTACAAAGGGCGGCAGCGGGTGCCCTAGGCTGCTGAAGTAGGGGAGGCTTGAGGCGGCGGGGCCGGAGTAGGCGGGGGTGCCTTTGGCTAGGAGGACGAGGTTGTCGAAGAGGTTCCAGATCTCGGAGCGGGGCTGGTGGACTGGTGGCGGCGGTGTTGGTTAGCTTGACTGCTTTGCCTATCCATTGATACGGCATCCGTCCACATACTGGTCGTGATGATGGTCCTCCCTTTGGCCGCGAGGTTCTTCAGCGTCCGCACCAGCTGGTACGCACTGGTAGAGTCCAGCCCGGTGGTCGGCTCACTGCAACCCCCGTCAGCATCCCTCTCCTGAAGCAATCCACACACGACGCCAAATCACATACTCAAGGAACAGGACCGAGGGATTTGCAAGCAACTAATAATTCGCGTAAGCTACCAGCGCGCAGGAACAAGCAAACAACACAAGCACGCCGTACCTGGACGCCAATACTGGTCCGTCTCTTCTCCCCCCCACTACACCCCTTATGGGCATGGTTCCCGACGCGCGTGTCCGCCGCCTCCTTCAGCCCCAGCTCCAATATCACCTCCTCGACGACGCGGCGCCGCTCGGCCGCCCTCACCCCCGCCCCCAGCCGCAGGTCCGCCGCGTAGCGTAGCGTCTCGCGCACCGTGAGCGTCGGCTCCAGCACGTCCTGCTGCATGACGTACGCGGAGCTGAGATTCGTCAGCGCAGCCGGCTGCCCGTTAAACAGCGCGTTGCCAGAGACGCGCAGGCGCCGCCCTCGCATCCGCTCCGCGACCACGTTCAGCAGCGTCGTCTTGCCGCTGCCGCTGCCGCCTATGATGGCCGTCAGGCTGCCGGCTGCCATGTCCGCGGACACGTCGGCCAGGATCGTCTTCCATTGTTTTTGGGCGGCGGGGTTTGCGGAGGAGGAGCCGGACAGCAGCGAGCGGAGGAGCGGCGCTGGCCCACTGGGCGAGACGTCCACTGCGACGCTGAGATTGCGCACCTGGACGTCGACGGGCGCGACGGCGCGCAGCGAGATGTCGTTGCCATGCGGCTGCTGCTGTTGTGGCACGTCGTGCGACTTGGCGGAGATGGCGGAGATGGCGGCGGGAGCGAAGGCGCTGTCGGCACTAGGAACAGGTGGTGACGGCTCCTTCTCGACGTCGGGATCCATGGCGCAGCTCGTCTGGGGCCCCGCAATCAGCAGCAGCGGCGGCGGCGACGGCGGCGGGGGGCAAGAAGGCGGGGGGCACAGGCTGCGACAGCAGAACCATGGAGTCGAGTCGAGTCGAAAAACTGAACACACACAACAAAAAAAATCCGTTTGGCGGCGCAAAAAAAGATGTCAATGTCTATGTATGTATGCCCTGCCATCTGTCACCGGCCGCATCCAGCCCTTGACTTCGGCTACGAACCGAGCCGGCGATCTGCCCTCCCATTGGCCATTGTCCTGCCAAAGCATGAATTGAACAACGCCATGCCATGCCATGCCACCGTCCACCGTCCAGTGAGCCACTGAGCCATTGCGGCGTCCTCACCGCTAGCCAACGACGGTGGTGTTGTTGCAGCGCAGTGCAACGCCGCGCATCGAAACGCATCGCAGGAAAGGAGGAAGACGGGAGGAGAGCGGGAAGCAGTACATAGAACACCCCAACCCGGCCGGCGGGGGCCGCTCGTACTTAGTAGGCAGGTTTCCATAGCGAAAAGGGGCCAGGCGGAGGAACAAAGCACGCCTTTTGAGCGTTTCAAGAGGCCGCGCGACTCGTACAATAATAGGCATGGAAAGCCGGCGCACGGCGCACGCGGCCGACTGCCGCGCCGCGGGCGTGAGTAGGTGGGAGAGCGATCTGAGCGCCTGCTCTGTGTTTCTCTCAGTCTCTCACACACAGACTGGCCGTGCCTACCTGCCTAGGTGTGCCCGGGGGTTCAATGACAGAGGACAGGCCCCGGCAGTACGTATTATTGTATTGTAGGTACATACCTAGCACGCACCTACCTACCTTACCCGGCCGGCTATGCGCTCGGCTCATGGAAGTCGCAGAGCAAGGACTCGCGCGAGCGTCTCTGGCCGGACGTGCTGACGGAAAGCGTTGATTGTTTGTTTGCGCGCGGGAGCTATTGGCTATTGGACGGAGCGAAAAGGTGCAGCGCACGCAGCGGTTTCAAACCGCGAACAGCGAAACGAAACACGCCGGCTGAGCTGGGCTGGGCTGGGCTGGCTGGCTGCAGCCTGCATGGCGGGGCGCAGCTCAGCCTCAATCGCTCGCGTTCGCTCTCGCACACCCTGGTCATGCACACACATACACGCACACGCGCGGCGCACTCCTGCTTGGTCTGATGGTGTGCGCGTCAGCTGCACATGGGCGCCCATCTAGCAGCAGCAAGCAGGCAGCCATGCAATTGGTAAGGCTGAAGGCTGAAGGCTGAAGTGGTGGAAGGATAAATCCAATACGCTGCCAATAGCCAATAGCCAATAGCGGACGCCACCAGCAGTCACCACCACCACCACCACCACCACCACCACTACCACCACGCCGACAGCATGCATGCATAGCGGCCTTCCAGCCACAGCGACGCCCCCCAATGCACGTCTGACCACCACCACGCACGCATACCCGTTCAGCAGCCGGAGATTATACGTACAGGTTGCTAGATAGGTAGTCTAAAGAAAGAACCGGAACGAAAAGTGCTTGATTCTTCAGCAGCCACCGCCGCCACCATCACCGTGTCACCATGCAGCACCGTCACCGTCACCTCCCTCTGCGCCCACGGTGACGGCTTACGATAGCGCGCAGCGGGTTGTGGTCAGCTGATACTTGCTGATTGACTGATTGAATGAATTATTCTGATGATGACGATGATGGTGGTGATTGTGCTGATGATGATGATGGTGATGGACGTGACGATGGACGTGACGTGATGGACGAGACAAGACGGGGCTGCTCGTCTGGGCTGTGTCTCCGTGACTACAACATGTCCGCTGTGTGTACGGCGTACGGAGTCAAGAGAGTGCGGTACGTGGTAGTTAGCAGCGACGGGGCAGCGCGACAGTGACTAATACGTGGTAGGCAGAGCATTGATTGAGCAAAGGCAAGGCATTGACGACTGACAGACGGGCAGGAGAGGGGCGCGCATCGCATCGCAGGGCCAGGCCGTGTAGCCGTTGGTAAGCAAGCGCAAGCCGTGGAGGACCATGGGCCATGGCATCGAGAAGAGAGTCAGAGTGCCAACGTCACCAGCATGAATGATCGTGTGACTGGGGCCGGAGGGGGCGCGCGAGTCGAGTCGAGTGTCGAGTCAAAGCGCTTGCAAAGCGCGAGACTTCCCGACTGCTTGGCAGGCTCCATCCACCCCCCGTGCCCGTTATGCAATGCCCTCTTCGAGCAAAACAGTGAGGCGTAGCGGCCCCTCCTGCTCCGCCGGAGAGGATCAGGAGGAGATCGTTCGGGTTGAGTCGGAAAGTTAGTACTACGGGGCTGTGGGCAGGCTGCGGGGCAGGCAGCTCCACGCTGCTTGGTAAGAGCTTACGAAAGCGCGGCGGCGTCGTCGTCGGAGTCGTGGGCCGTGATTACCTTATTGTCTGGGATTGTGGTTGTTGTTTGTTGTGGTTGTTGGCGAGTGACGAGTGACGACCAACGACGTCCACCACGCCCACTTTTTCCGCCGTTCTCCGCATCTCAACGGCCCCTGCGCCCCGAAAGGAAAGGGTCCAGTTTGGCACCGAGGATCTGCTTGGGCTGGCGTCCAGCGGACCTCAGCGTCAGCTAGAGGAGATGCGCGCCACGACACAGCGCAGCGAGCAGCGCAGCGGGCAGCACAAGCACAAGCGCAAGCGCAAGCACAACCTTCGCAATTGAGCTAGCTACATAGTACATACATAGCTACAATACGGCGGACAGCAAGCCGACGACTTATCATCCGCTCAAGCATAAAAAAGAAGGGCCGGTTGCAGCAGCGCATCAGCGCATCTCGTTGGCTCGGCGCGGCGTCGCGATGAGACGGCACTAAAGGGAGTGACGAAACGAAGCCAGCAGCTCAGAGCTGGCGCAATGCCTAACGCATCTGCATCCGGGATTACGGGCGCGAGAAGGTGGGCCAAACGGTAATAACGCGGGCGTGCTATTATCCCGTTGCTGGAGAAAGAGGGAGTTGTTTCTTCTCACGAGTCGCGCGGCCTGATGGATGAGCCTCGTCATCCGCAGTGTGATCGTGTCCCACCTCATCCCCCACTTGGGCTCGTCCATCAGCCGGCGCCGCGGGCTTCCTCCACTTTGGCGGGTGTTGGGCGGGCATTGGGCAGCTTTGAATCAGCACGCTCATCGTCCGTCTCATCATTCATCGGCGGCCAGTGGTGGGTGCGGACGGCGGAGTTCTGTCCATCATTCATCATCATCATCATCATCATCATCATCATCATCATCATCATCTCTCGTATGTACGCGGTAGTTACAAGAAGAACGGAGTAAAGTGGGAGGAGGAGTCGCAGATCAACGGACGGCCGCCGCACACCCACCCACCCACCTGCCGTGCCACACGCGCTAATGTGACTACAATATTGTACTCCCGCGACGAGACAGCCAGCCGCCCATCCTCATCAGCAAGCAAGCAACACAACACCAAACCATCACAGCATCCGTCACCTTGTTTGTTCATCCGCTAGCTAGGTAGTGACTATAGTTAAGTCCGGCCGACCCGCGCGCGCATCATCATCCTGCAGCGAATTATCTAGCAGCATGCACACATACATATATGTCTGTACATTATCTACATACAGCATAGCCGTCCGTGAGTGACCGCGCCGCACCCCTGCCCCCACCACCGGCGCCGGCCCTTCCCTCGACCCCCGGACCCTGAAGAATGTCAGCAAGCAAGCATATTGTATGCGGCGACCGGGATGTGTGTGTGCGCTCGCGCAATTCCCGTCATATCGCCGCGCTGGACTGCGCCGTTGAAGATGATACGTACCATTGGCGTGCTGCTCCGGCTCGGTCGTTTTCTCGCTGCCTGCCTGCCTGCCTGCCTGGCGCTGCCGCTGGTTTGCGCGCTGCTACGCTACGTCGCGAAGAGCTGCGCAGAGAACCTAGCACGCGTTCCGTCGCCGCTCTACTGCGCGTAGGTAGACTGTAGCCGTTGCTGAGGTGCCTAGGTCTTCCTTGCACCCACTTTCTCTTTTTCTCTCCCATACCCTGCCCTGCCCTGCATCATCGCCCGACCGCCGAGGTAGTAAACGACCGGGGGTCGCTGAGGCCACTGACCAGTGACCACTCCACTCACTCCTTGTCTTGTCGTGTCTAATGTGCTGCTGCTGCATTGGCCAGTCCCAATACTAGGTACAATACCTAGTTAGGCACACCCTGAAGCCAGCAACGCAAGCAAGCAAGCAGCCCGTACATAGCCGTTCCCGTGCCGCTTGCCCTGCATACGGCGGCAGCGGCAACGTCTACGTCCCTTACCAGGCCCTCCTTCCGTAGGTAGGTTCTGTAAGCGGCGCTTTTCCCGTCCGCTTGCTTGCTGCCTCCCCTCTTTCCATTCATACCGCTTACATAGGTAAAATACATCTTACACACATACGCACACACGGACACCCTACTCAGCGCACCCCCCCCAAAGCAGCAGTCTCACCCGCGCGCCCGTGGCCCGCCTGCCTGACGATCGCATTTCGCATTTCGCACTTTGCATTTCACATCCAAGTTCCGGCGCACGTCCACGTCGTCCGTGCTTTCCGCGCCGGCCTAAGAAGCGCGGGCAATGGGCGCGTAGGTGCGCCGTGTGCGTGTGTGAAAGCCTCAACGCGCGCCCCGTGTCCGTGTCCGTGGCCGCTCGCCGGGCCGCTCCAGAGCACCACCCCCTTTTCCCGTCCCGCGGCTGTGCGTGCGTGCGCGCGCCGCTGCCCGAGGGACGGTGCGCTGAGCTCGGTGGTGAACGGGCTCACCGTCTCACCGTCTCGGTGGCTCGCACAGGCTCACTCGCTCGCAAGCTTATGCCGATGCGGCAAGCCTACTGAGTAGGTAGGTACAATACAGAGGCAGGATCTGGCTCGTGGGCTGGGCTGCGATGGGATGACCCGCAGCCTACGGATACCGCGTACTGCCGTCCGCTAGTGAACTATGTATGTACAATATGTAACTAACTAACTAGGATGTACACAGTACACTGTCCCTACCTACCCACTGCTCGCTAGCTACGTAGCTAAGGAATCTAGAGTTGGTGTTCCTAGCTAGTACCCAGTGGTGGTTTCTTTGTCCACGGTACGTGCAATGCATGCAACATGTGTATAAATATCTATTTTCGGCCATGGTGATCGGTGGTGGCAGTGCAGACGGGGATGAGGTATACGTATACAATACCACGTAGGTAGTGCCGATTTCCGCGTCTGGAAAATAGAGAGAGTAGGAGTGAGCAGGTAGGTTGGGATCGGCGCGGCGCAATTTGCTGTCTGTCTGGACGGAGATGGACGGCGGATATGCGTTGGGGAACTACGGATGGAATTGGGATTGGGATGCATCATTGAAGCAATGAATGAATCGAGAGATGAGCGAGAGAGCAGAAACAGACACGCAACCTCGCTCTCGCGCTTGCGCTTTCGTTCGCTCCGACGCTGCCCTTGTCTGTAGTAGTACGAGACCAGCCAGACAAGGCTCGCATCCATCGCGCGCGCACCAGACCGGGCAGGTCCTGAGCTAGCTAGCAGCTAGCAGCGTCGTCGTCAGTCAATGATATGGATCACTCCCCTTACCCAGACAACCAAACCAAACCAAACCACCTATTTCAGCCGCCTTATGCAAGGCAAGGCCAGGCGCCCAAGCGCGCAGGGTACGCGCCCAGGCCCCCCAAGCATCAGAGCATCAGGGCATGAGCATCATACCCAGCAAGAGAGGAGCTCCGTCTCTTCTTCTCGCACTCTCGCCCCCCCATCTCCATCTCCATCTCCATCTCCATCTCCGTCCTTACCACTAGCGGAGCGCCAGCGTCAAAGCGCCCGCATGGAAGCCCGGAGCACCGAGCAACGGACGGACCCGCCCAAGTCCAACGCTCACGCCCATCGCGCACATCATGCACACTTACTTAGTCCGTACTTGCGGCTTGCGCAGAAGAAGGACCGCTGGCCCGAGGCTCGGCTGCGCTGCCGGTGCGCGGCCGATCGTGCGCCTAGGTGGGCATGACTCTGACTGCAAGCAACGCAAGCAAACGGAGCGCTGAGGAGATGGCCGCCTCGACTTACTACGTATGTACATACTATTGTGCTTACCTACCTACCCAGGCAATGCGAGGCGCATCTGTGATGTACAATGTTGTATCTCCGCGCAGCCCTGCCTGCCTCCCGCGCGTACCTGGTAGCAGGCGACACCAAAGCCGCGCGCCGAACCATGGCAGCGAACACGGCCGATGAACGATGAACGATGAACGATGCGCGTGCGCGCGCCCCCTCATCGCATCGCATCGCATCGCCCATCGTCGGCCCATCGCCCATCGGCGACGAAAGAGGGGCAGCCGCATCGCCATCGGGGCCCGCAGCCAGCCCACCCGCACGCACGCACGCACCGGAGGACCCTCAAGCTACTTAGGTACTGTGCGTACTGCGTAAGGCAGCAATGGCGTCAAGCGGCCCACCATTGTTCGTTCGTTTGCGGTTGGGCTGTTGTTCGAGACGTTGTCCGTTGGCGCTGGTGTTGCGAACGTGCGGCTATTGTGTGTAGACGCTACTACTGTACAAGCCTCGTCACGCGGCTATTGTACAATACGTAGCTAAGTAGCTATCCAGCCCTGTCTTTCCGTTGCTTGGCTGCAGGGCGCAGCATAAGCACCTAGGTAGGCGTGGTAGGAACGCTATGCACGACTAGGCTACCTTATGCTTGGTCTTGGCCTGGCTCGGCAACAACCCACTGCCTACAGCCCACAGCCCACTGCAGGGCAACGGCAAGGCGAGGCGCAAATCAAGGCAGCAGAAGAGGAGATCGCTCTCGTGCTTGGCTCTCTCCGGCTGCAGCAACCTACCTAGGCACCTAGGTAGGTGGGGACGGACGGACGATGCAATGCACTATTGTACAATACACCGCGGAGCTGCTGCTCGAAACGGAGGTGGGGGGAGGGGAGGGGGTAGAGGGGCAGAGGGACCAGCAACAGCAACAGAGCAGCAAGGCCGGCAGCGAATCCGCAACAACTAGTACGTGGTAACAGCCAGTAAGCAAGCCCTCAGCGCCAGCAGCAGCAGCCTTGCCCCAGAAAAAAACAAAAAAACGCAGCGCCCTACGCCGCAAGGCGCGCAGCCAGCATCCATCCATTCGGCGTGACAGGGACAGCGACAATCGTGACAGCACGGCAAAGGCACAATCAGGCCAACAAGACAAGGCAGCAACGAGGCCAAACAAGCATCAGGTGAAACAGCGCGTTTAGAAATGCCCGATTGGCTCGCTCCACGAACGACCCTTGACCCTTGGGACCTGGGAGCAAGGAGCGCGGCTTTAGCAGAAGAAGAGTGGAGAAAGGCAGCGCAAGCCAAGGCTCGCAAGCGCGCCCACGCCCCCAAAGCTGCTGCTGCAGGATGGATGGATGTAGAAGAAGGGGGTCGAAGTAAAAAAAAAAAAAGACGAAAAAAGACAAAGACAGGGTCCATAGCTATGTGATAGCACCAAAGCCACTGCTCTCGAGGAAAAGTGGTGCGGGAATGGGAGGCCTGAAAAATTAATTGCGGCGCCGCCCGCACGCTCGGCTGTTTTCCGCGTGTACGAAAAGACGGCGCGCGCGCTCCTGCGCTCCGTCTTGCGTTTGCTAGCAAGCTAGTTTAACCGCACGCCCATCTAGCCCGCGGAGAAGGCGCCGCTGGGCTTGCCTGCACTGCATAGCTAACACCACTGGCATAAGAGAGAAATTGTGTGCGTGTGTGTGTGTGTGGTAGGTAGGTCGGACGGACCGTCGAAAGACAGCCGATGACGAACGTTGATGGTAAAAATAACGAAAGGGAGGAGGTGGTGGTGGTATGTAAAAAGCGCAAAAAGATGCATAAAGCAATCCGCCAGGGAGAGAGGGGTGAGAGAAAGAAGAAGTAAGATGCGAGAGACTCGCCACCCCCCACAAATGATAGCCGCCCGCCCGCCGCCCTGTCCAAGGCGATCAACAGAGAAAAACACCGACCCAATGCAATGAATGCATGCAACCCCAGGCAACAGCAACCAGCAACAAAGTAACTAACAAAGGAGAAGATGATGGTGAAAGAGATCCTGCCCAATCAATTGCCGCCCAAAAGCCAAAATGCCCCCAGAAAAAAATATCCAATCCTTCCTGCCACCGTCAACGACTGCGCAATCCCGCGCCCCGGTGAGACTCTCGGTGTTATATAATGCCAAATGCCGGAAACGCCGGCCAGTAGTCTGAAGAAAGGAAAGCCATAATGCATGATTAGACCCCGTCGCGTCTGTCCGTCCGTCCGGGTGCCGGGTGTGGTGGTGGCAGGTAGTAGTACGAGAGTATACGATCGAAGGATTTCCGATCCGCACCAGTCCTCCTCATCGTCGTCATCATCGTCGTTGGCAATCAAGTGACCAGGAAGTCCCAGCCCTTGTTCACGATGATGGTCTCCCAGTCCCAAGACTCCTCGTCTCCGGCATCCATCATCCGCCACACCGTCTCCACAATCTCGCGCGCGTACTTGATGTTGCCCAGCGCCGAGTAGTTCTGCAGGCCGTCAAACGCGTCGATGATGGCGGGGCGCTGCTCCTCGTCGAATGCTGAGCAGCCCAGCAGGAACAGCGGCATCAACAATATGCTCTGCGTGTACGAGTCGTGCGGCAGCAGCTGCAGATATTCGAGCCCCTCGTTCACTCCTAGTCGTAGGTTTTCGTTGGGCGTCGAGGGCAAGATCGTCCGGTGCAGGTACAGCCAGGTGCACTGTCGGTACAGCATCGACGCGATCCAGCGCGGCGAGTCCGGCTCCTGCGCGCATACCCAGCTGCGCAGCGCCGAATCGATTATCTGTGCGTCGCTGAGAATCTCGTAGTCCACGTGCGGTTTGAGATTGTTTTGCCTCCTATACCTGATCCGATCCCGCAGCTGCCGGATCTTGGAAATGTAGCCAAACAGGCCGTCCACGACGCCGAGCAGTGTGGCTGCGGCCGGCTGGATCATGAACTGCGGGAGTTGGAAGTCTTCCATCATGAGGATGCTTTTCCGGTCCAGGGACGTGACCGAGTTGGCCACGTCGTGGTAGATGAAGAACTCGACGAGGAAATTTTGGAACTCTTCGTTCGGGGAATGCTGGGTCCGGATCAGGTGTCTTGCAGCGTCCATATGTGGCCTATATGATCCGTTGACTTCGCCAGCGCAGATGGATTTTAGGCACAAAACCAGGGTTTGTGCAACGGTCGGGTCCTCGATAATAGCCGTTTCATCTCCAGCTATGTGTCTTTGCATGCCTTTGTCTGCAGTGAGATTCGTCACGGCGGCTTGAAAGTGGTGATGTTGCCTGTCTTCAAATGCCTCGTTGGCTTCCCGGGAAGCCAAATGAGAGCCAGAAAGACACAGCAACGAGTGCATGAGACCCTTATGCCTCATTGCCATGGGCAACAAGAGCTCTTTGAAGGGGTTCTGCTGGTCGGTGAATAGACTCAGGACCCTACTCACGTTGTAGTGGAAGTGATTCAAAAAGTGGCGGTCCAAGTCGCACTCGACGCCCTCGATAAGGAGGGGCAGATCGCGCGGAGACTCGACGCTGGTCCGGCGGACCAGGGTGGTCCTCTGTTTGCCGCTCTTCCAGTACTCCTTGGGCGGATATCCTTCGCAGTGGACGTTGTTCTTTTGGCAGTGGATACCTAGAGGTGGCGTCAGCGCTGTCACACCTTGCGTACTTGGGTCGTGCAGTCACCCGAAGGCCTGCAGGTAACCTTACAATGCGGCTTCGTCTCGTCGCACTTCTTCTTCCTCCTTCTACACGTTATGCATCCGGTTTTGGAGCGACCCTTGGGCGGTTTCGACATGGCTGTGGGAGACGTGATAGGGTGTTTCCGGGGCCTGCCTCGGGGACGTTTCACCACGGCGCCGTTGGCGGCGTCGGGCGAGGGCAGCGGCTGCTCCACGATAGGCAATAGCTTGTGCTCCTCGGCATCGTCGTCGAGCTCCTCGATCTTGGGGACGATCTCGTCGGAGGGGCTCTCGGAAACGTAAGACAGACTCAAACTGAAGGTGGGCGTTTGTCTCGGGGATTCACTCGACGAGGGCGAGGTGTGGGAGGAGGCCGAGGAGCTAATGCTGAAGCGGCCGCCGCCATGGTGCGGCAGGGCCGGGCCGAACATCATGTCTGTGGCCATGGGGAAGGAATTGAAGGCGGCGTTCGGCGAAGAAGTCGTGTAGGAAAAGCGGCGCTCATCGGGCACGGAGGACCACCAGGAATCGCTATGGGAGTCGGGCGGCGTGTGTATTTCTCCCCGTGCGTCACCGGGTTGGTTAACGTCTGCACGCGCAGACGGAGCCTGGACCTCAGCAATCTTGGCGGTGTTGGATCGGGACCTGCTTGGGGCTGACGGCAGCTTGGTGAGCGGGTTTGGTCGCAACTCTCTTGACTTGGAATGTCAGAGAGGCTGCTTACAGCGAGCGGAGCATCCGCCAGTGATAAATGGCGAAACGGTGGGCGGGGGGTGAGTCCGCTAGCGAACAGGCGTCAGTGCGACGCGAGTTAAGCCCTCTCGGCTAGGCGTGGACAGGGCGCGCGGGAAGTGCTGAAAATGGAATCCAGCGTGCACTGCACGAGACTGGGGTAGCTTGTGGGGTATCGAGGCACAGGAATGCTGATGCAGGAGCAAGCCAGCGGCGGGCAGGCCTGCTTAAGGGTCAAGACGCGCTTCCCGGCGCGTTGGATGATGCTAGCCGCGCCGGGTGGAGACGACCGGGGCCGGCTCTGCCAGATAGCTGAGATTTATGCATTGCCCGCGTCGACGAGAGAAGGAGAGGTCAAAGGGAAGAAAAGGGCCGATCCTTGATGGCAATTGTCTTGCGTACCCGCTTCGTTTCAATCCCGGCCAACTTTCCGCGGCGCTCAATCTACGGGGCCAAGCGAAGGCCTGGCGCTGATCCGCCGCGTCGAAGGGGGGGGGGGGAAATAATCACCTGCCTGACTCTTGCAAACCTAAGCCAGCCACTCCACGTTTTCCGCCCGAGTAGCCGCCTCGAGCCTCCTCCCTCCGAAAAGCAAACCATCTGCAGATCCCGGGGATCATGGGGGTGGGAAGCGCACGGCTTGCGTGCATCAAGCTGAACATCTGCATCTCGCCGGCGTTCGCCGTGCTACGCCTACGGGAAGCACCCCCAGATCTGTGTAGCCTTGCACTCTAGCGTGGCCAGCGTGTGCGATGGTCGTACCCGCAACGTGCCAATCAGCTCTGCGAACCCCCCCAAAACGGCAATCGCCTCGAGATCCACTCCACCTCCGTCTGCCGTGGGGGCCTGAGGAACGACTGTGAGCTGTCCATGCCTCTACTTATTTTAGAGATGTGATGAGATCGCGCTTTTTCCCTCCTCTTCTCTGTCGGGTGACATTGCTCTCAACGGGCCGAGCTGTGTGTACGTAGTGTCTTGTAAGCCACCCACTCGGCCTCCTCCCAGCCGTGTCACAAGCCATATGCTAGTGCCATCGTATCCTGCTGATGAGGCTGAGAGAGACGAGAGGCTAACGTGTGCCCCAAAACCCTAACACCCTCTACTTCGTACAAAAACAGGTTCACTCGAAAATTGCCAATGAAGCTGCGACGTTATTTGGAAAGACGCGCATCACATGCAGCAGGCCTACGCACCATCATCTGCCTCGCTATTCCCTACTCGGTGTGCCGCCATCCCTTCGATCGTCCTCTTCTTTCGAAGCGCATATTGCATTCTCTGAAACATTCACGCGGCGCCTCGCGGAATGTAGCGACGGCATCTTCCTCTTTCCAAATCAATCGACGTAGTACACACCCCCACACCCGTCGACCGAGGGGCCGTGCGGCTAGAGTCGGCCGATTCGAGGTTGAAGCAAGCATCTCGGGTCCCGCACGTGTTAAGGTGTTGATGACCCTTCTCCATTTCGACATGGGCAAAGTGGTATGACTATGACCTCAGGACACAGTGTCCCATGCCCCATCTGTCAACGATCCCACCGGTGCTCACTTCCCTGTCTCCAAAATCGCTCGTTAAGCGTTTGCGCCAGGTACACCCCGCTTCGAGAGGCTGAGGGTTAGGGTCCCTCATCCCACTCCTTGCATCCCCATTGTTTGGGGCGTGCCCATGGCAAACATGTACGGAGGTATATGCTCGGCAGCTGCCGGATGAATGTCCGTCCACAGTCATCCGATGCTTGGCAGGGCAACGTCAGAGATGGCGTTGTGGATTGCAGCCATAGGCCACTGCCGAGCGCGCTAAACCAAAGGGCTGGTCCTTTGACAGCGGGAGACGCGATCCGTCGTAAGGCCCCTCCGTCGAGCCGGGAACCCTCCATGTGCATATCTGCAGGGATGGTCAAAAGTGGTTGGGGCAGCGCTGTACGAAATACGACCTGTCTCAAACGGCTGATGATCGCTTACAGGGCCGGTGAAGGATTTGCGTGCCGTAACATGCATTGCAGCCAAGCTAGCTGGAGATGGCTCTAGCTCAGGCTGAACATGGTGGATACGGAGATATCCACCACGACTACAACGAATACTTCGAGTCGTCATCCAAAGCATTTTCTCGGGATAGTGGTCTTTTTTCCTTGATACGCTTGAAACCATTTGCTCCGCCGCGCTAGTGTGCTGTCAACAGGCGTACAGTGAGATCAGTGTACATACCGGGATTGTCTTTCGGAAACTACACCCTGCACGCCACCAGAGACATAACAACGTACTTGCCCCTGTGGCATCGGCAAACATCAAGGAATGCGGTGTTTGAGAATTGTGACACCCCAACTACCGGTCTAGAATCCGCCACGCCGTGTATCTCCAGACGGACGGCAGAGAGGCCTTGCAAGAGTTGGACCCCAAGCATTTCCCCCGGAAAATGCCTGAAACCGTTAGAGCGGTGTGAGAAGTTCGGCAATGCCATGTCGTCGAATCAGGGATGTGTGACGAGGGCTGATGGCCAAGCAAGCGAAATGGGGAAAAGCTTAATTCCTCTTTGACCTGCGCATGACTGTTCCATAGACATCATTCAGTCGTGGCTGTGATGGGCTTCTCAGTAAGCAGCGAAGTCGATCGGATGACGGCCGGATTGCGACAAGGTGTTGCCGGCGCATGGCTTATCAACGATCACCCTGAAGCTGCAGCCAGGGGAGACTCGGGCAAGGGGGGTTGCTCCGTGTATCAAACTGCGGAGTTGAGCAATCTGGAGGTACTACGGGACGGATAGTCGGGTAAATTTGAAGCCTGGTCCAGATCATCTGGGCGATGGCAATGGTATCGACAATTGCGAGGGCGCGAGCAAGGGGATTTGAGGGCGTTTCGATTTTCCAGGGGGGAGAAGAGGTTGAGATAGAGGTGAGAGGAAGAATGTCTCGATGACGGATCTGTACCTACCTTGAATCGCAGCGGCGGAGAGGCTTGTCCCGAACGGGCAAGGCGGGACTTGGCGTGTTTGGCGCGTTTGGACGCGGCTCGCGCAAGAAACGTGGGTGTGTCGTCGGAGCTTCCAAGTCAACTCCACGAGCGCATCAAGCTGCGCGCGACAACATAGCAATAGCCCTCAACTCAACCCTCGCGTGTAGCGCTGAAGTCGGACTTACGCCACCATACTATGCCTGCAACTTCATAGCCAGCTCTCTCCGTGACTGCTCCCGTCGTTCAACGCTGCAACCATGTTTAACTTCACTCCCCTTCTGGGCGCGCAGTCGACGTCGCCCGCGTCGCAGTCGCTGCTCGAGCTCGATGGAGGCATCAAGATTCTTGTCGACGTCGGTTGGGATGAGAGCTTCGATGTGGAGAAGCTCAAGGAGCTAGAGAGGTACTGCGCAAACGCGTCCATTCAATCAATGCGCTGTGCTGCGCGTCGAGACAAACAGTCCCAGGCTAACTCTGGCATCGCAGGCAAATCCCCACTCTCTCCGTCATTCTACTCACTCACGCGACGACCTCGCATATCGCTGCTTTCGCGCATTGTTGCAAACACTTCCCTCTCTTCACTAGGATACCTATTTACGCTACCTACCCGGTCATCTCCCTTGGCCGCACTTTGCTCCAGGACCTATACTCATCGACGCCTTTGGCCTCTTCGGTCATTCCGGAATCGGCCCTCTCCGACTCTGCATACTCTTTCCCGGCTCTGCAGGGCGGCAAGCACCCTCACATTCTTTTGCAACCCCCAACCGCCGAAGAGATCGCGGGTTATTTTTCGCTCATCAATCCTTTGAAGTACTCCCAGCCGCACCAACCACTGCCGTCTCCGTTCTCGCCTCCTCTGAATGGCCTTACGATCACCGCTTACAGCGCTGGACATACATTGGGCGGAACGATATGGCACATACAACATGGAATGGAATCAATTGTCTACGCCGTGGATTGGAATCAAGCAAGAGAACACGTGCTGTCAGGCGCTGCTTGGTTTGGCGGATCCGGCTCGGGCGCCGAGGTCATCGAGCAGCTGAGGCGTCCGACAGCAATGGTATGCAGTAGCAGAGGCGCAGAGCGTGTTGCGTTACAAGGAGGCCGACAAAGGAGAGACGAGACTCTTGTCGAGATGATCAAAGATACGATCAGACAAGGTGGCTCAGTGCTAATCCCCTCTGACTCGAGTGCGCGCATTCTTGAGTTGGCATATCTGCTGGAAAACGTTTGGCAATCGGAGTCGGAGACCCTTGGAAATGCTGGTCTCTACCTCGCAAGCCGGACTTGTGGCGCTACGATGCGTTATACCCGCAGTATGCTCGAGTGGATGGATGAAGGCATTGTTCGTGAATTCGAGGCCGCAAGCAGTGGCGCGACTGGCGAAACCACCCAACGCAATAAGAACCAGCAAGGTGCGGGAAGGTCAAGGGGAGGAAGGGAAGATCCCAAGGGACCAGCTGCTCCTTTTGATTTCAAGCACTTAAAGCTTGTTGAGCGCAAGACTCAAGTCACCCGCATGCTCTCCTCGGATGCCCCAAGAGTGATACTAGCGAGCGACGTTTCACTGGAATGGGGCTTTTCGAAAGAGGCCCTGCGGGCTTTGGCTGCAGACAAGCGGAACCTCGTGGTGCTCACGGAAAGAATCGCTCAGCCGTCAAGCGCGAAGAAGGGTCTTGGAAGATTGCTCTGGGAGCTTTGGAGCGAAAGGAGCGGAGCAGGCTCCAACGACGAGGCAGACAGCACTGCAGTTCACGACGCCAGTGGTGCGGAAGCATCGGTGGAGGTTGCTCAAGCAGCGCCTCTTGAAGGCAACGAAGTCCCCTTGTACCAGCAATATCTAGCGCAGCAGAGGCAGCTGCACAACACTTTGCAGATGGACGGCAGCACCAACCTTGAGACGTCTGCCGACGTAATCGACGATCGCTCCTCGACTACATCTGAGTCCTCGGAGGAAGAGGATACGGAACACCAGGGCAAGGCACTCAACATTTCGGCTGCAATGACACACTCACGGAACAAGCTGGGCCTCAGCGACGCGGAGCTCGGCATCAACATCCTTTTACGGCGGAAAAACGTTCACGATTACGACACGCGTGGTAAGAAGGGTAGAGAGAAGATGTTTCCGTACGTTGCCAAGAGAAAGCGCGCAGATGAGTTTGGTGAGCTCATCAGGCCTGAAGAGTATCTGCGGGCGGAAGAGAGGGACGAGGTCGAAGGACAAGACATGCGCAACGGCAACGCGCAGAAGGAAACGGGCGTGGGTCAGAAGCGCAAATGGGACGAGCAAGCCGCAAAGAACCTGCCCGGAAAGAAAGGCCAGCTGGCCAATGGCACCAATAAGCGGCGAAGGGGAGACCCGGACGCAATGCAGGACGGCGGCGCGCCGGGAGATCAGGCCGAAAACGAAGAAGCCAGCGAGTCAGAGGACGAAGTCGAGGAGAGCACCGTCAGCGGACCGTCCAAGCTGGTTTTCAGCACCGAGACGGTGCGCCTGGACTGCCGGATCGCGTTTGTGGACTTCTCGGGCCTGCACGACAAACGCAGCTTGCAGCTCCTGATCCCGCTGATCCGGCCGCGCAAGCTCATCCTTGTCGCGGGCGAAGAGGAGGAGACGTTGGCGCTGGCAGCCGACTGCCGCAAGCTGATCGAGGCAGCGGCGGGCGACTCTGCCGAGAGCGGCATCGATGTCTTCACGCCAACGATGGGCATCACAGTCGACGCGAGCGTCGACACCAACGCCTGGACCGTCAAGCTCAGCCAGCACCTGGTGCGGCGGCTGCGGTGGCAGAACGTCAAGGGGCTGGGCGTGGTGGCGATCACGGGGCGGCTGGAAGCCATTACAGGGGACAGCAGCGAGGGCGACGAAGGCAGCGTCAGCAACAAGAAAGCCAAGCTCAGCCGGAGCGAGAGCCAAGAAGGCGGCGGTGCTGCAGGCAAAGGTGAGGCGGGCGGCGCGCCGACGATGCCGGTGCTGGACGTGGTGCCGGCCAGCATGGCGGCGGCGACGCGGTCGGTGGCGCAGCCGCTGCACGTGGGCGACCTGCGCCTGGCCGATCTGCGCAAGATCATGCAGTCCTCTGGCTTTGCGGCCGAGTTCCGCGGCGAGGGCACCTTGCTCATCAATGGGTCGGTTGTGGTACGCAAGAGCGGTACGGGCAGGATCGAGGTTGAGAGCAGTGGGCTGGGCAACCCGGCTGGGCCGCGCTTGTCTGAGGGCACGTTTTACGCGGTCAAGAGGAAGATTTACGAGGGCTTGGCTATTGTTGCGGGGGGTTAGGGTGGTTAGGTAATTGGACGGGGATGGGGTTGGGGCTAGGGTCGCGAGAGCGGCGAAAAGGAGGGTGCGTGGGCGGTGGGAAGGATGGGGATGGGGATGGGGATGGGGGTTTGTATTGGTACTGCTGCTGTTGCTATGCTATCTTCATGACTTCCCTGCAACAAGAGAAACGCACCATCTCGTCCTTCAGATCGCGCATCTACTCTACACGACAATCCCCTTTCCACAAGCAAACAACCACCTTGTCAATTTGCCACAAAGTCAAACAAGCACACGCACGCAGGCCTGGTTGCCAACAATCACAGCACGACACCCACTGGACGAAGATATCCTGCTTAACAAAGAACCCCGCCGCAACAAAGAACTCCGACCCAACACCCCGCTTGCGCTAGCTAGGTAGGGCCCCCACACGTAGGGCTGACAGACAACCACCTAAAGAAGACAGACAGACGCGCACACCCGCCCGCCCATCAGCCGCACGCACGCACCCGCCAATCTGCACGCATGCGCAAAACGTGCCAACAGCGAGACGCGCGCTTCCGGCGTTTGTTTGCCTTGCTTTGCTTGCTTGCCTGCCTTGCCTGCCTTGCTTGATTGATTGTGCGTACGTACGTACGTGGGCGCGCTGGGCCCTGCCCTAACCGCGACAACGGCATGGTGGGCGTGATAGAACGGACTAGAACAGAACTGACCAGAACAGGGCAGGGCAGGGCAGGACAGGCGGTGCGGTGCGTAGGTAGTAAAAGAACAAAGCACACGCGCACGCGCGCGCAGCGGACAAAGACCCCACCCCACCCCAGACAAAGACAAAGACCCAGATCCCGCAACGCAAGCTCCCGCGCCCGCATCTACCCGCAGCCTGCGTGGCCACGTTTGCGCCATTGCGTGCCATTGTGTGTGTGTGCCACCGCCCACGTTGCCGTGCCGTACCACCCGCGCCTCAGCCAGCAAGGCACACCACACCACAGCATGGCAGAGCCCGCTTCCCGCTGCCAGCTGCCCACTGTCCAGCACCAGCAGCAGCAAGCGCGGCACGGCACGCAGCGGCAAGACAAGGCCACGCCTGGCAAGTAGGCAACGGCAACGGCAAAGGCAAAGCAAGCGTGGCAAACGTAGTATGCACACGTACATACGTGCGCGCGCACGCACGCACGCATGCCAGGTCTCATTGCCAGCACCAATGCCAGGGCCGGTGCCACGGCGTGTGACTTACCCACCCAGATAGCCACGCACTGACAACGCGATCTCGGATCTTGGATCTTGGATCTTGGTTCCGCACCCCAAGAAGGAGGAGCGAGACGCGTATATAAGTGCTGGTGCTCTGCTGCTGCTGCTACTGCTGCTGCTGGTAGAGGACACTGAAATGGATGTCGGGGCTTCTCTTGTCTTGTCTTCTTCGGTTCTTCTTCTTTTACTTTTTTACTTCTTCGAGGCTTCTTTTACTTTTACTTTGAGGCTTTGAGGCTTTGAGGCGCGGCTGCGGCTTCGACTGCGACGGGCTTGAGGCTTGAGGCTTGACGGCGAGAACACCACCACACAAGAGTGGTCAACGGCTTGTTGTTGGCGACTTACCTTGCCTTACCTACTTCCTACCTCAACGACATCCACGAACAACAACACCACACCCACCCATCCACCTACCAGTGCACCCACTTGTACCCACAACACCACAACCCCTAACCATCAATCAACAACAACCAACCACCATAATGGCTGGCAACCGCCACAACGACCCCGCCGACGACCCGCCCCCCTTCCCCGCCGCCCCGCCCCACGGCCACCGCGCCCGCTTCGGCTACCGCCCGCCCCCGTACGGCCCTTACAACCCCTACGCCGCCTACCCAGGCCCATATCCCGGAGGCATCTACGAAGACTACTCGGACGATGAGTATGACGACTACGATGGCTACGGCTACGGGGGCTATGGCGGCTATGGCGGCCACGGAGGCTATGGAAGGGGCTATGGTGGGTACGGCGACTGGGACGACGATGAATATGGATACGGTTTCGGTGGTTATGGTGGTGGGTACGGCTTCGGTGGGGGACTGGGCTATCCATTCGGCAGGGACGGCTATGGCATGTACGACGACGTGCCGCCGCCTGCTCCGGCCGCTCCAGCGCCGGCTCCAGCTCCGGCTGCTGATGCGCCAGCGCCTCCGCCTCCAGATCCAAACACCATTGGCTTGGTCAACGCGCTTGCGAATGCGCCCCCCGGCCCGCGCCACATCTACCGTGCGGGTGTCACGCAGCTGCACAGCAGCGGCTACGTGACGCTGCATGTAATCCTGAACGGCCTCAAGCCTTGGGAGGCGGGGGCGGCGGGCCAGCGGCCAGAGTTCCAGATCGTCGAGGCCGATGCCGAGTGGCCTGTACGACGGCTGATGGACTCGGTGGGAAAGAAGGGCCCTGGATGGGTGCTTACGGAGGCGGTCGAGTTGGGAGCAGGAACTTGGCGGAAGGGAACGAGCATTAAGTGGGAGGACGATATCGCCATGGAGCCGTTGGAGAATGTGGGGTGGAGTGGACGGAGGGGCGGGAGGTTGCCGCCCGTTTGGTTGGCCGTGCATAGGGCTTAGCGAGCGAGGGGTAGGCCGGGAGATTGGACATCAAGTTGGACTTCCAGGTTGAACTTCAGGTTGTGCTGGATCTTCATTGGGGGGTTTGGGTGAGTGCGGGGCGGTGGCTGGTGAATGAGGGGTTTTTGATTTGATGTTAGCGGGCTTTTTTGACGATTGATGAGCTAGTGAGTGGGCGTTCTGGGCTTACTTACAGTATGTTTTTGACGGCGGCGACGACTCCGACGAGGGGAGGGAAATTGCGATGAGGGACTTGGTGCTACTGGAGGGTTACACGGATTAGTGGCATATTGTTGTACACCATGAACACGGATGGCTCATGCTGGTGAGACTGACAGACAACGACGACGTGGTCGAGCAGTTCTTACTCCTTGCATCAAGGGCGGGAGCGGCTGAAGATTCTGTCGGGCTGGACCAGCGTTTCATGGCGGCGTTGCACAGGAGAGACGTTGCACGGCTTGCCGGCTGGGATGGGGGAAGCCGTGGTTGGTTGGCTGGTTGTGCCTGCCCGTCGTTTGCCTCCCGATGGCGCGGACACTGGAGGGTACCTGCCTTAGCCGGCCGGGAGGTTTGCACAGGCAGTCACAGCCTGTTACTCCGTTCACTCACTGTCTCGCCATCACGTGCTGTGCGTCGCTCCCACAAGCCCGTCTTTAAAATCTCCTCCTCTCCCACTCCTTCCACCCTTCTTTTTCTTCCACCGCGACCCCGTCCCTTCGTCCACTCCTTTGCTGTGGCAGTCGTTCTTTTGACCCGCGGTCGCGCCCTCGTTGCTTTCTCTTCCCACCTTCCTTTACCTTACGACGACGACCTACTAATTGATCCGGCTTGACCTTGACCGACAAGATGCTTCTCTCCAATCTTCTCGTCATCGCCGCTTTGGCCTTGGCCAAGTCCGCTCTTTCTGGGTAAGTCCGCTCACTGCTCCCTCACATCCGAGCTCTTGCCCGTCCAGTGGTTTGAAGTCGCACCGGCTGAAAGACGCCGCGGCTTCTTCGCTCGATGAACTTCAACCTTCTACCTCACTCACCCTCGCACCTGACTGCCTTTGCTCAGCATGGCTTCAATCGCAAGAACATTTGACTTGAAAGAAACCCCGCTTACTAACCAAAAGTCCCAGCACTCCCATCTCTGCCTGCACGCCTGAGACCGTTTACGTCACGGTCACTCCGACCAGCACTTCGGACAACGCCTCCACCGTGATTAGCACTTGCACCGTTTCTGAGGCCCATGGCACCTCTTCTGCTTCCACGTCGTCCGATGGTAACTACTACTTCTACGAGTCCAGTGGCATCACCGTCTGGCTTGGCCCTACCCCTCCTGCCTCCGAGTCGTTTGTTCAGGCAACGACTACCATCGTAGTGACGCCGACCGACCATGTCGACCCTACCACTACTAGCACTCTTTCTGCCCTCAGCACTGTCAAGACGACTAGCACTCGTACCAGGACGCTGACGCATTCGGGCACAGAGCTGACCACTACGATCCACGTCACTACTATCAGTACCACCAAGACGACTGACACCATCACCACGACCATGACGCGCCCTGAGTCCTCTTCTGAGCGTTTCCCGTCTGACTTTTCTTTTGATGAGCCTACAACGACTATCAAGTCCACATCCTTGACGACTGATACTTACACTACGACCATGACGCGCCCTAAGTCTTCTGATGATGTTACGACCCTCAAGTCGACGTCCTTCACGACTGTCGGTTCGGGCACTATGACCATGACCGAGTCTGCTGACGAGGAGACGACCACCATCTTCACTACTCAATTCTTGACCTCGATTTTCACCGTCCCTCGTCCCTCGAGCCTCACCGGCATCCACTCTTCCGGCTGGGATGCCTCTGCTCCGGTCGCGACTGGTGGCAACACTACGTATACCACTACGACTATCCTCGCGACGCTTACGACCAAGCTTTTCATGACCACCACGACGGCCACCAGGCCCTCGGTCACTCTTTCTAGCGGTACTGCGCCCTACTCCAACAGCACTCACAGTATCATGTTTGTTAAGCGTTTCATGCCTACAGCTCCTTACCCGTCAAACGCGACTTCCTCGGGGGTCATTGGCTCTGGCACCGGCATGCCTATGTCGACTGGTACGGCTCTTCGCGTCTCTTCAACTTACATGCCCTCTAATGGCACAGCCAATGTCACGACCACCGCCACGAGCCTGCGTACCGTCGTTGTCAGCAGCGCTTCGACAAGCGCCACTCCGTTGACCTCCATGTGCCCTGAGATTGGCGATTTTGGCAAGTTTACGCTGAAGGTGAGTGTAAGCGGTTCTTCTTTCGTGATATGAGCTGACACATTGCAGTGGGATGATGTGCCTGGATGGAGCCCCGAAGACAACAACACCTACACCTTCCCTCCGGTCTGGAACCCCTACCACCACCTAATCTTCGCCAACGGTTACGGCTACGTCCCTCCTCCGAACGAGCCCTTCAAGCCCGTCTCTGCGCCTCACATGGCTATCTTCCTGCCCAACCAGACCACGACCGCCCTCGAGCACCCTCATGCTGGTATCCTTCCTCCTGGTGGCATCGGTGCGGGTCCTCGGGCCTCGCAGAGCGCGTGGTGGTTCGATGTGTACAGCTCGTACTTTGCTTGCGACACTGCCACGGAGCCATGCACGATTCAGGCGATCGGTTACCAGTACAAACCCAACATCAAGGAGGAGTACCCGCGCGTGATGCAGAACTTCTCAATCCCGGCCTGTCCCAAGAACTTCACGACCGAGTGCGAGCTGAAGAAGGTCGACTTCGAGCCCGGGTTCCGGGCTCTTTCCAGCATCCAGTTCCAGGCCTTCTTCGAGGGCAACTCGAGCCGCCAGGTGTTCGTCATGGACGACTTGGCGCTGGGCTGGGCCAACAACACTTGCGAGGCTGGGCTGATGCGCTTGCGCAAGAAGTAGGCGGCGGGTGCGGGGATGCGGGGATGGCCGCGCAGGGTCGCGGTGGTGTTTGATTGTTTTGCACTGGCGTAACGGATGGAGCTGGTGGAAATGTATGATGAATTGCTCGACTGGGAGGGAGTTTAGGCCCCCGGATTGCTCATAGTGTAGCGCATCAGCGCGAAATGCAATGCATGATTTCGACAGGTGTCGACGTGGCCGCCGGTGTGTTGTTGGGTGAGGAGGAATGATGGAGCGGGCTCGGTGGAGAAGGCGCGCGCCATGCCCAAGCGAGCAAGGGCGGTTATTCCCGAATTACGTCGAGGGGGGAAATGTGTCTCGTGGCAGATGGATCGAGGGCTTTTTGGGACCTGGGCAGTCTGGGCAGGTCATCCGCCACACGCACACCGTCTGTTCCTGAGCACCGCCGTCTCCGCCCCGCGTGTCAAGTGTGAAGCTACGAATAAGCGAACTGTCACCCACCCTCTCTGCCTTCTTCCGCCGCCCACCTCAGCAACCGTGACATCGACTTCTCCCCCTCTCTCCCTCCTCTCCTCCCTTTAGCTATGGCCACCGCTCAGAGCCAGCCCCCGCCGCCGGCCAACCTTTTCAACGCCGAAGCCGCCCCTCCTCCCTCTACGACGACGACGACGACTACGACTGCGACTGCGCCGACGCCTGCGACGGACGCGCCGCCATCCGCCGGCATGAGCAGTTACCCAGGACCGTTTTCGCCCGTGGGGCAACGGCATCCCAATGGCAACGGGCGTGGGCGCTTCGATGCGGCGCGCAGTCCGCCGAGCAGCAAGAGTGAGTGGTCCGCCCCGACGGCGCGGCAGCAACAGCAGCTGAGATGGGCATCGCCCGCAGGTACGGCACATGTCCCGTGCAAGTTCTTCCGGCAGGGCGTCTGCCAGGCAGGCAAGGCCTGTCCCTTCCTGCACTCGACCGAACCCGCGACCGACACAGCGCCCTGTAAATACTTCCAGAAGGGAAACTGCAAGTTTGGTGCCAAGTGCGCTCTCGCCCACATTCTGCCTGATGGCCGCACCGTCAACCGGCCCAACCTGCAGATGGCCCGCCATCCCTTTGGCCGTCTGCCCATGCACCACCCGCCCGGCCCTGCGCCCACCAGCTCGCTGCTCACCATGCAGGCCATGGCCGGCCCAGACTCTGCCCCGCCCTATCCATACCCCGCCGATGACCCTTACCGCCAGAAAGACCTCTACGATATGATACCCACCATCGACACGACCTTCTCCTCGCACCCCGGCTCCGCTTACGGCTCGCCTCCCAACGACTCCAAGTTGCCGCTTTCGCCCATCCAGAAGGGCCTTAGCGTCATGGACGCGCCCCTCCCCGCCTCCTTTGATAGCCAGGGCATCTCGCACATCGCCCGTTATGGCGCCATCGCCGCATCCGTCCCCTCGCACTTCGGCCTCGAGTCGTCGCCGCCCTCATCATACCAGAACAAGGCCACCGAGTCGGCTGCGCTGCGGAATTTACACAGTTCGGCGTTTGGCGATGACGTGCGCGCGCGAAACGGCCTGGGGTCGTCTCCGCCTGCTGCCGAGGAGCCGTTCGGCGGTCGGCGCATTCTACACTCGGAGCGCTACGCGCGGCCCAGGATGCCAATGTCGGCGAGCCTGGGCGCGCGTACGCCCATCGGCCCGGACGACTGGGACGAGAATTTCGCGTTTGAGGAGGACCTCGTGCCCAACAGCCTGCACGAGCTGCTGACGCCGCAGGAGAAGATGCGTCGTTTCTCGCGCGCAGGCGACGAGGACCACAGCTTCAACAACCACCGGCACTCGCTCTCGGGGCTTGGCACGCCCGGCGAGTCCAAGATCGGCTCGCCCCTGGCATCGTCGCCCTCGCGCTTCGGCGCTCTTTTTTCGCGCACACACAAGCCGGCCGAGGACGTCAGCTCGAGCCCTGGCGCGTCCGTCTTCGGGCACGTCGGCTCCCCGCTGCGCAGCAGCAGCCTCAACCCCAACGCCAGCCCGTCGCTGCGGCCGATGGGCGACGCGCTGGGCGGCGGACCGCGGCGCACGCCGTCGGGTGACGTGAGCCCGTTCCTGGCGAGCCCGCCGCGACAGGCCAGCATGAGCATGATCAGTCAGCAGCTGCAGCGTACGCGGCTCTCGTCGCGCGTGGAACCCGGGGTGGGCGGACGGCCCGGCTTGAGCGCCATGGACCGCGCCGTCAGCAGCAACTCAGTCAGCCGCGAGCGCATCGACGAGGAGCAAGAGCAGGGCCTCTTCGACATGGAGGAGGAGGACGGCAGCAACCTCGGCGTCAGCGGCATCGGCACCGGCAGCAGCGCAATTGCCACGGAGCGCAAGAACAAGCGCCTCAGCGGCGGTACGGGCAGCACGACTCCCCTGGTAGGCAGCCCCCTCGGCAGCAGCAGTGTTTGGGGTGGCTTCGGCTCCCTGGGCGGTCTCGGCGCTGTTCCGCCGAGCTCGTCGTCGCCCGGCCCGAATCTGGGGCTTGGTGGTGCGGCGAGTGCGTCGGCGGCGCCTGGGGCGCCGGTTAGGGACAGCGCGGGGCCGGGGTCCGGGGCTTGGGGGACGTCGTGAGTTTTGTTGCCTGTGGGGTGAGGTGGGGTGAGCGTGCGTGCTCCTGGCTTGCTTGCTTGCTTGCCTGCCTCCTCACTGCTTCACTGCCTCACTCTGCCTCCGACTTCGCTTCTCGCTCGCTTGCTGGCTAGCTGGGTCATCACCTATCTATCCAGCGCTTCTATTCGCTGGGAGCTGAGACGAGCGATTCTGGTGTCCTGACATACACGACATGACACGGCACTGCACAGATGAACGTAAGGATAGACAAGCCGTGCATTAAGGACGAAGACAGATGATGATGAAGGCGGAGGACGGGGGACGGAAGGAAACGGACAGACAATGACGAATAAAGCATGGAAGACCAGGTAGGACGGAAGGAAGGAAGCGGGGTGCTTCAAAAGTCAGGCAGGACAAAACAGGACAGGCACAGGCACAGGCACAGGCACAACTGCCCGCGCAAGGGCTTGCTCGCTCGCTCGCGTGCTGATCAAAATGGGGTGGTGGGGGATTTTTTCTAAAAAAGTTTTATGCAAAAAGCGTGGATATGGCATGGTTGACTCCGGGTATATGGATGAAAAAAATGGGCTTGGAATGCAGGCATGCATGCAGGCTGGCTGGCTGGATGGGATCTACGACTTGCATGCAAGAAGAAAACGAGAAAAGAAGACGGCGCTCATGACTTGGCTTGTTCTGCTGCTACGACTGCTTCTGGCCTGGACGATGCGATGCGGTGCGGTGCGATTGATACCTATTTGAACGAGGGCTTTCGCCTGCTTGTCTACCTATGTCCACGATTGCTGGCTGCCGCGAACCCAACGGCAATATCGACGGAGAGGAGCTCCGCTCGCACACGGCACGCGCCCATTGCCGGACAGACAGGACAAGCCAGCCAACCTGCTCAGCTTCCTTCCTCGACCAGCTAGCCAGATAGATGGACATATCCGTCCGCCTTCACGCATTCACGCACGCACGCACGCACAAAACGGACGCTCATTCACTGCAGACTTCAACCCTCACGCCACGCCACTGCACAGCACACCCCGCCTCCTACAAAAAACCACATTCTCTCATTTTCACTCATTCAAAAGTTCAGACAACACATACACAAAAAAGAAGAGCACATAACGACGTCACGACCGCTCTGGGATCTGGGATTTGGGTTCGGGGGATACTGCGCTGCTGCTGCTGCTGCTGCTGCTGCTGCGTATAGTTCGGTTTCATATAAAAACGTACACACACACATATATGCACGTAAAAGAAGCCTTGCGTTCATGTAAAGACGCGGGAAAGCGTAAATGGTTTAGTAAAGGATGAGGATGTATAATCACACACACTCTCTCTTTCTCTATCTCTGTTGCATAAGACAAGACAACATGCTATATTGCTGATTCTATCTTTAACTTTGGTTTTGCTTTTTTCAGTGGTTTGGTTTGGTTTTTAAGAACGCTTGCGCTGTGCTGCATAGATGTTGGCCGTACTCACTCTCTCTTGTATATGTAAATCGTAAATGCATGGATGGATGGGTGGACGGGAAGGGCGGTATTTGTGGCTTTGAGTCTTGGCTTTGGCTTGCTGCGTTGCGCGCTTGCTGTGCTTTGGTGGTTTTCGGTCGTTGGTTTGGCTTGTGGTTTGGTTATTGGGGAAAATAGCTTTCGGTGCGGAGGCGGTTCTGGAGTGGTTTAGTTTTGGGGTGGGTTTGTTTTGGGATGTGTTATAATGGAGGTGGTGAAGAAGGTCTGTTTAGTTTGGGTTAGCTACACACATATACAGTACCTACCTACCTACTAGAGAAATTGAGGAGTTGGGCGCGCTGGGTGCGTGCGTGCTTTGTTGTGTTGTGCTTGCTTTATTATATTTGTTGGAGCTGGGTTTGGTTTTGAGGGAGAGGGTGTGTGTGATTAATATATATATACCTTATATAAGCCCGCACTTTACTTCGGTGCTGCGGTGCTTTTAGTACATAGAGACTGACGTCCTGTTTATGCCTATAAATCCCCCTATCTCTCTACAACTAAGTACCTTACTTATGCCCCAGCTCACTCCTCCAGAACTGGAGGGATGAGACTATAGCCTCTGTCTTTGAGTAGCGCCCCCGACAAATACGAAGAGCGACCTTGCATATACGGCATGTTCCTCTGTGTGGCTCGCACGTCCCGGCTTCTTAACATAGCGCGTGCTAGGTCTTGTGCGTGAGGGTGGGTGTGAGATTGAGATTTGAGTGGAGGAGGTGGTAGTGGCGAGCATATATAGAAGGAAATAATGTCGTACGGCTGTATTATGTGGTGGTGATAGTCATGACCAAGAGGTTTTGATGACGAGTATGAAAAAGCAACTTACCTTTCCGACTCAAGCTCTCTTATCTTGCATAAATGGGTAACGGAAAAATAAATTAATTTACCACCTCGAAGTGAAAGACCTCGGTGTAATCGCAGCTGTGGAATCCAGGTTCGATCGTTGAGGCTGGTTGGCTCTTTGGTCGAGGAGAATGAGTTGCTGGGAAAGGTAACTTGGCTTGTTGTGTAAGTGGTGGTGAAAGCATTGAGATTATAAGAGCAGTTTGTGAGCTAAAAATGCATTTACACCGTTATGCTGGTGATGTTCGAAATAGTCCTTAGATGTTGAGATATGAGGTAGAGCGTGAGAGGTATAAGGCTCCTTTCTGTCTACGTGAGCAAGTGCCTGAATGTTCCTGTTAATTGGAGGAACGTTGGTGGAAATGGATGAGAGCCTCTGAAGCATATCTCTTACGGGGTTTTTTGTCGCTGAAGTTATTGCGGAGATTTGTGCGATGGCTGTGTAGGCTTTTGGGGCGGGCAACAAGTCCATCGTCACCGAGTGCTGCGGCACCAGATTTAATGGCTGGTAATTTAGTTGGTGTCGATATGTCATCTGCTCTACTACTAACAAAAGCAAACTGTTCCACTGTTTCCATTGTGGAACAGAGAAAGCAAGTGCTGGAAATAACATAACGCAGCATTTGATGCATTGCTCCTGCGTACACATGCTCTCCACCGGGGCTTGTGGACGTAGCACTGTTGCTCGCCTAACGATGTATGCGAGATGCGGATTTGGGAGCTGGTGGAGTTTGGTCGTGATGCTGGTTATCGTTTCCGGGTAGTGATGGTGTGTGTGTTTGGGAGCAGATGGTGGTATCACTAACTGATTTTGATTGGAAAGAGTCCTGGAAGGTGCCTTGGATGACGTAGGAACGTTTTCGACGGGTAATAAATGGTTTCTAGAATAGACATCGGCACCTACCAAGCCTCTTCGGCCATCTTGGCTTGCATGCTGTAACTGTTAGTTGCATGTCCCACCGTGTGACTTGAAGTAAAGACTTACGCGAGAATTCTGGTATTGTAGCCGCGTAGCGTCTGACCGCGTCCTACCATCAGAAGCCTTAACCGGTAAAGAAAAAAGCTTGAACGGCTTTGCGCTACTGACCGGTCGACGTGAGGGTGAACTTGCGGCCGTAACCGGCACGGTTGCATGCAACCTTGACAGTGTCTCCTGTTCTATAGTTCTCAGTTTTGGCCCATAGTTGAGAATATACGGGTCATATGCTCGTAGACGATGTCGTTTGCAACGACACGATGGAACTTTTTGTGGAGAGTATAGTCGGATGGGAAACGGACGGCTTTATATATAGCTCGTCTCGGGTCTATTAGTCACAGTTCTAAGTATAAGTAATACCAGCCTGTACGTGCAGATATACGTGCGGTAAATCACTCAAGCTCATTATTAAAATCAGAAAGGAATAAAATTTCAAGACGTCCTAAACAGAAAATCTCACTAACAACACTGCAACCCCTCTCTTAAGAAGTGTTTTCTATAATCAAAAGCATGTGACCTATGTCCTTAAAAGCAACACGCGGCACTGAACAAGCCAAGTCAAGTCCGAGCCCAGCGTTACATCCTCGCAAATACCGGATACTTAAGCAGCTCACCTGCCTGGGCTGTTGCCTCCTCCTGAAATTGAACAGCCAAATTCTTAAAGATCTATAAAGGCGTCGCCGTCAACAACTCCATTGCACAACACGAGGTTGGAGCAGTACGTGTAATTGTGTGGCTATGATGCTGAGCATATGTAGAAGGCGGTGGTGGTGAAGATAGAGTTATTAATATGATGGTCTTCGTTATCAAAGAAAATGACCACTATGAGTCCGTGACAAGCCAAAGATACACCGACGGGGCTTAGAGCAAGCTTGGGCAATTACTCAGTAGACCCCCGGTTATCTCCAATCCTTTGTCCATTGAATCTGGTATGAGTGGGGTTAGTGTTAAATGACAACGCACTTCAACGAGAATAGTCGTTGTTGCACGCGGCTTAAATACTCGGAACCAGACATACATCTACACCATCTCCTCCCACACACAGCCACGCAGCCGCCGATTCAACACCACACAAGCACACAAGCACACAACACAACACCACCAAGTCACCCATCATATCATTCTTCCATTTCCTCACACTACCACACCCTCACCCCACCCCCCTTCCTCCCCTACCACCACACACCAAACACCAAAACCGCACCCCCCCAACCCCCAACCTCACCTAACAACAACGACACTCCTCCTCTCGACGCTCCTCCTCCTCCCCCCGTTAAAGCTCGCCCCACTCCTCCGCCCCTCAAACCCCTCGCCAAAACTGCTCCCCGACACCCTGCCCGGGATGCGCGCTACGCCGCCGCTGCCCCTGTACCCAGTCCCACCACTGCTCCTGTACCCAACCGCATCGGTGCTCCTCCGCCCGCCACCGCTGCTGTACCGGGCGTAAGAGTAGTTGTCGTAGTGCTGTGGGTACTGGTCGTGGTGCGAGTGCGAGTGAGAGGGAGAATGCGAGTGAGAATGAGAGTGCGAGTGCGAGTAGCGGTATGCGTCCGGGCGGTCGATGTGCCAGTGGCTGTGGTGGGGAGGGGGATCCGTGACTGGGTGGGCGATGGGGCGGTTTTTAGAGGACGAGAAGAGACACATTGCGGCTTGTTGTTGCTTTGGGATGTTTAGATAAGTCGTAGTAGCCGTGGTGGAAGGAGGTGCTTGGTTGGGCAGCTGTGCTGTACTAGACACGGAGGTATATCTGTATGTACGGCGTGGAGGTAGATAGGTGGTGCGGAGGTGTAGGGTTGGGAGAGCGGGATCGTAGTTGTGGTTGTTGTTCTGTAGTGGGGACAGTGGTGTCCCTAGAGGAAGGAGAGATGCGCGAAATTGTGCGGATTGCGGACTGCGATGTTGTGATCTGGAGAGAGGTAGGTAGGTGTTGTAGACGGCGATGATGCAATGCGTGCGCCTTGGCGGGCTGCTTCCAAGGCTGGGTGAGCTGCCTGCATATCAGGCGGGACGCGCCAAGCATGGAAATAAGTACTTCGTACCGCGTAGTACAGTACAAGGCCTTTCACTACTCAGCAGCACGCATAAGCAGAACAGAATAGAAGAGCATGCATAGCAAGCAAGACAGATAGCAAGCAGCACCTCCACCGCAAGAAAACCCAACCATCTAACCCCGGCGCTAAAAATTACCCAACACAGCAACTCGATCACCACGGCTTGTAAATCCTCTAATTTCCTTTTTCCTGATCCTCCTGCTCCAACGCCTTCAGCCGCAACTGATTCCGCTTCCCCAGCACCCGCAGCGTGTTCGTCCTCTCCAGCTCCGTCATGCCCTCCCAGTTCGCGATCCGGCTGAGCGTGCCGTCGCGGTTCACGACCATCGGGCCCAGGTGGTCGAGCCTGAGCGCCTCGCCGTTGACGTTCAGCTGCTGCTTACCGCCGTTTTCGTCTCCGGGCGCAGGGAGCGAGAGGGGAGTAGCAGCGGCGGCGGCGGCGTTGGCTGCGGTGGTGGTGGTGGGTTGCTCGGCGGTGGTGGGTGCGGACTCGCCCGCCGTAGCAGCGGCAGCGGTATTGTTCGACGCGGCGCTCATGGCTCTGGTACTAGTGGCGAATGCGCAGCGTGTATGCGTGTGCGTGTGCGATGCGTGTGGTGTAGCAGCAGTAGCAGCGGAGATGGCGGACTGGCGAGCGCAAGACGATGCGGCGGCAGTGCAGCGGATGGCGGCGCGAAGCATGTGGTTATCGTTGTGGGCGAGAGCGCAGATGGGCTCTTTGCGAGGGAAGAGAAGCTGTGGACTGGAGTTATACAAACACGCACCCTCGTCGGTTGCTGGGCAGTTGGCGGCGTCTCCGGCGGCGGAAGAGCCGAGCGCGGCGGAGACGCTTCTAGAAAGCGTGAGCAGCAGCAACAGCAGCAGCGGTGGCAGCATGCTGTGCCGTGACGGTGGAACCATTGCGGCTCTGTACGTCCGATATAGGTAAGGGAACGTTAGTACAGGCGAAGATGCCCCCTACCGTACTGCACAGAACAGTCCATCGCGGGATTGAGATGATGATGATGCACACCATGGATGCCCCGTATCTACGCGAGCAAGCCGACCGATAAGACACCTCCATTCTCCAAGGCTCGAGTATCTATAAGGGTATAAAAATAAAATATTCAAAGAGTATAAAGGTACTTATGAGGGTATAGACACCTAAAATTCTAAAGAGTAGAAAATATATTATGTAATTCTGTAGATGCTATCACGTGGGGTGGGCAAATTATCCGGTGCCAAACAACAACACCAGCCCTCAACCCAGACCCAGACTCAGACCCATTCCTCCCGCCTCACCCACATATGTATCGCTCAATCCAGCAACCCCGTCCCCAATGATGCCCAAATCCCCCGATCCCAATCCAATCCACCATCCACTCATCCACTCCCCAACACACCCGCCTCCCCGCCCACAGCACCCGAAACCCAGCACCCGACCTCAGTACATACACATCTCACACGCGCCCATCCACCCATGCATCCATTCCAACACAAACCCAGAACAAGCCGCCTCCCCAGCCACCAAGCCCACCAAGCACACCCAGCACACCAATCGCACCAGCCCTACCCAGCACAATAACCCGATTGGCCCTTTCCCCAACCCAACCCACGCCATGCAAAACCCTGTCTCCAAGTACATGCGCCGCAGCGCCCGCATCGACCGGTGAAGACACCCCCAGTCCCCGTCCCCGTCCCATCAACAGGCCCAACGCCCTTCCCGATCCCAGGTCCCCGGCGCGGCCAACCCAAGGCCGCGGGCGCGAGCCGCGCCATACGTGCCGCGCTGGCACTGGCTCGGCGGGCTTCCCTACTACAGTACATACATATGGTCTAGGATGTAGGCGTGTCGGAGTTGCGAGGCACGCGGGACGCGGGATGAGACGAGGAATAGAAGGTCAGCTGGGAAGGAAGGATCGGGTTCCGAAACGGCGGTCTGGACGTTGGTTGTCGTGTGCTGGTGCTGGTGTGTTGGGTTGGGCTTGGGCTGGGCTGAGCTTGGGTTTGGGTTTTGCGTGCTAATTATAAGCTGTCTGTGTGTATATATAAAGGTCATCTAACATCCGTTTGTGTGTACTGTACTCATGGGCACGCGCGCGTGTATTTTCTTTCCTACTTTTTGTTTGCTTGCTTGTTTGTAACTTGATTGTTCAACCTAACTATTCTGTCTATACATCGAGATCGTCCGTTGGGGTTTATAGTCGTTAAACGTCGTCAACTCTATCCCTATCGCTCGCTGCTCGCTGCTTGCTTGCTTGTCTGTACCATACCATACCGCCATCCTCCTTCGTCCCCTCCGCAATTACTGCATAGCAGAGCATAGCAAAGCTTACGAAAAGCATCCGACCGCCCAAGTATAAGAAACCCATAAATGAAGGAAATAAAAGGAAAAACAAAAGGAAAAGAAAGAAAACTGATACCCCACTCCCAACACCATCAATGCATGCATGCTCCCATCTAAAAATTCCCACCAGTACCCCCGACCAACCAACCAATCAAACCGTCCTCGACCAATTACAATCCTGTGTCCATCATGCCGCCAATACTCCCCATACCCCCAGCCGGGCCACCTTCGCCGCCTCTTCCACTCATACTACTCCTCGATTGGTGGCTCCTGCGCTCATCAATTTCCATCGGGCCACTCAAGACGCGCACGACCTTGCGGTTCGGCGCCTGCTTCGCAACCAGCACCTGCGCCGGACAGACAACAATCTCGTCTTCGCCTTCACCGTCATCGTCGCCCTTCTTGACCACTAGCGGGAACAACACAATCTTGACGACGGACTGCCGCGCTTCCAGGTCCTCGTTCGAGGTCGTCTCGCCTGATCGCTCGTTCATCAGCGCTGCGTTGAAGTGCACCTTGCGTAGAAGGTCGCCGTTGATGTCGTATTCGGGTTGCAGCGGCGGTAGCATGATGTACTCGGCGCGTTGCGTGCGCATTTCGATCGACAAGTTAACGGCAAGCCGCATCACATTGCGCAGCGATTCTTGGATCTGGCCGGCTAGATGCGATGGCGGCGGCAGCAGTGCCGAAAGCGTGCCGTAGATCTCCTGTACCACTGCTTCGGTGTCTTGTGCGCGCTGAGTCTGGAAAGTTGGGCGCTGAGAAAGCAGGGTCAGGGTGATTGCGCGCCATTGAGCTACAGCTCGAGGTGGTCCTGCCACGACGTCAGTAAGTGTTCCCAACACAATAAAGGTTTCACCGGATAGCTGCTTACCAACATCCGTCAATGTCTTCTCCAACGTCTTCAACTTCTGACGCTGTTCGCGATCCATACCAAAGAGGTAGCGAGTAAAGACATACTCCCAGACCATCGTCATAACTACCGACATAAAGACGTCTCTGCGCTTGACGCGATCGGCGAGCAGCATATCTACGTCCGTACCGTCGAGAATGGCATTGTCCAGGCGAGTCTCAATCTTCTCGTCCTTCATGTCACTGGACAAACGGCAAGCCTTGGTGTCGGAGAACTTGGAGAATCGGAGGACCCATTGCTGGACGTGCTGGCAGAGCTGCTGGCACGCACTGTCGAAGTAGTCCTCATCACGGACGGTGAGGAAGCTTTCGTTCTGCTTCGACTCAAGGATATGCCGTTGGAGGTCCTTGACCCTTTCCGTAGCATCGGCAAGCTCCATCTTCAACCGGAGGATCTCGGCGTCTTTGTCTTTGACTGCACTCTTGATCTCTGAGCGCACCACTTCCTCCATACCGGCAGTCAGTTGGCCGTGCTGCTGCTTGAGCTGCTCCATCGCCACAAGTGACTGCTGCCATTGCTCGTTGGCATGCTTGGTTTCGACCTGTAGCGTGGCATAGCGGCGCTCCGTGTCGGCAGTGAGGTTCTTGTTTGCCTCAGTGAGAGTCGCATTCACCTCAGCCAAGCGGACAATCTCCTGACGCAAGTTATGCAGCAGCTCCTTGATTTGGGCTATCTCGGCGTCCTTGGCCTGGATCTGGGAGTCACGTGCTTCGAGCTCCTCGGCTAGCTGACGCTGATCGTTATTGGCGTTGCGCATGGCATCCTCAGCTCTTGCCTTTGCGCCTTGAAGCAGTCTATTTTCGGAAGCAAGCTGGTCGAGGCGGGTTTCGAGGTCCATGATTTGCATGCTTTGGCGTTTGCGCACGCTGGGCGGTCGTGTGGGGGACAGTGGAGTGCCCGGGGCATCGCCCCAACCTTCCTGCAGCAGGCGTCAGTCATCAGGAAACACAAACAAACGAAAAAAAAAATAAGCGCCACTTACAAGACTGTCGGCCATGGCGCGGCCCTTGCCCTTGTCTCGCACGCGGTCGTAAGTTGATGGGCCTGCGACTGGCGGCGGCGCGACGGGCGTGGTAGCGGGAGATTTAGCGCGCGCAATGACCTCGTTGAGCTTGGCAGCGGCCCGCAGGTCACCTGACATCTGTCGATCCATCGACACTCTGCGGAGTGGTGGGGTTGCGGACCGATTGCTGTACGCACTGAGCGGCCGCATGCGCTCCGGCGTCTTGAATCGTCCGATGCTGCTCGCTGCCGACCGCTCGCTGAGCATGCTGGGCGACCGCGGCTCATTGGCCTGCTCTTCTCCTTGCATGTCGCCAGAGTCTGTCGTGCGACGCAGCGCCTTGACCCCATGCTCTGGCACACCAATCTCGGACTGTGCACGCCCTCTCTTGCTCAGAGGAGACTCTTCCGGACTGTGCTCGCGGATCGTGCCAAGCTGTAAACTGGGTGACTTCATGTGACGCAGAGGCGTGACGAACTCGGGCGTAGCATCCGACGGTGGCTTGATCGGGTCACCAAATATCGACTCGTAATCTTTTACCTTCTCTTGCACTTCGCGGGGGAAAGCTATCGGCGCAGACAGGATGAAGTTCTCGTTTCCGGAGGTATCGGCGGCCTTTGGAGGCGTCCCGGAATCTGAGTCTGTGGCTGGTAAGGACTGGAACAACTCCGATGATCGTTGTTTGGACATTGTCAGGGATTCGACGGGGGAAACTATCATACCTTCTGCACCGGTGGCTTCAGGTAAGGTAGGGCTATCCATGAGTGGCGGAGTCCGCAATACAGACATCTTCTTGTCTTTGGCGCCTTCCATGGCCATGTCCTTGGTAGATGGATCCTCCGGTTCTTCCCAGTCGAAGTCGGTTTCTGTAGACATCCTACTCGGTTCCTGCTTCTGTTCCTGAGGCAGATACAGGTCATTTAACCTGCCATCCCGGAAAAGAGGATGCATTCCCAGAGTCGGCGAGTCTGCCATGAATACTTCACTGTTACGGTTTTCCGCGGGGAATCCCCATGTGGGCTGTTGAATGTCAGCAAGGACGTTAGCGTCAGGGGCTTGTCGTTCAAGCTTCGGTCCCTTTTGCATGGCAGGCTGCTCAAACACCGGAACGGGCGATGGCTGGCGGCTTTGGATCTTTTCCGGTTCCTCTCGCATGGCAGACCGCTCAAACGATGGAACTGGTGATGGTTGCCGGCTCCAGGACTTGTCGGATCCCTCTTCCGGCTTGGGAGCAGGAGGTGGTATCTTTCGCTTGACACGTTGAAGGCCTGGGAATAGAGTTGCAACCTTGCTCTGCGATTGAGGTTCTGACGCAGACGGCGAGTTTTCAGGCTTGACGACTTGTTCTTGACTCGCATCCGGGCCGGTTTCTGCCTGCTTAGATGCTTTAGCTGGCTTCTCCGGGTCAGCAAAATGTTCCTCTGTTTTCTTTTCCTCGGTCTCCTGCTCAACACTTGGTAGAACCGGTTCTTCTATCTTCTTTTGTACCTCTTTCTTTCCAACTCTTGGTTGTCCATTCTCCTCCACATGTCCTGGCACCTGTCCCGAAGACAAAGTAGGGAAGTTGTCTGCAGCAATATCGCGAGCTATTTCAACAGGTGCAGCCAAAGGTTCGAGAGCCTTTTCCATAGTTGCAGTGTTGGGGTCCACATTGTCTCTCTTGTCACCCATCGTTTCTCTAGTTAGCAACGGCAACTCGTCGGTGTCCGTTGCGACAGGGCTATGAATAGGAGACGTTGCTATCACACCTCTGACAGTTTCAGGCGTCGGCTGTTTCGGATCTTCCCGTGGCGGCCGCGTAACCGCATCTTCCGCTTGAGCAGGCGCTTCCTCGATGGATTCGCCAATGTGTTGCTCGGCAGTAGGCGGTTCAGCGTACGTTCCAGGTGCAGACTCCAGGGTAGGGGCCTCAAGGGCTAGATTCTCAACATCGGGACGCACATCCGTGGGAGCGTCAACCGGTGGCGAATCAACGGCCCGAGCCCCCTTCTTCTTGGGTCTTCTTTGGAAGGGGAAGAATTCGTCCGAAACAGCGTCCTTCGAATCAGGCGATGCAGATCGATGGAAAGCAGGATCGTCAAGGACTGACGCCATCGCCGCTTCGAAGGTTGGATCTTGGCTTGGCGGCTGTGAATGCTCGGCTGCAGACTCAGATTGCTCGTCCCTGGACACTGAAGACAATGTGCCCGAAGAATATTGATGTCTTTTCTTGTTTCTTCTGGGCCTGGCCGGGATATAGACTTCATCAGGATTAACATCATGGATTGAGCCTGGTGATGAAGTCCGCGTAAGGAATTCAGGGTTGTCCAGTACGATCTTGGGGCTCAAACCGGCATCTTGGAGAGCTGCCGCAACGGTGGCGGCGAACTCCTCATCATTTGAAGGAGATCCTGTACGTTCATCTGCACCTTCATGTACCGACTCGATGCCTTTGGTCTCCTTGTCAGTATTCGCACCAGGCTGGAGCAACTGCGATTCCTTGAGTGATTGCTCTGGAAGGGGAACAAAGGGAGCATATTCATAAGGCTCCTCAATTGGAGAAGGAGCGCGGATACTCTCCTCGATGGCAGGCTTCTCAACAGGAAAACTTTGACCAGTAAGAGCTTCAGGAACTGTGTCTGGGCTTCCGGTTGCAGCTCCAGGGGGATATGGTTCCTCAACGCCTTTAGTGGAAGACTTGAGTTTCGCGGCAGCCTTGGCCCTCTTCGCCTTCTTTTTGTCCATTTTCCTTTTCTTGGGGACATATAAAGCTTCTGGCTCGGCTTCCTGGTCGGATTCCAAGTCAACTTCTGGGTTGAGCCTTGCCTCAGCAGTAGGAGTATTTTCAACCGCAGCTTCCGGTACAGACACAGTAGACGGTGGTTCCATGGTATCATTTTCAACTTGTGAAGCCACCTCAGGCACATCTCTGGAATGTTCTTCATCTCCAAGAGGAGTAAAAGCCTTGGGTTCAAGCAGTTCAGCCGGGGCAGTCGTCTGCTCTTCTGGTGCATGTTGCGGCTCTACCATAAAGTACCTGTCACCTCCAGAGACAGGACGGCCCAAAGGAATCGTATCTTGTTCTGTTGATGTTATCGGTGTGCTTGAAACATCAGTAGAAGCAGCCTTGCTCTTCTTTTTCTTGTCTTTTTTGCTCCTCTTGACCGGTGCAAACTCTTCGAAGGGATTGGCTTCTTCAATAGGAGTTGGTTCCTCGGTGACAGCAGCTTCTCTCGACAAGTCGTTGTCTTCCTGAGATAGCTCTGGAGCAACTCGTGCCGATTCCGTTGTGGGAATGATGGCCCTTCCTGCGGTCTCAGGAATCTTCTCTTCCACGGTCTTGACAGGTGGTAAGACATCTTTTGGACTTTGCGTAGGAACGGCAGAGTGGATTTCAGCAGCTGGTTCTTGTGTGATGTCCGGTTCAGGAGTTGCATGTGCGGGCTCGGGAGAAAGAGACCTTGCAGCTTCGACAATTGGTCCAGGAAGATAGTCGGCTGCCTCAACTGTTGGACTTTCAGGAGGTGAAAATTGAGCGCCCTCGATCGAAGGTGTTTTTTCGGTAGTCTGATTAACTTCCTGACTAGAAGGTGTCGCGGCCCGTTCAGGTACGGCTTCCGGTTGGAGTTGAACAGCCGTGTCGTTTTTGTCTTTCTCCTTCGGCAGAGCGATCTCTTCCGGAACCACTTCAGGCTTAGGCTCAGAAAAGGTTGCTTCAGGCAGAATCTCGTCCTTTCCTTCTTGTACAAGGTCTTTTTTGGTTTCTGTCTCAGGAGCAAGCTCTTTCTTTGGCTCAATTTGAGGTTCTTTTTCGAACTCAAGATCCGAATACTTTGGCCATCCCACATGCTGTTCGGCAGGTATAGTAACTCCACCTTCAGAAGCTGTGATGGGCTCTTCTTGAGAGACCTCAATCGAAGGAAGTGGCTTTTCAGATTCCAAACCAAGCTCAGCTGGCTCCGAAGCCCTGGTCTGGTGTGGAATGTTTTCGACAAATGAAGATTGCTCAGCAGGAGATTCCGGTCCTTCTTTTGGTGCCACGAAAGGATAGGCCTCAGTGGTCGTGATCCCAGGGAGAGGCGCTCCGGCTTGCAATGTCGGCTCGGATTCATGCGGGACAATTGCCTCATCATGGGTTTCTCTGGGAGACGGTGATTGCTCTTCCACAATTGCACGAGGAACTTCGGGTTCTGGCACTGAGACTGTGGTAGTGTCTCCCATAGCATACGGCGTACGCTCGTCCTCTTCTGGGTGGCTTTCGATGGCCCGAGGTCGTGGTTCATCTACGTTAGGCGGAGTGCTGGAGATGGAGGTGTGTTTGCTTTCCTTATCTTTCCTTGGCTTCGGCGGAATTGCCCAAACATCATCACCTGCTTCGGGGTCGGCAGCCTCGTCTGGACTAGTCTCGGCTGGAGGATTGTTCATCGACATGTCTCCTACTATCGGTTCAGGCTGAACCACAGCCTCGGGGGCTTCCCGGGGAGAATCCTGCTCTTGAATAGGGTAGGGCTCCTCAATCAGCTTTGGCGTAGTCGACGGAGAGGCTGAGTTTCCCTTCTTACCCCTGTTCTTCTCTTTCCATTGGAATGCCCACCCGTAGTCAGGTTTGGCACTCTTCGGGGTTTCAGGGAGAGCAACTTCAGTCGAGGTTGTCGGGACCTGTCCGTTTTCTGCTTCAACCGTAGGTTGCTCGGTTGTAAGCTGTTCAGTTTGACGAGCTTCTGGTTCAACGGTTCCCTGTAGAGTCTTTTCAGTCGATGGTCGAACGTCTACTGGCTCTTGAACCTCGGGCTCCTGAACATGAGCTTCTTGGACTTCGGGCACTACAACTTCGGGTTCTTGAACCACAGGCTCTTGAACATCAG